TGAATCCGTAACTCTTTTGTTCCGTAAGTTGTGAACTTCAAGTGTCCCGTATGCAAAGTGAAGAGATAAGTGCATCTATATCTTCACACCCAGATAAAGAAAGCTTTCATTTTGGCTCATCCAGGCAGACACAATAACTTTAACTTTGAGGAAGCACAGGTGCAGCCGGAGCACCATCTGCTCGCTGCTCTCCAGACAGTAGCAGACGTTATCAGCAGCATGAGAGCTGGACGAGCTGTGAACCGCACTGTCACTGTCACGGGACAATAGGGGCCTTTCCCAAACACACTCATGATGGGATTTAAAGGGAATGCGGGTGGATCTATCGTCACCAAAAGCTCCGCTGTTTTAAGTTGCGGCACTAAAGGACAGGTGTGAATACAGGCAAATGTTTTCCATCAATGCTCCTGATGCAGATGGTAAACCAAAGTGTGGGGCTTCAGGCCAGGGCAAGATATGACAAAAATGATAATAGTCTTTGAATTAGGGCTGCATGATTCATCACTATCAAATTGAATTTTTTGTGAAAATAGGTTAATCTTAAAAACTGCAATTCACAGAAAATAAATAATCCACTCAAATACAGTATCTTCATCCGTATTTTCAGCACAGTTGATTTCTTTTTCAGTGGGAACCTGCTTTAAGCCAACACACTCAAAACAACTGTTTAAGCTATTTCTTCACTAGTGTTTCAACATTTTTTACAATGTATTGTTATTGGTGTATAAATCTGTTTGTACTATAGCCTGACCAGCCACACCCTCTTTTTACTGACACATATGTTGTCTAATCGTGTGGGACTTGCTAGTTGTTACTATAGATATAGTAACTTTGAAAAATAATGCTATTGTGTTTTTCAAATGTAACACTTACACATTGCACGATAAAAGATGTTAAGTCCCATTGCAATGTTAATCATAAAACTCCCTACAATATAATGTTTTAATCGTTCAGCCTTTTGAACTTCTTTCACCTTTATTAATATAATCCAATAGTCAGCTGCATCACCACATCAAATATTGGCATGTATTGATAACCATGTGAGGAAAGTTTACACATAAAGACATCTATTTTAAGTTCTCTCATTAGATGTAGATATAGGGTCATTATTTATTTTTGATTGTATTGGAAAAAAATGTAAACTAAAAACTGTATGTATACAATATGTTTTTACTGCCTAACTACACAGCGAGCAAAAACACAAGAGTGATGAGGTAGATATTCATGCTGTCTGTCCTCTTGACTCCGTTTCTTATCCTAAACAAACAAGTGTAAACTCTTCTTCCACATAATTGGTGTATTTCCACCGTAATTCAGGTGTTAATGATTGCGATCTAACAACCTTGATATTGCGATTTTTGGCATAGCCCTGTTTAGACACTACTATGGCAGCGTTGAGTGTGGATGTATTTAAATCTCCTCACTGACTTGCTTTCACTCCCTGTTTGTCCTGCAGCCAAACAAAGTTAATGGCAACACAGTGATCTCTCATTTTCTCCTTATTAAGCACTAATTGAGAGAAGAGCGGAGAGGAAAATGAGAGGGGAGTGTGGAGTCGACTGGGGTTATAACGTGTATTAATCAGTGAAGCAGGTAATAGTCATCCCAGTGTATACAGCCGATCTAATTATCCACTAATGACTACTTGTAAATTGTAATCTGTTGGCGTCTTCATATCTTCCACAGTGAAATATAGATTACTGTAATTACTATTCATTCACACATGCTTAAGACTTCATACAACAAAGGAGCAATCCCCTCTATAGTCTATAAAATTGATCTAATTTTTTTTTCATATGCATATAGTAATTAAAATCTACAAATACAAGATGGCGGTCCAAACAAAGCACTAAGCCACTGGTGATGCACCTTCATAAACAAGGAGTACTAAACAGTGGGGGCAGGTCCCGGCTCAAAAATGTCCAAAATGACTTGCTCTGACATGCTTGCAATACCACCCCGGGCCGATGGCTGTGGACCCAGATTAAGAATTAGCCAATGCTAATGTATAGAATCTTCTCATCTCTCAAAAACGGCTTTACAGGATGGTTCAAAAGTCGTTTTTTTTTTCACATTTTCCAGCCCCGCGGCCATTTTGAAACTGCTCATATATGGCGATAGTGATGGCACATTAGTTTCAACGGCGGAGAGAGGCGTGACTACGTCCGTTAATATTTACAGTCTATGGTACTAAAACTAAAAAGGAAAATATATTTTTCAAAACATCTATAAACTGACTTAAAGAAGCAATGTTATGCTTCATTTTTGGCTTATATTGAAACTTGGCTCTTTACTGTTTAAGAATTTGAAGTAATATCTTAAGTAGAAAATATATGGTGAAACAAGTATGAAGGGTAAAAAATACCCTTTATGTGTAACTCCCTATGCTACCACCAGAGGGAGGAGTTGAATTTGGTTTGTTTGTTTCAAAGAAGATAATTTCACTTGAGAAGTTGACAAAACTAATTTATAGACAGTACTTTTGTTTGCAAAAGTACCACTATGATGCAAACATTGCATCATAGTGGTACAATGACATCATACTATTCCAGGACTGAGACAGAAACTTTCAGATAGAAGGGGTGGAGTTACAAGTTTGAGCCAGAAGTGGATAGATCTAAAAACAGCTCCAGTTCTGTTTTTGACAAGGCAACAATGTTGTAACATAGCTTGTTTGGTGGTTTTAGGTCCACAAATACTGAACTTTTGCCTGTGTACCAGATTTGGTCCAGTCAAAGTGAACTCGACCAACAGTGGGAACGCACCCTCAGTCCACACTTTTGTCGTAATGGTCAAGGACAATAATTTTCAGACTTCCCTTGCTCTCTGATCACTCTCATCTGTAAGCCACTATAGATCAATGAGCTATGCATTGAGGTGAGGATTGATTGGCTGAAGCACGGAAGGTTTCGATCTTTGCCCTCCGGTCCTGAGGAGGGAGATGTGACCATACACTGGCTTTGTCCGTCAATGAGATGATTGGGCACATACATGCTCAAACACGCCTGGCCCTGATGGAACAATTGCACTGTCTAATGGGATAGATGAGCGTGGCTGGAGCGACTTGAGTTGGAGCAGAGGTGTCGGGGGTTTGTACTCTGATTGACCTATGTCACTGAGGTTATGTTCATTGATCTTTGCCCAGAATAAAGGGCTTTTGCCTGCGGCGCTTCACAATGAGTCTATTTGGCCTTTAGAATTCTTGTCCAGTCCCAGCAGGAGAAGTTTGATCATGTGACTGCCACACACTCCAGCTGTTTCGTTTGGCAGCTTCATGTATTGCACATCGCATAAGTGAGGCTAAAGGCCAATCAATGTTCTTCAGCAGGTTGATACAGATCTTATTAGTCAATGAATGATCATTAGTGGTCTAACGAGCCATTGATCTGCACAGGGGCCAAAGGTTGTGGTGCTTGTGGCAAGTGTCTCCAATACATTACATTCAATTGATTGTAGAGAAAGAGGGCTCTATGAGAAAGAGGCTGGGGCAAAAGTGGACCCTGAGACATTTGAGGTCAGGTAGGGAGAGGAGGAGGAAGTTCCTTGATCAACTACTCTAGACCTATGTGGCTAATAGTGAAAACTGAGCTCCCAGCACATTGGCCTTTAATGCATTACTGCTGTATAGAAATTCTGTAATTAATAAAAAGCAGATATATTGAGCAATCCTAACCCTATGTAAAGGGAACCGTTTCAAAGGCTGCAGCAGCTTTCAAAGCCACGGAAATGACCACGCTTATAGCAGATGTGTTACTACAGGGCCTATTATGTTGCTCATTAAATACCCAACCTCTCAATAGACCATTATTTCCCCAATAAAAAACAAACGGCAGCCCGCATAGTTTCCCTGGCCCCTGCCTCTTGCTCTACCTCACAGACGCAAAAAGCCCTGACTAATATCCTGCATGTGATGTACTTAAATGGGAAGCAGGCTGCGGGACAGGGCGGGCACAGGTGTGGCAGGAGCCAGTGGCTTTTATTGCTTTGCCTCTTTGTGAAAGTGTGCCAAAGACCTGCTGACTAAACACAGCAGTGTAGGACTGACTGCCAAGTGTTAACTATGCTCCCCATGCCTTTCTTATATCAGTTAGACTGCATTACAGACGGTTTTGATGATTGTGATAAACAGCGTGGATGAGTAGCACCAGAGCAGCTCTTATAGAACAAGCTAAACAGACAAAAAACAAGCTTATTTGATTCTTTGCTGTGTCTCTGTCATTCAAAACCTGCTGCATTGCACATGTCAGTCAAAATTATAGCATGGCTTTAGGTTTGTCACTGGGGGACATCCGTCACCACGTCTGCCCTCTAGATCTTCCTTTTCATGGCCCACCATAATGTCAGTGGGTGACACCAGGCCTGATGTGATGTGGCATTCACTAAAGGTCACGTTAGGCATCTCGGCCCGCTCTGCCTCAGCAGCACTGGCAGCCGTCATATGGCGCTGGCATCGGCCATTACCCCAGCCCTCAGGGACAAGCTGCTTTTGTCAGTATCACTGTGATCTCTGCTTCAGCTACGAGTCAAGAAGCCCACAAACCATGGTTCAAAGGAGATCTATGTAGCATCAAAAAGTTCTTTTAGTTCACATGCTTTTAGTTGAGACAAACTTCTCTGGACATTTTATGCTGAGACAAACTGTACGCAACAGTGCTTATTCTTTATAACACTTTCATGGGTCAAAGTAAAAGAAAACAAAAACTAATTGATAAGTTGAGATAAATGGTAAAAATGTGCTAATGGTTCTTAGATTTTGGAGTGGCATTTCTGAGTGGGTTTTTCAGTGGACAAAGGCTTGTCAGAAAGGCGGCCCTGCGCTGGTGGCACAAGAGAAAAGAAAAAGGAGATGGGCTGTCCCACAGCATAAGTCACTCAGAGGCACCAGTGGACGGCCTGTTGCCGTAGTGAGGGCAGCATTAACAAGACCCTCAGGCAGCTTTTACAGGTCCCTGTTGTGAGTGAGGACCCCCCAGGCGAAGCAGGAGCCAGGCTGACTCATGATGTCTTTTCTGGGCTCTCTGAGCTTTCTGGGATGGAGACGTGTGAAGAAGCTCCTGTCTGCTATAAGTGGACACCTGTCCAGGATGTTAAATATGTCCCATGATAATTTAGCTTGTGTATTTTGTGAGGGACAGAACAGGAGCACAAGGGGCACTAGTATCAAAAACTGGACAATAAAACACCCGAAAATCAAATCCCATTGCTCTTATCGCGGCGCCATTCGCAGACGTTATCTGTGCAGGTAATGTGGTTATAAATTCAATTTCTCCTTGGAGATTTCATTGTTTACCGATGCTTGTATGTTCTGAGCGATGAGGCGAAGAAATCTGTGGTGCGCTCGATTCGTGTCGGGAAAAGTCATTTGGGCACAGGCGAGGGATGCAAAAAGGTTAGAGTGGATCTGCAAAAGCTGTCAGTCTCGCAAGGACACCTGACTCTGCTTTCTATTTTCCACCACATGTTTTATTTAGAGGCCATTTTGTCCTATTTGGTTCCTCATTATTGGGACTCATAGCTCCACTGATGTCAGGGGACGCTGTAGACAGCCCACTCTGTGGCTTTGCTGTTGATTTGGAGATAAGAGTTTGCCCACTGTTCACATAATAGGATCCTCCAGGCTCTGAGGGCTAGACAGTGTGGAAAACCATAAAGCGTGTATGATTTACTGCTTCCAAAAAGTTTAATTTTCATAAGTAGGTTTGTCATTTGTTTTGTCATGATGTGTGCAACTGCAAAATGATATGCATTTGGCCCATGAGCTGTTTCCATGTGATTGATAGCTATCAGCAATAAATCCCCTCATCTACTACAGTAGGTAAAATCTTGATATAGTGGAGCTCCGTGGGCGTCACTTGCTGCTTATGGCTGTAATCCATCAGTCCGACTCAATGGGCCGAGTCTCCTCCTGGGTAATGTTCCTATTGACACTTTATGATGTTCTGCACAGACAGCAGGGGGCAGTGTGCTGTTTGTGTTTTAGACAGGAGGCAGAACTCCATCACTCACTCACTTCTTTTCAACTTAATCACATCTGCGTCATCCTCATGTGTTCTCTTGTTGTCTACAGGCAAAGTGAAGGTGTTGTACGACACACAGAACCCTGTATGTCCCGTGTGCCACACCGTTTTGAGACCAGGAGAGCTACAAGAGCACATGGAACAAGAGCTGACCAAAATTGCCCAGCTTCAAATCGGGTGAGTGTTTGAAATTTTGTAATCATCGTGTTTTTAATTTTCACACAAAGATGTCAATGTTCAGTTCAGTTCAATTCAGATTGTTTATTGGAGCACAGAGTAATACATACATATGATACAACAAAAATACCTGTTTTGTATGAATGCTATTTAGGCCTCAAAAGGACAAGGCAGAAGAAAAAATACTTACTACTAAACTCCTGAAGGCTACATCAAACTACGCCTATTCCAGTAACTTCCAGTACCCCTTCCAAAACGCAATCTTTTGTTCTGCCTCCAAACTTCTCCATCTCCATCCATCGTTGTTATTGTCCCCAAACCCCACACTCCATTAGCTGCACTGGGAGCGCTATCTTTCTTCAGGTGTCTGTGCTTGTCTGTTGTTCACACGCGCTTTCATTGTTGCCGACATATTTCACAGAGGCTTCTCAGGCCTCCGGGGACGCGTCATACACAAATCATAATGTTGCTTTAATGCGCGCTCTGGGCTCCGCTCTCGCACACATGCAAACATTGTACCTGCTGCTTAGACACAAGAAGGATTCGTCCAATAAAGACATTACACTGCAAATCTGCTTACGCGCCGCTCCGTGGACAGTAATGGTTCCAAATTGAACTTGGCCTGAGGGGATTTTTTGTAGTGTGAGAAAAATGACTTTGATGAGGTCATATTTCTAGCCCACAATAGGTTTAACATTGATATTCATTTTTGGTAGAAATATTGTTTGTTTATTTGTCACCATATTAGGCTGATTGTTCAAGTGTTGAAGAAAATTGGTATTATTGATTATTTTAATTTAGATTGTAAAGATGCGCAGTATAGGACATTAAAGTAAGCTCAAGATACAGACGCGATTATAAGTGTAATCTACATTTTCATTCCTGGTTCCTGGTATTTCTCTCCAGTTAGTCGTTCACTCATGGGGTCATGTCATACAAGTTCTTCATTAATGAAATTAGAAGTGCAGCTATCCGTTATTTTAGTAATTCTTTCAATTATTACTTTTGATATCTGCATTGTAATTATACATTTTAGATGCAATATCAAATTTTATATTTTAAACAAACATTTCTGTAATATTATTTCAAACTTCTAAAAGCTGGAGTACCAAACATTCAAACCTCAGCAAATAAATTAAGAAATAACACTTGCAATTATTGATTGCTTTTGTCACATATTTGGATTAGCTTTTTCAGACAAAAAAAGTGAAAAAGATGAAAGATGAAGACAGCATCATTTGTTCTCAGATTTCATTTCAATTTGACAAAACTCTTTCAGTTTATTTGTTGAATCAGTCTTCACCGTGTAAAATGAGTGCTGAGATTAGTTATATCAGTATATTTGTAAGTAGTTAAAAAACGATCCAATTAATTGAGGCAAAAGAGTTGTTTAGTAATTGATTAACACGATGGAGTGATTCATGCTATTCAGAATACCGTTACTTAAAGGTACAGTGTATAGGAGCGTTTTCCCTAATTTTAGGAAAGAACTGCTCTCTCCACTTTTTGAAGGCTTCACCTGCTCCCGAGAGAGAACGCCTTCTAAAACGTGTGTGACAGACGTGCACAAGCCCAGTTCTCCTCGTGCACGCTCTGTTTACAAGTCACTTTTGGCACCTCTCACATACGCTCACTTTCCAAGAGGATTTGCACTTTATTCACTATGTCAGACAATATAGACGTAGATAACTTTCACTGGAAGTGAATTGAAATGGATTTCCCCAGTGAGAATGCCAAACTTTACCTGTTGAGTAGAACCTGTGCGACTGAAGCGTCAGTGGGAAGCCCAACCTGGGCTTTCAGCGCACGCTTGTGTGAAAAAATCTTTGGTCTTTGTTTGAGGAGCATGTACAACGGCCTGGTCATGTATTCCAATGTGCTTTTACTGCAAATGGCAAATAAATGAATCTGAATCTGATATGACCAGAATGATTGACAATTAGTAGGATCCTCCTATATTAATTGACTGGCTGAACTTTCCCTAATCCTACATTTTGTCTGTTTTTCTCTAATATTTTGCAACATCAACATTTGTACCTACAGTCTATGTAATAAATATGACCTCTCTGTATTTTGCTGAAGCGCTCCCTCACATGACCTTCTTCTCAGAACGCCAAAGGTAAAAATCAAGATCCAGAATGCTGTAAATATATGAAGTCATTATTGTTTCTATATATCTCATCTTATCTTGTCATTTCTTTCAGTCCCTGGGTTTCCATATAAAGCGTGAAGGCGGCTCCCCTACGTCCCCTCTGCGGCTTACTGACGATGTTCACTCTGATCGATACCAGGTCAAATACTTTTCAAACATGAGACTTGTATGATTAAACATATATTGTATGAATGTGATGGATTTATGTTGAGGTACTTAAATTACAGCTGAAAATAAGGATGTTTTTGTGTATGTGTGTGCTCAGGCTGTACAATTTTAGCAAGATATCGTAGTGCGATTTACAAAAAAATGTTTTGAATATAAGAAAATCTGGTGGAAAAACACAATACGATTTGATCTTTAGATCAGTTTCTCAGAAAGAAAAGTGAATAAGAGAGGAGCTCCCTCACTCAGCCAATCAGGTCTCAGTATGTAAAAGAGAACATGATTCGTGATAAGATAAAGAGAGGATGCTGTGGTCTGATTTGTTCATAAAACGTTACTTCATTGAATTGAATGAATTAAATGAATTGCCCTACAGGGATCAATAAAGTGCACCTTTACTTTTACCTTTACCTTTAAACAAGATTTTTTTGTTGGGCAAACAATTTAGTTATTTACTCCAACTTTGAGCCATTTTAAATGATTTCTTGTTTGTATGCAGTTTGAATTTTATAAGGGACTTAGGTAATTGCTGTTGTTGATCATTTGCATCCACTGAAATTGCGGTTAATCCTGCAGCCCTAATTTGTGCTGAACTTGTGCTTGTTGCAGACGTTCCTCCGTGTGCGGGCAAACAGACACACCCGGCTCAATGGTACGTAGCACAAATACAGTTTTTGTGTTGACTCAGAGCTTGTGGTCACTAAAGACACCATTCCCCTCACATTTGAATCTTGTAAAACCCTGTAAAGATGTGGAGCGCCTGTGCCTCCTGCTGTGGCCCTCGGAGTGCAGTGTTAGGTGCTGATGCTGCGGTTGTGTCCCTCCCTCCTTCCCCTTCCTCCCTCCCTCCTTCCCCTTCCTCCCTCTCTCCTTCCCCTCCCTTCACGTGGTCACTGGCCTAGCGCCCACACGAGCAGAGGAGATTAACCCTTTCATCTTTGACTCTTGGTTTGTTAACAGTCGATGACCTCTGCTGGTGCAGGTGCTACGTCAAAGCCCCCATGCGCCCGCACAGCGCAGGAGCCCACCTAGACTGCACTCAGGCGGGTAAGCACCAAGGCCGCACCAGAGGCCTGTCATACCTTCAAATGAGTCGTACTGGTTGTTTAAAGAAGACACATGATGGAGCGTTAGTGTTTCCTCTTCACCCGTGGCACGCCTGGAGCATAATTAGATTAAATATGGATCGGAAAAGACTTGAATGCACTGTTATGACAACTATGAAGCTGCTGAACATTATGCTGCTTCATTTGGGGCAACAATTATTTATTTGTGGATGTAAAAGCAGCAAAAAATTAAACATGTGTCCACCTAAGACAGTTTTTAAACCCTGTGTAGTCCGTGAGGGTTTGGATTTTTTTTATTTATTTTTTATTAAATTACTTTTTAGCAGTCCTGCATGTCGGGTTATTCTTTTTTGACTCTTGACAATTTTAGAGGGTTTATAATGACTTATTCATTCATTTTGCTGATCATTGTCCTAATGCGTGCGTTTAAAGAAATGTATACAGCTTTTTAAATATTCATCAGTGGCCTATAGTGGTTTCAATATACATTTTATATTCTTTTCAATAGCAATTTATTGTCTGACAAGAGTTGACAACAGCACAACATGTTCCCTGCAATGAAGACACAAAAGAAACAAGCTATTAACTCAAATATGGCAAACTTCCCGTTCATTTCTTTTTTCACAGCCCAAAGTTTGAGCCTGAAGGGTGAGCACGCCCTCCTGACTCCGAGCTGTCGGCCTGTTAGTTTTATTGGTCGGCATAATGAGAGTTTAAATACATGTCAGCGAGAAGAAAGGCCCAGGCCTCTTCTGGAGATTAATCAACTCCTCTCTCCTCTCTTCCCTCTTCTGTCTCCTCTCTCCCTTCTCCTCTCCCCTCACGCCTCTCTCTTCTCCTCTGTCCCCTCCACTTATGCCTCTCTCCTCTCCTTCCCCCTATTCTCTCTCCTCTCCTCTCTCCCTACGTGTCTACTTTCCTCTTTCCTCTCCCCTCCCTTCACACCTCTCTCTGCTCTCCCCCTTTTCCTCTCCTTCCCTCTCCTCTTTCCTCTCCTCTCCTCCCTCCCTCTTCTCTCTCCCTCTCCTCTCCTCTACTCCCTCTCCTCCCTCTCCTCTCCTCCCTCTCCTCTCCTCCTACCCTCTCCTCCCTCTCCTCCTTCTCCCTCTCCCCTCCCCTCTCCTCTCCTCCTCCCTCTCCCCTCTCCTCCTCCCCTCTCCTCTCCTCCCCCCTCTCCCCTCCTCCCCCCTCTCCCCTCTCCTCCTCCCCTCTCCTCTCCTCCTTCCTCTCCCCCCCTCCCCCCTCTCCCCTCCTCCCCTCTCCTCTCCCCTCCCCCCCTCTCCCCCTCCCCTCCTTCCTCCCCCCTCTCCCCTCTCCTCCTCCCCTCTCCTCTCCTCCTTCCTCTCCTCTCCTCCTTCCTCTCCTCCCCCCTCCCCCCTCTCCCCTCTCCTCCTCCCCCCCCCCCCTCTCCCCTCTCCTCCTCCCCTCCTCCCCTCTCCCCTCTCCTCTCCCCTCCCCTCTCTCCCCTCCCCCCTCCCCCCTCCCCCCTCTCCTCCTCCCCTCTCCCCTCTCCCCTCTCCCCTCTCCTCCTCCCCTCTCCCCTCTCCCCTCTCCCCTCTCCTCCTCCCCTCTCCCCTCTCCCCTCTCCTCTCCCCTCCCCCCTCCCCCCTCTCCCCTCCCCTCTCCTCTGCTCTTGTCTGCCATGATGAGCTCTTCTTCGCTTGTGCTGTCTATTTAACCCTCATTATGTTCAGTGGGACAGTAGGTCATGGCCGCTGCCCTCCCTGGGTCCCATCAGGAGCCACTGTCACATCAGGGGAATTAGAAGGCTCCAAAAGTTAATATCTCCGTGAGAGACGTCCTACTGCATTAACTTTGAGAACAATCACAACTGAGTGTAATAATAGAATCTACGGCCTTTTTATGGTTTTGTGCTTGACTCTTTACATTCGCTGTAGCTCTTAGCAACACCGATGAAGACTGCAGAGAAGTGGCTGACATTATTAGATGTGAATAACGTACAACTTGACCTAAAATAAATATATATATGATAAATTCCAATCAATCAATCAAACATGCCTTATTAAAAAAAAGGATCAATATCTATCTAATAATGTTGTTGAATGTAAATCAGGGCGTTCCAAATGTTACTTGTATACATCTATTTCAGAGCATATATGTACAGGTCTGTAAATAGCAGATTGTGATAGAAAATAAATGTTTTTATTCAGATTCCATATCAGTACAGAGTAAAACATATTGTATATTTAATCCTGGTGTGCTTGTAGGCAATGATGGTAATAGTAACTTGTTGTTGTGTCTGCCCCAGTCAGGATCGGGAAGCTGAAGAGACGGAAAGAAGACGGACAGGTATCGTAGATTCTAGATTGTCCTGATGTTTTGACATTCACTGATTTTTATATAGAGCATTATGTTGCTGGACTTTTACAATGGCTCATGATCAGGCAGTGCGGCAGAAGCCTCACTGTCAGAGCGATGTGTGTCCATGTGGAAACAGTACATTTCAAACATGTCCGCCGCTGAGGGCAGGCCCACGTATGAACTTTATACATGACCTGTGTTTAGGAGGAGCTGGTGTCTGGGGAGGAGGACTGGGCGGAGCGCAGGAGGATCCACTCTGTCATCACAGGACTCAAAGGTACAGCGCTAATCACAAGAGAGGCTACTTTCCACAGCTCTGTCTCCAAGTGCATCAGACTATTTAACCCCACACAACCATTTGATAGAGCACCTTTTCAGTCACTATATCTACTTTAAGCATACTTGGAAGTGAAATCTAACTCTTTGGGGCACCTCACTTGGTTTTAAGTACTTTTACCATCAAATTACAAAGGCATAAAAAAAATCCATAAAAGAAAACATTGCATTGCATTGCTTTCTCCAAGGAGTGAGCATGAAAGGGTAAATATTCACTCCCTGAAGAAAACAATATATATATATATATATATATATATATATATACATACAGTGGGGCAAAAAAGTATTTAGTCAGCCACCGATTGTGCAAGTTCTCCCACTTAAAATAACGACAGAGGTCTGTAATTTTCATCATAGGTACACTTCAACTGTGAGAGAAAAAAATACAGGAATTCACATACTTATTTTCCACCATAATTTAATTTTTTTTAAATTCTACAATGTGAATTCCTGATTTCTTTTCTTCAGATTCTGTCTCTCACAGTTGAAGTGTACCTATGATGAAAATTACAGACCTCTGTCATTATTTTAAGTGGGAGAACTTGCACAATCGGTGGCTGACTAAATACTTTTTTGCCCCACTGTAGATATAGTTTTGTTTTAACCCCCTAGTTTTTTAATTATAGGCCTCTACAGAATGGTTGGTGTACAGCTTGATGGTAAAAGTTCCCAAAACTAAGGCTATATCCACACGAAGACAAAACGCTTATAATTTCAGAAACTTTTTCTGTAAACACGGAGTTAGCTCAGTAAATGTGTGCGTCCATATGAATGTAGTCAATACGCCTGAAAACGCTGTGAAACTATGCCAGACCTGTTGGTGGCGCTGTGACGCAATGACGGGATCAAGCCCAAACTTCCGTGGGCATGCGCGGAATTTTGTAAACAGACAACATGGCGAGTGGGCGAGCTGGTACTACATTAGTATGGACGGACGATGAGGTTGAACTGTTGCTTCGGGTCACACTGGATTACAAAACCAACAAGCTACATTGTTGTTGTCATTATTTTCTGAGTGCGGCGCATGCGTGCTTTAACAAGAGGCGGGGCGATGACGCAAGCGTCTCAGATACATTGCGGAGAGGCAGTAACCACGGAGCGGCATATACGGAGTTTTGAAATCTTTCCACTCTGGGACCTGGTTTCAAAAATGTTCGTTTACACCCCCCCAAAACGCCGGCCTCGTATGGACGATACACTGGATTGATAAAGTATTTTTGCGTTTAGGCCTGAGCTTGACTTCGTGTGGACAGGGCCCAAGTAGTAGAGATTCCCCAATGAGGTAGATTTCAGTTCCAAGCTTCAAGTAGATGAGCAAACCAATAATGGGTTAAAATCAATTAAATATCTTTTTTTCATTTCCCTAAATCACAACAGCAGTCATCATGGAGTACTTTACAAAACTGTCAATTCGCCAATAACAGAAGGGAGAATTGAAGTGTTAGAACACAGGAAATGTATTACTAAGAAACACAAAGGAGACATTGGTCCACATGATAGAGGGTTGGTATAATCCTACTATTTTTGTTTTTACAAATATGCCACAATAGATTTAAACCTAACGTTCAAACCACAAAACATGTAAGAAAATCCATGCGTCCAAGCTCTCAAAACAGTGTGCTCCTATGATCAAGTTTTCATTTGTGAAAAAATTTGAAACAATCATCTGGGAGTTGTCTTGCAAACATTATCTTTAAAATGATGTATAACATGGCCAAAAACAACAATTAAACATTATTTTAGAGGACGCATGTTTGGCATTAATTTAGGTGGATGGAAGCTTTGGATGTTTTGTTTTTCAGCCCGTTATTGAAACAATAAAATCTCCCTTTTGTCTTTTTAGGTTCGGTTTTAGTAAATACGTCAACAAAAGAGTGTCGAGACAGCGATGCAGACCTGGACGTAGACGGAGACGACACGCTTGAATATGGTCGAGCACAGTATCCTTCATTATCCAAAACACGTTTAATGTAATTGCAGATTTTTCTATTTTATTTTCTCAACTTTTGGCAAGAAAGTTCCTTCACTTTGCTTTTTAGATACACTGAAACAGATGTGATTCCATGCTCAGGGGAGAGTTCAAAAGAGATAACCTCAACATTGTAAGATTTTTTTATCTCTCAAGTTTTTTTTTTTTTCTTCAATCACTGTATGAACTACAGACTGTATAGCCTAGCGTACATCGACAGAGAAACTGGGGACAACTAGTTGCAAGGCGGCTTTTGGCAACTGAGAGGAGATGATGGAGATGATCAGTCGCCGAAATCGGTCATTGTGCGCGCTCTTACAACTGGAGATGAACAGTCGGTCTCCAGTTTCAGTCAGTTGCCCGTGTTCTACTTTTCGGCAACTAGTTGTCCTCAGTTTCGGAGATATGACCTGATGTGCGCGCTCCATGCGCCGCTCCGACAACGTGTGTGTATTGCGTGTGTTGCGAGCCCGCAACAGTTTATGTCAGAAAACACACTGTAGTTGAGGCCAGTTGCTGTTGATGTACGCGCTGTTATTCCCGAGACTGGTCTGCCACTGGGAGTTGCCTGTTTTCGTCAGATTGTTGATGTGTGCGGGGCAGCAACTCATATGCGACGGATATAATCAGTTGCCAGTCCGATGTACGCTAGGCTTATGAACTCGTGTCTTTTAAATGAGCCGGTCAGCAGCAACACCTTTTTGGGGGTGGAGTGAGGATGGCGGGGATTTCTTGATATCACAATCTGTGAAGTACTTATAAATGTGTGATGTGTACAGATTGTTGTTGTTTGATGTGTGTTTGTTGTGTAACTAAATTCATAGATTAATAATTTAAAAAAATACACAAAACATTGTAAGATTGTACTGAGTGTATCGCCTGCTGGTCCCAGGCCACAGCATCTACCATCAAACTAGTACGAATGCTACACACACCATTACCAGGTGTTGCAGAGACTACATTTTCTTAGTTTTCATAATTCTATTAAATTTTGTAATTGTAAATTATTGTATAAATGTTTGCACAGTTGAGCTCCTGCTGAGTTCCTCTGAGGTCCATCACTAACCGAAATGTGAAAGTGCCCCTTAGGAGACCCCGATTCAGACACTCGGTCTTCTCGGTCTGAGGGGCAAAGCTCTGGAACTCTTTAAGCCCTCATAGAAAACTTAACTCTGACTGGGCTGGTTTTAAACTGAAGAGATTAGCTAATTTTTAAAACAAATACATTGTGTGATCATTAACAAGTTGGAGGACACCTGCTTTTGTATTAAGTGAATATTATAATGTAAAATGTGTTTTTAATTGTGTTAAAAAAAGCCCTCCTAGGGACGGACATTGCTAATTAGCCTTGGCCATTTACAGCCAAGGATAATGTGGCAAATGTTTGTAGTGTTTCACAAGTTGATTGTTTACACTTGTCCCTCTCAAATAAATCAATGAATAATAAATACTGTAATGGTATGATGTATATAAACTTGAACTATTGTGCTTTCTTGCCAGGGGTGGCTCTGTGGCAGACTTCACTAAGTGGTCAAATGTGGGTAAGTCTTGCACAGATCACTTTTCTATCGATGCAAAGTTAAAAGACTCAGAATAACATGTGTTTTCACAGGGAGCCCATCCACCAGCTCTGGGGACAAAGCAGATGCCAGCGGAGCTTCAATAACCGGCAAAAACACAGACATTGAAACGTGAGTATGAGCAGCTCTCATCACAGTCTTACATTATATAATATCAATCACATTTTATTTATAAAGCGCTTTTCATACAAAAAAAAGCAACACAAAGTGCTTTACAGTTTAGTTTAAAAACAATCCAATATGCCCAACCCTTAACCCCACCTCCCCACAGACCCAACCAAAGCCACATTTGTTATTAAATATACACCCACACACACACACACACACACACACACACGCACGCACGCACACAGACACACACACATAATCACAGACATGATTCAATACTGCTTCAATTCTCTATAACTCTCAGTTAGGCTCCTGCTGTGTAATGATGATAAAGCTTCGGTTTTAAAAAGCGCTTTTCAGGACACTCAAAGACGCTTCACATGTTATTATTCTTGAATACTTGTAATTACTTGTTGATGGACTGTCAGCACCTCCATCCTCTTCCGCTTTATCCATTGCCGGGTTGCGGGGCAGCAGTCTGAACAGAGACACCCAGACTCTCCATGCACACCTCCTCCAGTACATCCGGGGAAATCCTTTTAAACCTGAGCTGAATAATGCCACAATATGAATCTGTGGATCTTTGTTTTGTTATTTCTAAACGATAAAGATGCACAGATGAAACACTCGTTATTTATGTTATGTTATATTATGTTGCATTTAAGTTTGTATATTTGCAAATGTATGAATATGCTGTACGCACAGTAGGCAACATGTACAAAAGGTCATGTAATCTAAGGAATGTAAATATTGTAAATACTTGAATGAAAAAAATAAAAATAAAATGAAAACAAAGCAACAGAAGTTAAAACATACAGCTCTGTTCTGAATCCAAATAAAAAAGACAGAGAGTTACGATGCTGCAGAATAAAATTACATTCAAAGACAAATCCTTCTTTTCTGTTTCATATTCAGTTTCATACCTCGTTTCCAAAAGCCAATGGTTCTGTTCTTGAACAAACATCAGATAATGGTATACAATGTGGCTCTCTTCTAACGAACAGCGAAGGCAAACCGACGTTCTCATAACGTTACAGTGATGACTTGTATTTAGGGCTTTTAAAGAATAAATTGAATTGAATGAGTTTTGAATCCATCCATCCATCAATTTTCTTCCCCTTAATCCATTTCTGGGTCAGGGGGGTGGCCAGAGATGCCACCCAGTACACAGAGCACCAGCCCCTTACTGATCCTCCTGCAGGTGGTGAGTCCACAGGAGCTGAGATCTTTCAGTGGGGGCTTTGGGCAAAGTGGGGTTAAGTGTCTTGCCCAAGGACACGACAGCAGTCATAAGTGGGAGTCGTGAAGTAGGTCTTACGGTGGGCTCAAACCCACGACCTTCAGGCTCAAAGGCCAATGCTCTACCAACTGAGCTACTGTCGCCCTTGTCGAGTTTTGAATCCTGTGATAAAATTAAAGGCAAGGCGCAAAGAAAGCTTCGTATAAATCTAAATAATCTGAATGATCTGTTGTTGCCTGAACAATGGATATATTTATGTACTGTACCAGGTTGTGTTCACAACATTACAAAGAGCCGATAGTTTAAAGTTGTGGAGGCCGGAAGTTGAAAAATCTTTTCTGATAACCATGGTAACTGTCAATCATCTAGTCTTGGTTTAGAGTCTTTCTTTCAGTATATCAACTACAGTGATTTTTTTCTTTCTTAACGTTGTCTAAAAGTGGTGATAATATTCAAAACACAAGCACGATGTTGGCCAGCAGAATGGATTTTATCAGACATAAGAATAATATTGGAAGTTTTGACATTTTATTTTTCAAAATATCTTTCAAAAATTGGCACCAGCCCAAAATACTGAAACAGAATTCTAGAACGGCACCTATAACTTTGACCGTAACAAACTATTTTATAGAATCTTGCGTCTTCGTTTTCATGCAACGCACACAGGCGACACTTTACAGCTGTTTGGTCTGCAACAAAAGTTTTCCCCAAAAGGATAGTGCATGGTATGTCAATCAATCGATTTCTTACTCAGGGCGACACAAAGCGCTTCACAGTCCACCTCACACAAGGCACGAATCCTCACATAAAACAAACACCAACATCTACTTTTAAAACACAATAAAAAATCACACGGGTAATTAAAACCATTAAAACATTAGAATCACACAAGGGATGAAATAATAAAAAACCACAGTGAAAATACAGATAAAAACCTTCAGTTGTATGCACAGGCAAACAGAATCACCTTTAACCTGGACTAGAACATTGTCAGAGTAGAAGCCTGTCTCATATTTTCAGGGAGACTGTTCCAGACTTTATCCGCACAAATCTGAAACGCAGCCTCCCCATGTTTAGTCCTGACTCTGGGCACCAGCAGGAGGCCAGTCCCTGTGCTCCTCAGAGTCCCATACAAAGAAACCTAAACTATTACTCTGTTCTGAAATATCACTGTGATATAACTCCATGTAAGAACTGGTGTGAGTCTCCGCCGTAGCAGTGATGGTGTTTGTATAGAGGCTTCTGGCACGGTCCCTCGCCCCAGTGTGTGATAAATGAGACAGCCAGTGCGGCCAGCGTAATGGCGGCTGGATTTCATGCTCAGTGTCCATGATGCCCTGTGAATAATTTAATGTCGGGGGTTTTTATAAATGATGTTGTGTTCTGTGCCGTACATGTGCAGGGGGTCCGCAGACTCCTCCCTCACCACGCTGGATGCACTGAAGGCCCGGATACGAGAACTGGAGAAGCAGCTGTACAAAGGAGACCGCTTCAAGTGTTTGATCTGCATGGTGAGTGGACAACACAGGTAAAAATAATGGCTTTAATAACACGTAAAACCAAACGAAATCCAGAGTAAACACTAGTGATGGGTCGTGCTGCTTCGGGGCGTGAGCCGAGAGATCTCTGAAGTTTTTAGCAGAGCGCGGGCCAAAGCCTGAGTTGTTTTAGGTGAATGACGTCACAAATGACGTTTGAAGCCTCAGGAGTTTAGGAAATGGGGCGATTCATGAAGTACTGCTGTGGATCCGCTCAAACTTTGTGGGTTTGTCTTGATGATTAAGTTTGTCAGTGAGATTGTATATATATAATATATATATTATTTATAATATATATATATATATTGGTTTGAATATAGGGCGACAGTAGCTCAGTTGGTAGAGCATTGGCCTTAAGGCCTGAAGGTCGTGGGTTCAATTCCCACCTCTGCACCTTCTCCATCGACTCCCACTGATGACTGCTGTCGTTGTGTCCTTGGGCAAGACACTTAACCCCACTTTGCCCAAAGCCCCCACTGAAAGATCAAGGCTATGCTCACACTCAGAGAGCAGCCGTCCTCCTGTGGACTCACCACCTGCAGAGGGTCAGTGGGGGGCTGGTGCTATGAGACTTGGGTGGCATCTCTGACTGCCACCCCCCTGACCCAGAAATGGATTAAAGGGTAGAAGATGGATGGATGGATGGATGGTTTGAATTTGACTTCAAACCAACTTCAATCTATAATCATTAATTATTAAATCTGTATCTATATCTTGTGTGTGTGTGTATATTAGAGCAGACAACTGTACCAGTTACCAGTACATTATAATTTTGTTGTCATTTAAAATATATTTGTTTTTACTACTGATATTGATCATAATCAAACAGATGAATTAAAGAGTCATTTTTATTTCTGTTTCCAGTAATAATTCTATGCACCCAGAGCCTCACAAACAGTTCAAATGTCAATACAGATTTTGACCACCAGGGGGTTTGTGAGCATATGAAGCATTAAGAAATGAACCTTTTCTCGAACCAATGGATGGAAAGGTTCAACACTTCATGAAGCTTCATCAACCCATCACTAGTAAACACAGAAAGTAACCAAAGAAAGAGTGACAACGAGAAATACAACAGTCGTGGGATGACAATGACGGAACAGGAAGTGAAGGAACACACAGGGTTTAAATACAAGACTAACGAGACACAGGTGCAGGGCGGGGCAGGTAATTAGGAAACAGGAAGTACAACTGAAGAAGACACAGGGGTTGACAATTTACTAAATAAAACAGGAAATAGATATAACTAGCTTTTATTTATTATAATGTTGATAATGCACTCATAGCTTCAAATAAAACATCAGAAAATTGGACTGTAGCATCAAAATGGCTTATCTCACTTTGAATGTGATGAGTCTGTACCTGGTTGATGTAATAGTTTCAAGTTGAATTACGGAAATAATATTATGTATTTTCAATTAATTTTCTACTTTTTACTTTACTACATTTGAAAGCAGGTAACTGTTCTTTCTACTCTACTATAATATTAGTATTGTAGCACTGTAGTCGGATAAAGAAATGTTTGGTTGACTGGGGACATACCTGGTCGATCAAGTCAAACTATCTCTATAACAGTTGTATCTTATATCCACGTATTAGATAATATAAAAGATAAGATAAACCTTCATTTGTCCTTCATTCAGGATCTATTATACAAGATAAACGTTAATAAAATAATTAGATAATGAAATAAAACTCTGGGACTACAATGGCTTTAGGTTCAAGGATAAGTTACTTGTGGAGAACACTCTGTAGTTATCAGCATCATGAGGAGCTTTCATACACAAATACTAAATCATGGGTAAAAAAACAAAAAACAACCAATACTGATGCAAAACAGTATTGAACTGACATGTCTCTTTTGTCTTTTTTCCCCCATGAAATATAAGGGTGTTATAAACATAATTGTTGATTTACACATATTTCGGTTGAAGAGGATGCCATCAATCAGATAATTGACTAAAGGCAGCTAATAGTATTGAAAAGGCATGAAATGGATTATAATAATACAGTATTGAATGTTGACCAAACTTAGAATATCTATTTTATTCAAACAAAAATTCAGTCTAGACACTATAATGTGTTAAGTTTTAAAGTTCTATTTCACTTGGAGGGCACTTCCACAGAATTGTATTGGCTCCTGCAACCTGTATTATTTTTTTTATTCAGTTTGCTTGGCTCAAGAATTACAGAGAAAGTAGCTCTAAAATAAGACTAGAAGTTTGACTTTTGATAGTTACCATAGTTACCAGTAACGATTTTTCAGCAGCCCTCTACCATAATTTTATACTATACGCTCTTTGGAATGTTGTGATGTCTCATGGACAACATGATTATTAATATTAGAATATTCTCACATGTGGAAAGAAATGCATTTCCAGCTAGTTTTCCGACGTTGGATAATTGGCTGCTTCTGGTCATGGACTCATCTTTTTACAGTTGAATAATATTGAGTTGTAATAATAAATAAACAATAAATGAAATGAAAAGTGTCTAAAAGCTAAATTTATGATCAGAAAAAACATTGTGCAATTATGTTAACATGTCAATCAGAAAGATTTCATGAAAAGCTACAAAATGCTGTGAACGTGTGTTATTGTGTCCCTCTAGTGGCTGCCTGTAGTATTGCACTAAGACGTGTTGTATTTCCAGGACTCGTACACCACTCCACTCACATCCATCCAGTGTTGGCACGTTCACTGCGAGGAGTGCTGGCTCAGAACACTGGTAAGACACAGCATTCACTAAATACACACAGAACATTTGAGACCAATTCAAATGTGTGTGTTTGTCGTAGGGAGCAAAGAAGCTGTGTCCTCAGTGCAACACCATCACTTCTCCTGGAGACTTGAGGCGAGTGTTCCCGTGATTACGCCGGTCCGGAGAGAGAGGCGCGTGGGCAGCTGGTCTGTCTGGGACCCCTCCTCGGTCCACTCCACACTGACCTCTGTGCCCAGTGTGTAGTTCCAATCTCAAATCAACACAAGCAAGAAGAACTCAGGCAGAAAAACATATGCTTCGGGACAATAACGATAAAGAATTTTGTAACTATTTTGAGCGTTTTTCTGAGATTTGCTGCAAAGCACATGTGTAAATATTATTGTGTGTGTTTGAAGTGGTTCATGTGGTCTTTCCCTCACTCACAGATAGTTAATTTATCTGTAGCTTGACATTGATATTGTTTTTAAGTTTCACTAAACCTAATTTTATCAATGTCACTAAAATAAAGCATCTTTAATGGTTAGTCATGTCTGATTTATTTTTATCTTGTTCAATTATTTGAAAAATATAAAAGTTTTTTTATTTATTATTATGTGTACACAGCTCGAAATCTATATGTTTTCATTCAGAGAACACAGAAATGACAAACAAAGTCTGCCCACATGTTTGTTGGTTAACAAACTGCTGGTGTTTGGGATTGTAGAATTAACTGATGAGCTTTGACAATTCACTTAAATGAACATTCAGGGACTTACAATAATGCAAAAGGATCCAGTTGATGAATTTTTAATGCCCATTCACATTTTTGCTATTCTTTAGGAGTTTTTCTTAGTTCCTGCTTCATCCCAGAATGTTTGATTTGACTTTTTTTTTTTTTTGTTTATGAACATGATGCATAGATTTCTGAAATGACTCTGAACCAATGTTCTTTCCAGGCGGAAAAGCCCCAGAGAGATACAGTACTTGCTCAGGACAGAAATGGCTGAACTATTCCTCAGGCCACTTAACTTTCAAACCACAGACAATATGTGAAAAATTTTTTAACTCAAAATACCTTTTTACTCTAAAAATATGAAATTTGTTGTTGAAATGAGAGAAAATAGTTCTTCTGTGCTGGAAGAAGTCTGCAGTTCTCTGGGTGAATCTTGTTTAATAGTCAGACTGTACTTAAATTCAGATAAATGTGGCCTATTTCAAACTATTTTTTAAATGTGTTTTATTTTATTTGGAAGCCAGTCATTACGGACGCGCATAAACAATGTATTATTATAAGTTATTAGTGCATAAAGTTGCATATGAAAATATAAATGTCTAAATCCTATCGGGAGCGACTGGTGGTTCCAGGCTGCAGGTTGGAGACCCCTGCTCTAAACCACACATCACATACATACAACACACACACACACACACACACACACACGCCCACACACACACACACACACACACACACAAACACACACACGCACACACACACACAAACTCAATATCTACATCATTATTTGATTAAGATTATGAGATCCTTTATTCACAGTGGGGAAATTTCAGTGTTGGATCACAAGGTACAGAACAGACTGAGGAGCACACAGCACAAGGTAAATGAACAATAACTCTATAATGCATTAAAATACAATCTCTAACTCTAGCATAAAGATAAGCAGAATAAAATATCTATCTTCAGCACAATAAGGAAAGAAGTCTTAACATCTCCAACTTCAGCCTTATGAAGAAGCAATAGTGTCATGAACTTGTGAAGCGTCTTTGAGTTCTTGAAAAGCGCTATATAAAACTGATGTATTATTATTATTATTATTAAATAAGTGCAAAAACCCCTGACTTTAGCATAATAAGGAGCAAATATAAAATGCTGTATATTCGAGTGACCAAGTTTTACATTTACACAACTCTCAATCCGATTCAAACTCACAGATCACCTCAGGTTGATCAAAACAAGGGCACATGCTCAAAGCTGATTGGCCGGCGAGCTGATGCGAGGAGGGGTAATTTGGACTGACAGTGATCTGCTTCAAAGTGACACACTAACACAGACACTCGCTCTTTCTTAACAGGAAGACGACTGAAGAATCATCTGCCCCTGACCCGCAGGAAAGACCAGGTATGGCCCCTTCTTTTTTATTCAATAAGGCTCAAGCAATCAACATTTACAGATTAAGTTACTTTATGTGTTCAATGAACAAATTACTTCAAATCTCTCAAAAGTTTCTGGTACATGTCTTGCCTTTTGAGCCATACTTCTGCTGGGAACTATGTCAAAAAAGATTATAACTATATTCAATTCATTTATATTCAAATATTCTCTGTGGATAATTGGGTCACCTGCCTCACATGACACACATCCAATTGACGGCGCTGCTGATCCGTCAAGTAGCAAAACCCTTTAATTACTGACCCCTGGTTGAGATTTTTTTCAGGTCTCCAGTTACAATTCCCTTTTTCTTTTTTAAATCAAAGTTTGAGGGTGCCAGTGTCTTTTTCAATGATGTCTTTTTCTCACTGGCTTTTTAAGAGGAGCTTGGATCAAAGGGATTAAAAAGGCTAACAGGTTCCATGGCAGGCTTTAGTAGGCCACTGCATGTAAACAGGTCAATAGTGGTATAGCTTTAGTAATGCAATGTAGTTTAGTGTTGCTAATGTGTGGTCAGATTTTCAAAACATACACATAGGATTAGGATTAAGAGATTCTTTATTCGTCCCGCAGCGGGGACATTTTTAGTGTTGCATCAAAAGTTACAGAACAGTAGGAATGAGCTCACGGCACAGGGTAAATGAACACAGCCTATAGAATGAGAATTAATTAAGTACAAAATCTCTGACTTTAGCGTGATAGGATTGGGGTAACGTAAAAAGAACAGAAAAGAAAAGAAAGAAAGAAATGTATTTGTCTTTTGCAGAATTATGTCCAGATGTCAAGTTTCCTAAAAATGTTGTGGAAGTAAAAAATTAGGAGTATTCAAAAACATTGGGTTAGGATTAGCTTCTCACAACATACGTTTGTGAGAAGCTTTATAAAATCAATCGTTCTCAGCGTGCTTATCAAATTCTTTAAAAAGACAAAATTTGAATACAAAAAATCTCCATCCATCCATTTCTTCCCCTTAATCCATTTCTGGATCTGGCAGTCAGAGCTGCACCCAGTACACAGAGCACCAGCCCCTCACTGATCCTCCTGCAGGTGGTGAGTCCACAGGATCTGAGATCTTTCAGCGGGGGCTTCAGGCAAAGTGGGGTTAAGTGTCTTGCCCAAGGACACAATGACAGCAGTCATTAAAAAAAAACCTCAAAATTCTTAATTTTTTTTTTTCATTTATTCTATTCTTACGATTATATTTTACTGTGATCCAATTATTGACTTACCTATAGTGTTGGGTCAGTTTCAGAGCCATGTCCAGACCCAGGCCCGTGGTGCTGAGTGGGCCGTCCGGAGCGGGGAAGAGCACACTGATGAAGAGGCTGATGAAGGAGCACGAGGGACTGTTCGGCTTCAGCGTCTCCCGTGAGTCTGAGCAATGATGTGTTCATTAGGAGGATGCGCTTGCTTAATTATTTGTGGGAATACATAAAAAATATAAGATTCAAATTCTGTGATGCTGCTATTATTTCCTGTTATTGAGGTTTCTTAAATTACAGACGGCAAAAGATGTAATCATATTTTTTAAATTAGAAATAACTGCTTTGAGTGAGTAGCATTTATGTAGATTTGCAAAATATTGACTATTTCAACCGACTGGATTTTAGCCTTATTTATATTGTAAAGTCAAATTAAGTTCAACTCTTTAACAAAGAAAGTAATCAAGGAAAAATGTGCATTCTGTATCAATGTAACATGTAAAGTTCTCATGTTTTTACAGACACGACTAGAAACCCAAGGCCAGGAGAGGAGGATGGCAAAGGTACAATTTATAAAACTTGCCTTTGGGTGAGATAGATCAAATAAGTGTGCGTTTGTGCATGTGTGCGTGTGAGAACGTCCCTCCATGAAACCAAACCGCAAACACTTCTTACTCCCAAGTGAACTGCAGTTTTGTGCTCTGTATGTGAGGTAAAAGGCCTGTCTATGCTTTCTCCTTAGGCCTGAACAAGCTCCCCATGCTTCTGGGGGCTACATTACTGCCGGTAGCAGACGTCTTTTCCTCTGAGGAACTAGAAACCTCTTTTTTGGGTCCAAATGAATCAGAAACCACAGATACAGGTGACCAGAGCGTTAAAGATGAGGGATGGGGGTTACTTTCAGGATCCTGGCACACACATCTAAAACTGTACAGATACAATCAGTCAGTTTGCACTTTGGAGTAACAAGCTTTTGAAAATAGCCCCCTGTGATTCCTCAGTAGTCATCCTTAGCTTTTCCCTTTAGGATAAACCTTGTCTTTCCAAATGGTGATTTACAAGCCTTTACATTTAAACAGCCCTAACAACATCTTGTGTTAATTAATGAAACTGAACGGCTCCAGCTTTGATTGCCTGGTCTGCTCCTGAGCCCAGCCTGGAGCTGAACTAATGATTGTACCCAGAGCAAGCAAAAGCAATTAGTTTGTGTCAAACGCCGGTGCCTTTAGAACTGTATGGATGTGTCTTCTTTTGATGCGGCGTTCCCTGCAGCAGAGTAACATGAGTACCAGTCAGTGTATATGTTCACAATCACCGTAATACTGAACTTCCCAACATTCTAAGATGGAACAAAGTTTGGAGCAATTTGTTTGCCTTTGGAACTTCACAGTAGTCCATGTGTGTTTGTGAAATGTGTTTATCTTTTTATTTCTAAAGTTATTATCATTCTTACAGATTACCACTATACATCACGGGAGGCAATGCAGAAAGGAATTGACAATGGGGACTTCATAGAAAATGCAGAATTTTCAGGCAACATGTATGGAACAAGGTACATATGAAATACTGTTTTTGATGTGTATTGTACATAAAGTCACACTATTATAACGATCAGCAGTCTGTAAAGGGGAGGTGATAACTGAGTGCTCATGGCCTGACTGCAGGGATCAGAGCAACATGTAATAGTCCGGTGACAGATGGAGCTTTAAACTCAGAGGTCAAAAAGAACAGTGGCTCAGCGCCTTCTGTGTCACGTCTAATCCTCCCTCCATTCAAGTAACACGCATCGAGCAGCAATGCAGCTAATGGACTATAACAAACACCAAGACTTTCTTGTCACACAAAAACAACCCGTGTATTCATAGACTGTGTTTTAACAATTACTTTTGCTTTTCTACCTTTCAGTAAATCTGCAGTTGAAGATGTCCTTGCCAAGAATGTAATCTGCATCTTAGATGTGGACATCCAGGGGGTGAGAAGGATTAAAGACACTGACCTGAACCCTATCTACATTTCTGTTCAGCCTCCTTCCATGGAAATCCTGGTGAGTCCCACATATTATGTCATGATTGTGTTTAAATGATCCGTATGTTAACAGTGGCTCTGACCCTCAGGAAAAGCGTCTGCGAGACAGGCAGACTGAAACAGAGGAGAGTCTCCAGAAGCGGCTGGATGCAGCTCGTACCGACATGGAGCTCAGTGAGTATCACATTGTTATAAACTGTTATTATTGTTCAGTCACAACAGAAGCTACACAGTTCGTCTCCCGAGTGCAGGTAAAGAGGACGGCCTGTTTGATGTGGTGATCATCAACGACGATTTAGAAAGAGCCTATGAGGAACTGAAAGACGTCCTCAGTGAGGTGAGGATCATCACAATCACCCTTTGAATGACTCTATATGAACACAATCTCTAAACCTGATGTATTTCCTCAACAGGAAATCAAAAATGTCCAAGAGGCACAGTCATAACTGGATAAGTCACTGGGCTGAACCAACGCATGAGACCGATGCACAGTAAATGACCTTCATTTGAGCCACAGATGCAAAAAGACAAGACAAAAATCCAAAGAGTGTTTTTGTGTTAGACTAGATCATGGTCAGTATCAAACAGTGAAACCATCTCTACAAGGACAAATAACTGGAGAATTGTGTGACTGCAGCCTTACGACATACTGTAAGTGCTGATTAGAGACTGCCTTTTAAACACAAGATTGTTTATACTTGACGTGTGTATGAAATGTGTGTCATAAATAAAACACTTACCCAAGTATTCATGTATTTTATTTTCCAAATCTTTAAAATGATCAGTACTCCTTAAGTCTTTCAGCCATTTAATGACATTTTCAATAAATAATCCACACTATAGACGTTAAAGTAAGAGAAACAAAACATTTTAAAAGCATTACACAAATCTAAACTACTTTTTTGTAAAAACCAGACCAAATGCACACACTTAACTAAATCCTACAAAGATAAGTCCTGCTAAGACACGTTATTGGTGGCCAGTGCTGTGATCTTACTGGAAGAAGGGCCCCTGGAGCTTGGTGTGGACCTGGTCTCGTTTCTCCTCCTTCTGGCTGAGGTAGGACTTCAGTTTATCGGTGGAGAAACACACTTTGGAGTGGCGGCCCTTCAAGATCCCACGATGAGCTCGCAGCCAGTGGTTCTGAAGGCACTCTGCAGCCGATGGCCTGGCCCTGCAACAGATGTATGTATTAGTTGTGGAACTCTTTACCTTTGCACATTAGAACCGCACAATCACTCAAGCACTTTAAATACCTGCTTAAAGCTGCATTACCTCACTTTATTTTTGTATTCATTACGAAAATTCAATCCATATCCATGCAGTGCATTGGGATATACGTCCTTTTGAAGAAAAAGCAGCGTGGATTTGTGCTGGCGTGTCATTTATTTTAGATCGAGTTTTTGTGCAACAAGGAAGAGAATTTGTTTCGGGACCAGATTGTGACAAATCACAGCGGACCACTGGCCCCCACTTTTTTGAGAAAAGCCACAGGTTTCTTGTTAGCACAGACAGCTGAGGTAAACAAGCGGCGGAGGCTAACGTGAAACTTCTCGTGTTACTGCTTACACGCGAAACAGCCATCTAAAAGAAAGTCTCATTCCTCCTCACTTCCCGGTTCTATCATTCTATGGTCACGCCATCCACGTTCAAATGTGCGATCCATATTGTGGGACGTGAGCTCCGTAAACACATAAACCAAGGCTGAGGGTGGGGGGGGGGGTTTAAGACGCACCTTTTATTTTTGGCTTTTAATACCAGGTAGAAAGAGACAAGTTTTAGTTTTTTATTTTTATGTACATAATTCTGTATTTCTGTATTTTATTCTTTTTTCACTGTCTGTACAGCACTTTGGTAAGCCTAGGCTGTTTTAGATGTGCTCTACAAATATAGATTAGACTGATTGTATTTTGTCATGCTTCCTGGTCCAATCAGAGGACTGTATTGTACTGTACTGTAATGAAACGTGCATATCATATCATCAGGACATCAGCTGATTTCTTTCCCTCCTGATGAACTCACTTGCTCCTCTCGAGACATCTTGATTGTTTCTTACTGTTTAAAATATGTGTGCAAAAGTATGTTGGCATACAATATACAACAGAAAAAAGTCTGTTTGTGTTAATCATTGCCTTTGTAGGTTTACTTCCCACACTCTCTATTGTTGGAAACTATTGGAATCAGTTTGAGAAATGCCCCAATTATTGTCTATGCAGTCACCAGTGTTTAACTAATGTACTATACTTACCAGGACTTGTTGTTCAAAGTACTTTTCATGAAGTTTAGCGCCCCCTCTGACAGCCCAGGGTAACAGTGTCCAAACTGTATTTTCCCCTTCTTTATATTTCTGTCCTGCTCCCAGCCCAGCTCTGCGTAAAACGGGGTGTCGGCACTGAGCCTGGAGAAACACAAACCGTTTTACAAACCTGTGAAGTGAAATCTTGTTGAACATTATGATTGTTTTCTTACATTATAAACGACAGAACTCCGATGGCCCATATGTCAGTTTCCGGTCCAACTCCTTGACCTTCCAGGATTTCAGGAGCTTTCGGGAGAACAATATAATCTGGCAAAAACAGAAAGTATATGCATCACGAGAGGCAGGGAAAGACAGCTATATTACTGGTGAGATCTGAGAGTAAGAATGGTATTAGAATGGATGGACTTGGGGTTGTTAGGCGATGGTGATGGTCAGCCCACGGTTATAGGGTTAATCCACGCCGGTACTCTTTCTTTGTACCTTTGCCGCGACAGTCTGTTGAAAGCCATGGGAAGTTTAGTATATTAAAATAACCACGATCAGCTTTTTATTAGTCCTAGACCATCACATCATTGTTTGTAGTAATACCTTTGCTGTCTGACACTCCATGGATGTGCTCTACATGGACTGGCTGACCCGGGGTGAAGGACATGGCCGAACCCAAATCCACGATCTTCAGGTGCTCGCAGTCGTCCACCATCATGTTGTCAGATTTCAGGTCCAGGTGGATGACGCGGTGTCCGTGAAGATAGTCCACTGCACTCAGGACTTGAACCAGCAGCTCTGCCACGTGGGACTCGGCGTACAGCTCTCTGGAACACAGCAGGTATCGTTCTTTACTGTAAGTCCATAGCAATATGACAAGGATGATATTAAGTTCAAATTCAGGTTTAAGACAGTTCTGTTTGCCTGTGCATTCAACTGAAGGATTTTATCTCTATTTTTAATGCACTGTGGTTATTTATTTTTTAAATCCCTTGTGTGATTTAAATGTTCTAATGTTTTTGATTACCTGTGTGATTCTAATATTTGTATGATTTTTTGTGTGATTTTTATTTGTGTTTTAAATGGTGAATTTGGTGTTTTTTTATGTGATGATTTGTGCCATGTGTGATGTGGACTGTGAAGTGCTTTGTGTTTCCCTGTGTATGAAAAGGCGCTCTACAAATAACGATTGATTGATTGATTGATTTATTGATGATGAGTGTAGGCCGATCACTCTTATAGGCTGTGTTCGTTCAGGTGAAAGAATAAATTGTTGAAAGAGGTGTTGAAAAGGAAAATATTTAAATGTTTTCTGATATTTTGTGATAGATTAAGATTAAGAGATCCTTTATTTGTCCCACAGAGTGGAGATTGCAGTGTTGCATCAGCAGTTACAGAACAAAAGGAATGAGTAGCACACAAGATTAATGAGAAATAACTCTATACTAAATATAAAGTATAAAATCTCTATCTTCAGCATAATGAGTACAACAACTCTGACTTTAGCAGAATAAAGAAGTATAAAATCTAGTCCAAGTAAAACATAGTTGTATGTTTACATCTGTACATGTGTTAGCAGCATGAGGGTCTGGGACAAAGAGACTATAAGTAGAGCAAATTGCACATTCTGACATTATTAAAGTAATTATTGCACAGATGTGTAAGGGAAGTAAAGTGACACATGTGGTACTTTATTGCACATTCTGACATTACTGATAGTGATCAAATACATATATTATTCAACATAATGTTTTGTGAATATTGTCGTCTCTAAGTTGAAAGCATCAAATAGTGACGAGTGGCTGTGAATATCTCAAGTGAATTGTGAATGTATTGACAGAACTTAAACAAAATAATTATTTGATACAAAAGTGAGACAAAGCTTATTTGTAGCAAATTAAATGGTAAAAGGCCTCATTCAATTTATTAAATCAATCTGTGTTGGCCTATATATTTGTTAAGTTTAAGTTTCCCTAATGTCATTGGTTAAAATCAATGAATTGATAAATATCAAGGCACCATCAACATGGTGTTATAGGATGGTGTGAAACAAATAACATATATATTGATATTATTAATATTAGGTTTGTTTTTGTTGTAGATATTGCCAGCTGCGTACCTGCTTGCCAGACAGTACAGCAGCTCCTTCCCCGGACAGAGCTCTTCCACTAGGACCATGTAGGCGGGCGTCAGGAAGGCCATGTGCAGAGACACCAGGTTGTAATGATGCAGCCTCCGCAGCAGCTGGTACTCCCTCAGGACCAACAGTCTCTGCTCTGGTTTGTACGGAGTGATTTTAGCAGCAAACACCTGACTGGTCTCCACGTCTCTGCAAAGTGTGAGAACGCTGAAACGACCCCTGGAATACGAGCACAGTGACAGAAGCATAAAGAACACATATTATGATTTTATCATTTGAGAATATTTACTTCTACTAATTCTTTTAATCAGTTTGTGTAAGCCCTCAGTCGTACAGGGATTAGTCAAAGCAAAGGAAGGTTTCTCACCCATCATCTGTACTTCTTAGCAAGTTTTCCCGACGTTTCGTCCTCAACCTGGGGACTTCTTCAGGGAATGAATTCTCGGACCGCGCGTTGGAGATTTATAACCTATGGGTGTGGTAAGCCACACCCTAATCCTGATACTAACTCGTAAACAATCTCAGGTCTGCTTGATGTAGAAGGGGAGCAGGTCTAACGACCCTGCTGAGGCTAACGACCCTAACTCCTTAGCATGTCACAGACCTATTGTCTGCTGGGATGCTCAAGTGGAGTGCAGGTCTCACCCCTCCTAACTCATTAGCATGTCACTGACCTTGTCCCAAGTTAGGGCGTTGTTTTTAGGACGTCGTCATAGATGCGAGGCAAAACAAATCTTAACCCTCCTCCTCTGTTAAGAGAAGGTTTTTGTTTCCTCACAAAAATGGCTTCTTTCACTTCTTTGAGAGAGGAGTGAAAGAAGCCATTTTTGTGAGGAAACAAAAACCTTCTCTTAACAGAGGAGGAGGGTTAAGATTTGTTTTGCCTCGCATCTATGACGACATCCTAAAAACAACGCCCTAACTTGGGACAAGGTCAGTGACATGCTAATGAGTTAGGAGGGGTGAGACCTGCACTCCACTTGAGCATCCCAGCAGACAATAGGTCTGTGACATGCTAAGGAGTTAGGGTCGTTAGCCTCAGCAGGGTCGTTAGACCTGCTCCCCTTCTACATCAAGCAGACCTGAGATTGTTTACGAGTTAGTATCAGGATTAGGGTGTGGCTTACCACACCCATAGGTTATAAATCTCCAACGCGCGGTCCGAGAATTCATTCCCTGAAGAAGTCCCCAGGTTGAGGACAAAACGTCGGGAAAACTTGCTAAGAAGTACAGATGATGGGTGAGAAACCTTCCTTTAATTCTTTTAATCAAAACCTGAAGATTTGAACCAAAGTGAAGTGTTGGATGTGTTGCTTTCATGCACTTAGATAATTATTAATTAATTTTACAAAACTCATGTCGTCTATTTGAATTGTCCTGCACAAGACATATAGATTTTTATTCATGCATGCCTTTGATTTTATTCTGATTTAACTTGTTTGCACCGAGAGCCAAATTAAAAATGATTCTGATTCTGATATAGACTGTATGCACTGTCACCAGAGAGATGCAATAACATAAGATGTTCATGGATCAGAGATCAGTAAAAGCAGCACATGTGTAGTTTGGAAGTGAATAATGAATTTCTCATGGCTCTTATTGAGAGTCTTATGTTACAAACTCGACTTCATGTAAAGGTTTAGGGTAATTGGGAATATTCATACAAAAATAATGCTATGAAGCTCTTACCTGTTGATTTCAGATAAAAAGCTGAAATTCCTGTGTTGTCCTGTGGCCTTTGCTCCAAGCAGATCCGTAACGATGAGGGGAATGTGAGTCTCTGTTAAAACATTAAAGTTAAATGGACTGTATTATTAGCACAATATAATTCAGGTTTTTCTGTCCCCTCACCTTCAGGATGTGTGGACATCACAATGGGCACAGAGGCCTCGCTGAAAGGCCCGGCTCCTCCTTTTGTAACACAGCCCACTCGAAACACGTACGAAGCTCCTCGAGGCAAATCTGTGACCGTGTAGCAACAGTCGCTCTCTTCATCGCTCAGGCTGATCCACACACCTCCTGTGCACAACATATTCCATATAATCTTTCTGGTTTTAAATTCATTCACAACATTTTCTTCAATTCAATCACCATCTGACGAGTACTGAACACAGTAAGTGAATTTGTCACTGGACTGCACTGGTTTCCACACCACCAAGACTCCACCTCTGTCAAGCCGAAGCACTTCAGGTTTGTGTGGACGCACTGGCAGCAAAGTACAGACACAAAAGTTAATGGGCCGTAATTAAACAGACTATAGAGGAGGAGATACAGTTTAGCTTGAAAGGCAAAAAACAGGCATAAAATTATTGATTTTTTGGGCATATTTCAATTTGGGAAGTCACATATTGTCAATGAAAATTTGTTTCTATTTTTATTCTATAATGACAACAGAAACTACTCTTCTGACCCTGATTAGAAGTCGCCATCCCCCAGTTCTCAATAGTGTGTATTGCCCTTTGACAGCTTGAGGACTTCTGTGGTAGTTGTGGATGAGGTTCTTTATCCTATCTGGTACAGCTGCCCATTTTTCTTGGCCTCCAATTTCTGTCAATTCCAGGGCTGCTGTGCCTGAATGCACATTTGAGATCTCCCCAGAGTGGTTCAATTATGTTTTAATTTGAAAATAAAACACAATATTTCTTTGACAATAAATAGCTTCACATAACCACTAATGATGAGTGGGAGACCATAAATTGAGTTATCATTCAAATATCCAATATTTGGCGGAAACAATGAAATCTATGACTGGATATATAAACTTTGGAACACAAACGTACCTTTTGGCTTTTTGAAAACAGGTATTTTCAAAGAAGTTAACAATTTCTTTCTTTTTGGGACCTCAAGACCGTTTCCATGTTTTAATTCTGGGGTACTCGGGGCAGATCCTTTGAAAATAGGCCCTCGAAGGAACGGAATAAGTTAATAAACAATCATAATGAGTGTGTTGGTAAAAATACATCAACTAAATACATATACAATACATACCCCCTTTGCTTACATCCTCTTTAGACCTGGAGAAGAGCTTGGTCAGGCTGGAAGCAGAAGCTCTCATTTTCTTCCTCAGAGACATAGTGGGGGTGTCCGGCTTCATGATCTGTCCTAATGTCGGACCCAAACCTGTGTCATCAAGCTCAGAGTAGGAGTGCCCCGTCCAGGACTGTCTTCGGAAAATCTTGAAAAATCCCAGTTTAGGCGACCTTCCTGGTGATGGCTGAACCTCTAAAGCCGGTGCAGAAGCGTGTCTCTGGAGGGTCTGGCTATCCTTTTTGTCTTTGGCTCTTGGCGGCCTGTTGGGAGCTTGCAAAGAGGACAGACTTGGGCTTGGACTTGGCTGAGTGCTGGAGTTAAGACTTTGGTTTGAACGGGACCGGTTTCGAGGAGGAGCTTTGGGTTTGACGACACAATCCAGCTCTTGGAAGGAGCCGGCTGAGGAGGATACTAGCGGCTCAGCTTGATCGTCGTAGCCCTCACTGGTGGCAGATCTTGTCCGGAAGTGACGGAGCTCGTCAAATGACCCAGGTCTGCTTGAAGAGTCTGATCCATGTTCCATAACAAGAGATGAAGTCAGTGAGGTCTGGGAGCCACACAACGTTCTATCAGTGAGATTATGGCTAAGCTTGGGACTCATGTTCTCTGGGGAATAGTCTTGAGACGGTACAGCAGTATTAGGATGTGAAACTTGCACTGGACTCGCAACTGATTCCCATCTTCTGGAACTGGGTATTCCCAAAAACCTTCTTTCTACCTCTTCATCTTCAGTCAAATCCTCTTTTAAGCTGTGTGATCTCTCGTCTTCTTCCGCCGGTGTGCTGCGTATAGGCGAGCTGGGAGATCTTCTAGAATAGTTCTCCAGGGATCGACTCCTTCTGTGCGGTGGAACATTGGCCTGCGGTAGTCCCACGCCACTGTCAAAAGAGCAAGATTTCTGCATTGAAGGCTGGATCGATCCACGTCTCTGTACACGGATAGCCTCGGTCTCGTCCTCCACATATTCAATCAGAGGTTCATTCAAACGACCAGAGAAGCTCCTCCTTAGTGGCTTCCGACCTCTTTCCTGCTTTTTTGATCGGAATTTGTCCCTTAAAGACATGTGCCGCGCCGACATAGGGGAGAGTTGCTGAGACGAAGTGTAAAAAGTACTTCGGATGACACTGCCCCGTGGAATTCGCCCTCCTTCACTCCCAGAACCATCGTCTGCGTCAGATAACACAGATGGGGAGCTGTCTTTGCTAAACTTGCGATCTCTTTGAGGCGTATGGTGGAAAGACATGTCCGAAGATTCCGCAGACTGCCTGCTTAGACTTCTCTCCATTACACTCCGGCCTGCCATAATTTCTGCGTCCTCCTCATCTCCCAGCATCACCTCTTCCTCTTCCAAAAACCCCCGACTGAAAGGCTTGGGTATTTGCGACCTCTCTACCATAGGGTCGTAGTCTTCTTCAGTATCCTCCTCTTCCTCGGTCGGACTGTAGTGTTGGAAGAAGTCCCAGGAGTCGGCCTCGTCGTACTCGGAGGAGGAGCTGCTGACGGAGCTGCTGCTCTCGTGGGGCTCTCGGGGAACTGTGACTGCAGTCTCCCGAAGAGGGGCATCCAGCAGCTCAGGGACAGGCCGCAGCGTGAGCACAGAGCCCACACAGGTCAAGGAGCGCTGGACACGATTCACAAGACAAGGTCACTTAATGGGATGACGTCACTTCTTATTTTCAATACTCATTCAATAACCCAGCTGCATACATCTGATGGATAAGCAGCATTTAGGTGGCTAAACTATGGAAACAGCCTTGTGTATGAGCTGTGCAATACAAATAAACTAGCCTTGCCTGGTCATTCCGTCATGATTTTTTAACCAAACAAACTTAAAGCTGGGGGACCTAACTTTCAAATCACATCAAATTGAACTATGTAATAAAATCCAACTATTCTTCACTATTCACTAGTGACACTTGGCTTCTGTCACATATTTAGACAGAAAAGTGGAAAGAGAAGACCTTAGTATGTTTTTCAATAAGATGAAGACAGCCTGTGGTGGTCTGAATTGGTCACATTGTTTTACTTTTACACTCTCTTGTTGGGGAGAACAGCATGTATTATCAAACACCCAAGCTTTAATGGGATCTACAATCTTTTTAGATCAAGTTAATAATCCTCCTTTTTCCCTGTTATTCTGCTCTTGCCAAAGCTTCAGAAGTATACTAGAGTATATATTCGGTTCTGCACAATTGGTACTCCTGACAGGTATGGCCACACTAAACCAACAACCAGTATTTAACAACAGCAATTTCTGTACATCATACATGGAAATATTCACCTGCCACTTCCTTTTTGACAAAAAGACTTTCAAGTTTCTCATGTTGATCTCATCGGTATCTTCCCCTGCGTGGTCGTCCTGGAAATATTATAAGTTAGACGTGAAAACACACAGTACAAAATACATTGGTCCTCATTCACGAACGGTTCTTAGGAACAGATTTGTACGTAAATCCTACTTACGCGTTTTTTACGAAGAAAGTGGCATTCACGAATATTTCTCGTAACCAGAATTTCTCTTGGGCAAGTACAAATCCTACGAGTCCTCAGGAGGACTCATACGCATTCAGTGCCGACATGTTCACAGCCGGGGTTGTCCTCTTTGGTGAAGTTGAATAAAAATACAACATTCCAGTGATATGTCCGTCATATCGATGTATGTATTTATTTATTTGTAGTAATCTTTATTAGTAATCTTTATTTATATACCGCCTTTTTCACTGCAGATCTGGCCTACTTTTTAATTCATTTTGAAATGAAATGTGCCAACGCTTTATCAAATACATTGGAAATCTTGCCGTGTATTAGTGACCCCTTCCTATTTATAGGGGGCATTTCTTTATCCACGGGCCACAGAACAACGGCATATATACTGCTGCTGCAGGAGGTTACTGGGTCCGCGCTGAGTCTTCTGCGCTGGTCTCTCCCATGGATCTATACGGGTCTGCACTGGTCTCTCCCATGGATCTATACGGGTCTGCACTGGTCTCTCCCATGGATCTATACGGGTCTGCACTGGTCTCTCCTATGGATCTATACTGGTCTGCACTGGTCTCTCCTATGGATCTAGACGGGTCTGCACTGGTCTCTCCCATATACGGGTCTGCACTGGTCTCTCTCCATACGGGTCCGTGCTGCATGCTCCTGGATCCATACGGGTCCGCGCTGGTCTCTCAAGTCTGGTCTATGCGGTCTCTCTTCGGTCCGCGCTGGTCTCTGCGCACCGGTCTCTCCAGTCAGGTCACTCCAGTCTATGCGGTCTCTCCTATAGGTCCGCGCTGGTTTCTGTGTGCTGGTCACTCCAGTCTCTCCTCGGGTCTGCATTGGTCTCAGCGCTGGTCCGCGCTGGATCTCCTCCCAGGGTCCAAAATGTTTTGAGATTAATCTCAAAACATTTTGAGATTCATCTTTAAAATAATACATAATATATTTTTAAATTAAGCTCATAACATTTTGAGATTAATCTCATCATATTCTTAGATTAATCTCATAATTTTGCTAGTTTGACTTTATTATCATATTATTTCGCCTTTTAAGTCAACATTTTATAACTTTATTCTCAGTCTGGTAAAGGAAGAAAAAAGGGTGACTATTTTGCTCCGTGTAACTCTGCTTTAGGCCTGTTGCTGTTTCCTCTGCCGTCTGCACACGGCCCTGCAGTCCCTTATATGGGCATTAGTGGGCGGTTACTTATGCTAAGTACCTATGCTAATGAGGCACCTGGCACGCGCGCTGTATTTACGAGGAAATGGGATTCATCAATCTGAGAGAACAGCTGCGAACAATTCAGCGGTTTACGAGTGCGTTGATGAATCCCACGTGGGGACTTCTTAGAAATCTACTTAAGGACAACTTGAGAAGAAAGTTGAGTAGTTTCTTACGAAGTTATTCGTGAATGAGGCCCATTGTTTTTTCTCTCACCTGGAACCACTCATGACTCAGGCACTCAAAGGCAGATGGCCGCTTACTGTTACAAACACAAATCATACAGAAAAGTCAAAGGATAGCAGTAAAGCGGTAAATAATATCTCGCGTGTGGATGTTTTTCCTACTCAGGGTCTGGCTGCAGGACAGTGTGAAGGAAGTGTTGGGCTTCAGGACTCCGGAGCAACACATCTGGGGCGTCCCAGTTAAGGGTGCCCTCCCCCACTCTCAGCAGGGTGGCACGGTCCGACTCTCCAACGAAAGGGCACCGTCCCACCAGGCTATCAGCAGTATGGAATCAATAAATCACTCATTCAAAGCGAAGGGTTGGAATTGTAAATGATTGATGACTGATACAATACATACCACAGAAATGCAATCACACCCACAGCCCTGTAAAGAAAAAAACGATGATTCGAGTAAAAATAAGTGCGTCTTATCTCCTGTTAATCACCAAAAGTATTCTACACATACCAAATGTCGGTGGCCACACTAACAGGTTCTTGGTGAACAATCTCAGGAGCAACAAACTCTGGTGTCCCGTACACACTGTAGAGATGTCGAGATGTGTCTATTTCCTGACAGAAGCCGAAGTCACAGATCTTGATTTCATCTCTTGGAGGGTACACCATTAGAATGTTCTCCGGCTGATAATGTTGGGGGGAAAACGGTTAGAAGTCAAAACTACACAGTAAAACATTTACACCACATAAAGCTGGGGTACCTAACTTCTTGTTAATAAATAAATGCATGTAAACTGACAACAGAAAGTCTTGTCAAAGTCAAATGATACATGAAAATGTTGAGTGAATAAATCGGACCACAACATGCTGTCTTCATATTAGAAAACATTTGTTAGCATTCAGAAACCCTTAAGTCACTATTTGAGCTGAGTGAAGGTGGTCTGAAAAAACTGATCTAAAGATGTGACAGAAGCTAAAAAAACATGCATGTGAAACTAGTGATAGAACCAGAACAGTTGGAACAAGTTACAAAGATTTCATTACATAGTTCCATTGTCTGTGGTTTGAAAGTTAGTTAATATGTATATGTATGTAAACAAAATCTCACCTTGACGTCTAGATGCAAGATGTTTACGCTGTGAATGTGGCCAATACCTTCTAGGATTTGTTGAATATATGACTGAACCTGAAACAGAATAGCTGTCAATAAACAACCACTAAAATAATGAATTATATCAACTATACTTCGTTCTCTGCAACAGATCCTCTCATATACAAGTGGTCCATTAGTCCATGAGAGCAACAACTGCAAGCAATATCAGAAGGACATATGAATGAAAAATGAACGAGGAGAAAACAAAATGAACGAGGAGGGAAAAACACTCTTACATTTCAGTGATGAGGACCAGAGTGCGTCTGGTGCAGAAGAAGTCCAGCAGACAGGCCACTCTGGGGTGAGCCAGGCGAGACAGCAGGTCCCTCTCCTGGAAGGCTCTTGTGCGAGTGCTGTTTCTCAAAGGTAAAAACTTGGCAGCAAATACTTCCCCTGTTCTTCTGTGAACAACACGCTTCACAACGCTGAAGGTTCCTCTACACCACACAAAAATTATGTCAGCACGTAGGTTAAGGTTGAGGTTACGGTCCGCAATGATTCCTCTGCAATTAACCCATCCTGCAATGCCACTAGAGCCTTTGGGCCTAGGGCCAGGAGCAGTGGTCACCACTGTACAGCACCCAGGGACCCATCTCCACATATTGATGCTCAGCCTGGTCAAAACCACCAGAGCTGAAGGGTTTTACATATTATACATTTATTTATAATATTGTTCAAAAGTTCACAAGCTGAGCCAATTATCAACATCTTTGCATGTAATACGTTTGTCATATATTAGTTTCACATTATTGAATCACAGAAGTAACACTTCTTTGGACTTTTGAACAACATGCTACTTTCACCTGTAATGTCTAAAAATGGGCATTTCTTACCGTCCAATTTCCTCGTGAACATCATAGACAGAAAAGAGCTTTCTTCTCCTCCCCAAGTCCACTTCTCTCTCCTGAGACTCAAGCAGACCTACAATAATGAGGTAATGGCTCATACCAACTCCTAATTAACTGATTGGTCATCTTATAACAATAAAAAACTTACCTTCGACCACAGTGAGCTGGGCCTGACACAAAACCTGCCCAGACTCATTGTAGGCGAAGCACGTGTATATTCCACTGTCCTCTCCTTCTGGACACACTATGGTCAGAGCGCAGCGTGCCCCGTGTTGGGCTATTTCTATGTTATCATTAGCCTGGAGCTCGTCTTCATCCTTCAGTCAGAACATGCCATAATGTTATACATACAGTCGCTTGAAGTAATCATACCCCATTAATTTCACGTTTCAGTCAATAGCAGGGATCTCAAACACGCGACCGTGCAACAGTATTTTGTGGCCCCCTAGTGGACATCTAAGTGTAATGTCAATGCGACCTCCACTGAAAGTCTGGGCTAATATGAAGAATATTTTTTTTTTCCAAATAAACATCCTTGTCATTTACATTACCGTAAACATTGCACTATAAAGTAATCATTTAAAGTAGACATTATTCATTCAATACAAAGTCTTATAGCCTTGACCCAAGTGATTGAGGAGTGATAGTGGCTCAGTTGGTAGAGCATTGGCCTTTGAGCCAAAAGGTTGTGGGTTTTTCTAGATCCTGCTATTCTGTCAAATTTTCGACCTGTCTCTCACCTGCCATTTTTGTCTAAGGTTTTAGAGAAACTAATCTTCATTCAGTTGCAGACCTTTTTGGAAAATAATTCTATTTTGGAGAAATTTCAATCAGGCTTCAGATCGCGTCACAGCACGGAGTCAGCTCTTCTTAAAGTGCACAACGACATTCTGCTGTCTTTGGATTCGAAGCAGCCAGTGCTTTTGATGATGCTGGACCTGACTGCGGCGTTTGACACCGTGGACCACTCAGTTCTCCTCTCCCGGCTGGCGGAGCATGTTGGTGTTCAGGGCACGGTCCTGCAGTGGTTCAGGTCCTACCTGACTGACCGGAGCTTTGTTGTGATGGTCGATGACTATTCCTCCTCCTCCACCCCGCTGTCATCTGGGGTGCCACAGGGTTCCATCCTTGGCCCGGTCCTGTTCTCACTTTACATGCTGCCGCTCGGGTCCATCATTGCCAGACATAATTTATCATTCCATCTTTATGCTGACGATGTCCAGGTTTATTTACCAGTGCTCCCTAACACTGCCACTGCCCTTGACTCCCTTCACCACTGCCTTTCGGACATTAAACAATGGCTCACGCAGAATTTCCTCCACCTCAATGAAACAAAATCCGAATTCATTATTTTTGGCTCCGGGGATGTTCCTCAGTTTCAGTCCAGGGTCGTGGGTCCAGTCCGTGATGCCGTCAGGAACCTGGGAGTTGTTTTTGACCGGGAACTGAACTTTAAACAACAAATACATGCTGTTGTCAAAGCCAGCTTTTTCCAGCTGCGCCTCTTGACCAAGGTGAAGCCCTTTCTCTCACGCCAAGACCTCGAGAAGGCAACGCACGCATTTATCAGCTCTCGGTTGGACTATTGCAACGCTCTCTACTCTGGCCTCCCACAGTCGTCACTCAACCGGTTACAGTTGGTGCAGAATGCAGCAGCCCGTCTTCTCACCGGTTCATCTAGATACAGCCACATCACTCCTGTCCTCTCCTCCCTGCACTGGCTCCCGGTCCGTTTTCGGATTGATTTTAAAATGTTAATGCTTGTTTTTAAAGCTCTTCATGGTCTCGCTCCGTTATATTTAACTGAGTTGTTGACCGTACATCGCCCCAGCAGAGCTCTCCGGTCTGCCAATCAAATGGTTCTGGATGTGCCCAGGTCCCACTACAAACAGTGGGGCGAACGTTCCTTCAGGGTTGCAGCGCCTAAACTGTGGAACAGCTTGCCACTCAGTCTGCGTGTGCTCACGGACCTGTCCCTTTTTAAGTCCAGATTAAAGACTCATCTTTTTAAACTTGCTTTTAATACTTAGGGCACACTGAATTGTGTCTTGGTTGTTTTCATTTTGTGTTTTAAATTGTTTTAATCTCTCTGTGAAGCACTTTGGTCCTCCTGGTGTTGTTGTAAAGTGCTATACAAATAAACTTTGATTGATTGATTGATTGGGTTTGGGCCCACCATGAGACCTTTTCCACTAACTCCCACTGATGTCTGCTGTCATTGTGTCCTTGGGCAAGACACTTAACCCCACTTTGCCTGAAGCCCCCGCTGAAAACTCACAGCTCCTGAGGACTCACAACCTGCAGGAGGATCAGTGAGGGGCTGGTGTTATGTGAATTTGGTGCAGCTCTGACTAACACCCCCCTTCAAGGGGAAGAAAATGGATGGATGGATGGAGGTACAACACCGTATACCCCTCTGAGCCTGTTCACTCTAATTCGCCATACCTGCTCTGGATGTACAAAGCTAGGGGACTCCACAAAGTATAGGGAATATTTTTCCCACACGATTTTTTTATTTGTAAAACAATAAATAATCTTGTAACCTTTTGCATTCACTTTGCATTACAGACTTGTATGCCACTTTGTGTTGGTCTTTCACACAAAAAGGTAAAGATGAATGCGATGATGTTGGTTTACTTTTACAATGAAGATACTTACTTTGAACCACTTCATGCTCGGCCCAGGTCTTCCCGTGATGATGGCAGTAAATGTGGCAGTTTGACCAGGCTCCACTGATAAATCCTCAATTGGAACTTGAACACAGGGAGGAGCTTAACAGAAAAACAGAAAACACAAATGTGAATCTGTCTGTTTTTCTTATTTTATTTCTAAAATGAAAGTGAAACTAAACCATCTGTAATCTCCTGCATGGGCTCTGGAACATAGATCTCCTCCTCCATTTCTTCAAGGTAATACAAAGGCTGTTCAGCTTCTGATGTAGGAACATGTTCTGCAGGACTTCTTCAAGAGGGAACATCATATCGTCAGAATTCAACATAATGCATTTCATGAATGTTCACGGATGACACTCACTGGGCAGACTCAGATGGAACAAACATCTTTGTGACAGAAGTTGGCGAGTAATCTGTCTGTAACCATTTATGAACAAAGACAGAAGACCAATCCTCCGAGTCAGCGTCTGAAAAAGGATATTCAGTGGCATCAAACAAGACCATTAAATTACCTTGTGTTATTGACGTCCAATAGTTTAAATATTGGTGCTGTACATTACCTGGATATAGATCGATATCTTACCTGAGCCGGACATTTACAGACACAAACAGCACATGACCATCTGCGTTAGCTGCATGCGTGGAAAGGAGAAAGTGGATGTGGAAGGGTTATTTGTTAAAATGACTTACATGAGATGATCCATGATTGGTGCTTCCTGCTTTTAGAGGGAGAAGATGTACAATATGAAGGTTACAGTGGACAATGATAAAAGAAATAATGATCAAATTCAACATAGATGAAACATTAAACAAATGGTATATAATTAATTTATAACCAATATTTTCTTATCGATTTTATACGATATATTATATACCAATAAATAACATCACCCAAAAATGTAAGCGCCAGTAGAAGCAGAGAAGTAACTCTAATGAGAGAAACAATAAACCAGAAGTCATTGAAATGATTCAAATCAAAATGAAAAACAAATGTAAACATGTCATCTATGGCAGGGGTTCCCAAACTTTTCAGATAGGGACCCCCAAAATCAACACAAATCCGCCAGCCCCATTACAAAGTAGTAAGCAGCAAGCAAAAAATGTAGGCATCAATTACATCAGCCGCCATGTTGGCTGTTAAAGTCATGTATTGTGTTATCTGTCCTAATAGCGCTTACATAAAGTGTTTAACAATTTAACAGGCAATAGAATTGAAGTATAATTATAGTGCATCTAAAAAGATCTTACAACCCTCAATTGAAGCCCCCCTGGGTGTCCCGACCCACACTTTGGGAACCACTGTGTGGTGAAAAAGGAATGGGGAAGGAAATGATAATGTAAATGCCATGGATGTGTTTCAATTGATTTTTAGAGATGGTAACAATCTGAAATATGAATGGTTATAAGTGAATGTATATGTTAACTGTACAATGGCATGTGCAGACCCCACCATAATGAGCAGTGTGTTTTTACCTTCAGCAGTTCCAATAGCCCTACCTTTAGCAGGTAAGTCCTTCGGCTCATTGACAATATAGGTGGGTGGAACATAAGCAGGACAAAGACCAGCCTTGCATTTGACACAGCCAAATTCATTTGTTAGCTGAAAAAACAAATAGACATTGTTATTCAGTACCCTGTGCACAAAAAGAATTATATTATTTGATTATAATTCCACAGGCATACCTCACACTCATATTGTCCAATATCAGACTCTGTTGCTTTGAGAATAGTCAGAGACAAAATGCCACTTCGAGAATCATTCAGGATGAAGTATTTCTGCTGATCATTTAATTCACAGCCATTTTTCATCCATCTGTCAATTATAGAAAGTAATCACATCATGTGTCATTTTGAACGCGATCATTCACATGTTTACCGGACTCGAGGCAAAGGCAGACACAGAGTCGAACAAGTGAAAGAGATGTCTTCAGCCTCGATTAGGCAAATATTTTCCAACCGGCTCACAAATCTTGGCGGTGCTACAGAAAGGAACAGATGGAATAAACTACATGAAGGTGTACACATGTTTCATCATGTCGTTATTGCTAAATGCAAACCTTGAACAACAACTTTAGCCAGAGACCCAGCACTGCCCAAAGAGTTGGTGGCATAACAAATATACTGTCCCGAGTCCTCAGGAGTGAGGCTGTCCAGGATGAGGCTGCTCACACCTGTCCGGTCTGTGGTGACAATGTGGTGGGGGTCATCCTCCAAAGACAGACCATCTACAAGGCATTTATTTACTTGTATCAATATTAGACATAATGAAGGTTTGGATAAAGACATTTGAAAGATTGTAAATGCCTTTCAGCCAGCTGATGTCTGGTTTTGGACATCCAGTGATTTTGCAGGATAGTTTGATAGTTTGTCCAATTTTTGTTGTGCAATCTGACAGCACTGACTCAAACATAGGTGGACCTGGAAACACACAGGATTATGTCTGAGTATATTAACTATCAAATGGTGCAGAAAATCACATTATATTTTCTACAGCTCACAGTTTGTGGAGTCTTGAGAGCGCTGCTGCAGCTCCTTCAGGTCCTTCAGCCATGACAGTTTAACCAGAGTAGAACGACACTGAAAGGTGTATTTCCTCATGGAGCCCCTGTGCTCGTGCCACAGCCCCCACAACCGCTCATCGCCTCCAATGCTCTCCTTTATCTCCACATCATTGAGCTGAAACCACAGAAAACAACAAATGAATATGTTGTTTTTATCTAGTGTTTTTGGTATAAACACAAACCTTCATTTTGTTCTTAAACATATATGTGTCTGTATTCAGGCTCGTGTCCCTTTTCACTTTGCACAGAATAAGGCACTCTTTAAAAAGGAACACTTGTCTCTGGTGCCCTCTGGTGGGAGATTTAATTTCTGGAGTTTCTTCACATACTGTAACAACTCCCTAAAAGAGAAAAGAGACATAAATGATATACATTTTTTTTTTTTTATAGCAGAGTGGTGTATGTAAGTGCTGCACCTGTCTCACAGGCTCTCCCAGTGCAGTGAGAGGAGCAGGGTAATTCTCAATGAGTGACACATGGTGCAGGTTGTTCGACCTCGAAGGCAAACAGGAAACACTGGAGAAAGCATCTTCCATCAGACAGCAACTCTGGCCACTCTTTGCTTTGTTCTTGATCAACTCCTGTTGTAAATTAAAATATTCGGATAAGGTTTCCTCATTTTGTTTGTTTCACGGATGTGTATCTGTTAACCTTTAACAAAACTTGGTATGTGTGGATTCTCTCTACTGGTCTCTGGAGGAAAGTTATGACATCCATGTCAGAAGCGTCCCCATGTTTAGTTACTGGCAAATCCTGAGAATGAAATCATGTTAAATTACATACTAATATGCTAGAATTACTTGGAATATGTCATACTTGGAAATATTGTTGGATAGATTTGTCTGTGAGGCACATCTCTGCTTGAGCCTGTCCCGCTATGTACTGAAGATACTTCTCAAAGTCTTCGGCGTGTTTGAGGAGAAACATAGCTACATCATCATCTGTGACACAATTTTTCAAACCAGGAAGGATGGTTCTGGTAAAAAAAAAATATATAGTCACATAAGTCATATCTTAAACAAACAAGAGAAACCAGAATATATACACTGTGCATATGTAAGATAATATTATGTCTCACAGTCTGAAATCAAACTTCTGACTAATGGTGTTATAAAATATAGATTGGGCGATAGAAAGCAATATAGATTCTTATACATTATATTTGGGCCAAGATGTTATTTATTTATTCCAAAGTCATGTAAAAATATTGCAATAATCGCCTTATATGATGGTCCACCGCTGCTGCTGTGGACCATCTGATTCATCTATCTAATATCAATAATTCAGAATCTCAATGTTGTGGCATTGAGTCAGCTGAAATATTTTTGGTAGATATAGTAGACCTAAAACTTGTGAGAAATAAAAAGGACATGTCTTACTCCATACAGTATGTAAACTTCCAGTTCCTACTGTATACCTGTTATAGTAATAGTCTGATGTGGGTGGAGAGCTTACCTCTCGTGCAGAAGCACAATGTCCCGGACATTCCTGAAGATGACTTCTTTCTGAGCGAGGACATTTGAGGGAATGTGTCGACTGGTGTCAATATAATGTAACTGATGGGAGGTGAACACTCTCATCTCTTTTACAAATTCCTCTTCTCCATCAACCAAGCCTTGAATAAGTTGACTAGAATAGAAATAAAATAAACATATTATTCAACATATTCTATAAAAACAAAAATCTTAATCAACAAAACAAACCTTGAGGCTTTCCTGTACTCTTCCCCTGTTGAGTCGATTCCATCCAGATCATCTTGTAGTGGTCTCATTTGTGGGAATGCTTCCTGCAGTAGATCATTGTTTGATGCTTTTTTCAATGCATGAGACGAATTACAACATGAGTAAGAATACAGCAATGTGTTCTAACCTTCCGTCTTTTCTCCAGATACGCAGGGCAGACCCATCCCTGGCGAGATTGGGTTGTTTTGGTTGGTTTGGTCCGAATCAACCATTTATCCGGGTGAACTGAGTCCAAGACCTCAATAAATTGTCCCTCTTTCAGAATAAAACTGTCTTTATTTCCACTGTTAGGAGTGCAGTCAGCTCGAGCCACATAAATCTCGAATGTCTGTGACCATACAATAACAGTCAGTGAGAATGAGAAAGATATATTTTCACCTAACTGAAGTGTATACGAGGGGTAAGTCACTGGGTACCTCTTTAGTGTCCTCCTCTCCTTCTGAATCGGAGTGGGACACAGTGGTAGTCTGTGGGGTCTGAGCGCGATGATGCTTGGGAGAGAGGCTCCTCAATTTGCCCTCAACTTCTACAATCAACAGAATACCATCAGTGGATTCAGACTTCAAGCAGAAAAAGCGACTCAAACATTCCTACCTTTGATTTTCAGCTGCTGTTTTGACTGCTGTGCAATTTGTTCTTGAATATTTTGTGGGGTTTCATGTTCAACAGACTGGGCTTTGACTTCCCTGTTCAAAAATATTGCCAAAATATTACTTTAAAGGTGCATTCCTCAGCTATCTTGATGGTGACCTACTTGTTGTGGCCCTATACCTGCTTCTTGCAATAGATAATAGAGATTTTCTTCCTATCTGACCGATATTCTACTATGGCATGTGATACCTCATTTCTCAGGAAACAACCACAACAATAATCCCAAAACGTAATTCGTAATAATTAGTAATCTGCCTTTACAAATCACCAAATAAAATGTTGGCATCAGTCGTTGCAAAAAGTTGCTTTGAATGCTGGTCACATTGGTTTAAAATATGGACATTCCTCAATTATGGATAATTTTTGTGCTTTAAAAAACAAACAGCATTGAGATGTACCCAAGCAAAAAGCGTACAGGACAGTTTGGCGAATGCACTTTTAATCGTACCTGGATTTTAAAGCAACCGTTTCAGCCGGTTCCAATACATCTGGTGCAGTTTCATAATCGGAGGGACTTGACACTGTTGAAATGAAAGACATTAAAATACAGAGCAAATCTTGGGCGTTCACAAAACACAAAAAACTCACTTGAGCTGGCACTGAAAAGAGTGGAACCCCGCCTCTCCTGCAGACCCCTCTGGGCATCCTGCTCCGTTAGATTGTAGGCCTCCCAAAGAGACACTTCCACATTTTCTACATAGTTTTCTGGTTCTGATAGTTTAGTTTCTGCCTGTACCTCGGGGGCAGGTTGCAGAGGAGCGATGGCTGCTAACGGCGGATGTATCGGCCTTTGAGCCAATCCCTGGACAGCTTGTACAACTGTGAGATTTCCATTGTACGAAGTCACCCCAAACTTATTGACAGCTTCGCAAGTGTACACACCGCTGTCGCTGGTAGTGACGCTGCTAATTATCAAAGTCGATTCTCCGGTCTCTTTAGTCTTGAAGAAGCATCTTTTCTCACTAGTTATGGCTTGACTATCCTTCAGCCAACGCACTGTGGTGGGCTTTCCCTCAATATGACAGACTAGAGAAACTATATTACCTGCCTCTATGGTCTGGTTTTTGAAGACATTTTTGAAAATCGGTCGCATCTCTTTTCTAGTTTTGTAGCCTTTAAACGCAGCTTGGATCTTGACAGCAGCGTCTAACATTTCGGGTTCATCTTCAATGGAAATCTGCTCCTGCTCAGTGACGGAGGGTAGGCCAGGTCCAGTACCAACATCAGTGATGTCGACTGGAAGATCAGTCAAAGCCTCAGAGAACGTTTCGTCTTCAGAAATATAAACAAGTGGTATTTCGTCTTTCATTTTTGGTGCGGTGTGTTGATCTCTTTTTATGGGCTCAACGGCAGCCCTCCTCTCCCAGACACTTTCACTTTCTTTTCTTATTGGATCAGCAGCTGCTTTTACATCCACTTTAGCAGTTTGTTTTAATTCTGGTTGAACAACAAGATCCTGACTTAGCTCTACCACTGACTTTCTGTTTGGTTCAGCAATATTCTTTCCCTTTGACTCATCAACCTCTTTAGTCCCTTTTGCTACTGTAATCTCTTTTCTCGTTGGCTTTGTAGGTTGTGGAATCTCCTGGCTTTGCTCAGATTCATTTCGGATTGGTTTCACTGGCTGTTTGGGTAGAGGTTTGGTTTGTGGTTCAGGCACCAACAGCAGCGGTTTCTTCTCTGGTTCCTCTGCTGTTGCTGTTTGCTGTTTCATCTCAGTTCCCAAAGCCTTGAGCGGTCTTACTGGTTGTATAACGGGCAGTTCGACGTTCATTGTTCTTGTGAGTTTTTCGTCTTGGTCGGTCTCAGTGTCTCTTGATGATTGTCTATCAATGCTCCTTGATTTGCTTCTTGACCTCTTGGGTGGTTTTGGTGGTATCTCCTTTTCCTTTCTTTCTTCTACCACAGTTTTTTCTTGCAGTGCTTTGTGGGGTTTATCCATATGCTCCAGTTGAGTTGCTGACCTTGTCGTCTCTTCAGTTTCCTGTCGTTGCCTATCATTGCCTATTGCAGTGATTGTTTTGATTGGTGGAATAATCTCCTTCGCCCCTTTTCCAGCAAGGTTTTCAGGCGGCACAACTGTTGGCCTTCCTTTTGATCTTGCTGGGGCTTGGACAGTATCCTTCATGTTGTGATCTACATTCTGTTCTAATGGTTTCATATGTGTAGCCTTCTCTTCACCTTGTGTATTTGTGTCAGCTTTGCTTTTTACATCGGTTAAGATTACAGGCGTTTCTTGGTGTTTAACGCTTTGTAACAGTCCTCTTCCTCTTCCAGGAGAGACAAATGGTTCCTTCTTTGTTTCAATCACAACCTCTTCTTCTTTTGCAACTTTGTCTAAAATGTTGTCATGTTTTTTATTCCCAAAAACAACATGTTCTGTGCCAGAAGAGTTTGCAACTAAAATGTTTTCTTGTGTTTGCAATGCAATCACTATTTCACATTTTTTGTCATCCAAATCTTTTACAGGGGTAATGTTAGTGGTCGTCTCTGGGGCAGAATTTGGCGGCATTGTCTTTAGTTTGTCATTGTTTTGTTGAAACGGTGGTTTAGTAGCTGGTTTTATGTCAAAGACTGGCTCCACATCTTTTTCAGATGAAGTTATGGAAGCTCTTCTTGTCCTCTTTTTGGGTTCGGGGGGAACAGGTTTATTTTGTGGTTCAATGTTCTTGTAATTTGGTGTAGAGGTTGTGAGCTTTGGGGGAGGCTTTATTTTGGGAATTTCTGTAATTTGCACAATCGGTTTTGCTGTAAGAAGATTTTTTTTGTTACTACATCAGTACAAAAAAACTTGTCTTAGAAAGGGACACAAACATACCTCGTATTTTTACATTTGCAGTTGTAGTTTTACTTCCTGCTTGACATGTATAATTCCCACTGTCTTCAGGTGTGACATCTCTGATGTTCAGCTCCATATAACAGCCCTTTTGTTTTATCTCATACTTGCTATCAGCTTTTAGATGACTTTTGTTCATTTGCCATTGCACAGGTCCAGGCTTGGACAGTTCACAGATCAAAGACACTGTACCTCCCTCATCAACTTCAACTTGCTTTAGTTCTTTTCTGAAGAAAACTGGAACTTCTGAGGGGAGAAAATAGAAATAGTATTTTTCATAAAGGCATAATAAAAGAATGTAAACATTAGATTAGAATAATGGGACTACCTTTCACCAGTACATTTGCTGTTGTTTCAACACTTCCTGCCTGGCACGTGTAGCTTCCATTGTCCTCCAGATTCAGATCTTTGATGGTTAGTTGAACAAGACAGCCCTCTTGCTTCATTTCCACTCTTTCATTGGAGCCCAGCACCTTTCGGTTCTTCTTCCACTGCACTGACACTCGGGGCTTCGAGAGTTCACAGATGAGGGAAATGCTACTGCCCTCTGTAGCATCAACATTCAGTAATTTTGTGCTGAAGAATGGAGCAAGTTCTACAAAGGTACACAATTAGAAATGTGATTATCTGTAGAGATTACAGTTTTCATTCTTTGTTGAGGTCCTACCTGTAACTGACAGCACTGCATTGGTCTCTGCACTTCCTGCTTGACATGTGTAGCTGGCACTGTCCTCACTGTTCAGATCTTTGATAAGAAGCTGGTGGTTGCAGCCATTTTGTTTAATGTCATATTTTTTATTGGCCCTCAGAGGTTGCTTGTTCTTTCTCCATTGAACTGAACACCCAGGTTTAGACAAGTCACAGGACAAAGAGGCCGTACTACCTTCCTCTGCCACCACATCACGCAGCTGGACCATAAATATTAGTGGGAGCTCTGTACAAAAGATGTTTCAGATGCTCACAACAGTTTCTTTTAGTAGTAATCTATGTAGCTTTAGTAGTAATAATAGTAGTAATTGTATACATACACACCTTTTACTCTAAGAGTAGCCATAGTTTCAGCACTCTCTGTTTGACATATATAGCTACCACTGTCTTCAGGTTTTAAGTCTTTAATGAGAAGCTGAAGGAGACAGCCATCTTGTTTAATTTCATATTTCTTGTTTGTCCTTAGTGGTTGCTGATGCTTCTTCCATTGTACTGATGGTACAGGTTTGGAGAGCTCACAGCACAAGGCAACTTGACTTTGTTCTCCTGCGTTTACATTCACTAAGCCTTTTTTGAAGAATACAGGTTTCTCTGGAATAAAAAAACATGTATAATTTATGAAAGAAAATAAAGATACATTTTTAAAGAGCCACTACCTCTTACTGCCACTGTAGCAGTAGTTTGTGCGTGTCCTGCTTCACATGTGTAGCTGCCACTGTCCTCAACTTTAAGATCCTTAATACGAAGCTGGAGACAGCAGCCATCCTGCTTCATTTCATACTTTCTATTGATCTGCAATGGTTGACAGTCCTTTCTCCACTGGGCAGAGACTCCAGCTTTAGACAGCTCACATGACAATATGGCAGCCGCTTCCTCCTCTTCTGTCACATTTTGTAGCTGAACTCTAAAGAACGGTGGAAGCTCTACAAATGAAAAAAATAAAATAAAATACAGTAGGAATTATATTATGTAATAATAATTATGATAATAAATATTTTTTAATTTACCTTTAACCAAAAGGGCTGCAGAGGTTTCCGCAGTTCCTGCTTGACAAGTATAACTACCACTGTCCTCAAGTTTAAGATTCTTTATGTTAAGCTGAACACAGCAGCCATTTTGTGCTATTTCATATTTCTTGTTTGGCCTCAGTGGCTGATGATTCTTCTTCCACACAGCAGAGACCCCCGGTTTAGATAGCTCTGCGGAGAGAGAGGCTGCACTCTCCTCGTCTGCTGTCACATTTTGTAAGGGAATCTTGAAGAATACTGGGAGCTCTAAAGGGTAAAAAGCTATGTATTATTTTCATTACAGTAGACTTATTAAACGGGAATTTACCTATCACTGAAAGTCTAGCAGTGGTTTGAAGACTTCCAGTTTGACACGTGTAGCTGTCACTGTCATCAGGTCTGAGATCCTGAATATAGAGATACTGAAGGCAGCCGTCTTGCTTCATTTCATACTTTCTGTTGGCTCTCAGGGGCTGTGTGTTCTTTCTCCATTGCACAGAGACTTCAGGCTTAGAAAGCTCACAGCACAGTGCCGCTGCGGCCTCTTCCTGGGCCTCCACATTTTGTAAAACCTTCTTGAAAAATAAAGGGTGTTCTGGAGACAGTGAAATGAAATAACATAATTAAGCATTACAAACAGACATTTGAAACATGCTAAATTAGCTACAGGTTTATTAACCTTTGACAGATAACGTAGCAGTAGTCTCTGTGCTTCCAGACTGACATGTGTAGCTCCCACTGTCTTCAGGTGTAAGGTCTCTGATCATGAGCTCATGGTAGCAGCCACTGTGTTTGATTTCAAACTTATTGTTGACTTCCAAAGGCTTTGCATTCTTTTTCCATTGCACAGTAAGCCCAGGATTAGAAATTTCACAAGAAAACATCACAGGGGAGCCTTCCTCAGCTTCTGTACTCTGTAACTTCTTTGTGAAAAATAATGGTTGTTCTAGAGATACATGGAAAGGGTTACAAATCAAAGTACCAATTTCTGTCTGCATCACTGTACATACAAATAATGAATGCATACCTTTTACCAACAACATTGAGGCGGTCTCTGCACTTCCTACATGACACGAGTAGCTGCCACTGTCTTCAAGTTTCAAATCAGAGATGCAGAGCTGAAGATAGTAACCATCTTGTTTCATTTTGTATTTTCTGCCCGCTCTGAGCGGCAGTCGCTGCTTTTTCCATTGCGCTGAAACCCCACATTTAGATACTTTACACTGCAACGTGGTGGAACTTCCCTCTTCACCTTCCATATTTCCAAGGTCTTCCGTGAAGTAGGGGAGCACCTCTGTTAAATGAATAAATACATTCACATACCGTAGGGTAGTTATATAAACAATTAGGGAGCTGATCGTCGTACAATTATCTGAAAAGGATCATACCTTTAACAGTCAGAGTGGCTGTTGTGTCTGCCCCTGCTGCTTGGCAGGTATATCTTCCACCATCTTCAAGCTCAAGATCTTTTATGTTTAGCTGAACAAAACACCCATCTTGTACCATCTCATATTTTTCACTGGCTCTCAGTTGCAGCCTATTCTTCTTCCACAGAACTACGTCCTGTTTGGAAAGCTGACAACAGAGAGAGACTGAGAGACCTTCTTCAGCGGTCACACTCTCCAGTTCTTTCACAAAGGGAGGGAGTTCTGAAAAAAGTGCAACGGTTGTGAAATAATGAAAACATGTTCTAACAAAAATGAAATACATGCCTTTGACAGTCAATTTTGCAGTTGTTTCAGAAGTGCCTGCTTGGCATGTGTAGATGCCTCGATCCTCCAGTTTTAGGTCTTTGATAAGGAGCTGTACACAACATCCCTCCTGCTTCATCACATATTTGCCACTGGCTCTAAGTGGTTGTCTGCTCTTCTTCCACTGGACTGAAGCTCCAGGCTTGGACAGTTCGCAGGCCAGAGTGGCAGTTCCTCCTTCTTCTGCAACAACATTCTGGAGCTCTTCCACAATGACTGCTGTAACCTCTTTAATAATCACAGAAAACACATAATGATAATGAGGACTTACAACGTATTCTGTGTTTGACAGTTTGGAAAAGCAGACCTTTTACAAACAGTTTAGCCGTGGTCTCTGTAGTTCCGGCTTGGCACATGTAGCTGCCACTATCTTCTGGTTTAACATCTTTGATGAGAAGCTGGATGTAGCACCCATCTTCTTTCATTTCATATTTTCTACCGGCTCTTAACAATACACCGTTCTTTTTCCATTGTACTGATGCTCCAGGCTTGGACGCTTCACAACACATGGAGGCGGTCCCTTCTTCTTCAGCCTCAATATTTTGTAAGCCTGCCTTGAAGAACAATGGATGTTCTGAAAGATAAAGGTAATTAGCAGGTTTAATGATTGGAGTGCCAACAATATGACAATAACAGTAGAGCCTTAACTATGATACAGGACACAATAACCCACCTTTCACTGAGAGAGTTGCAGTTGTCTCGATGCTTCCTGCTTGACATGTGTAGCTTCCACTGTCTTCCAGATCAAGCTCCTTGATATGCAAATAGACATGACATCCATCTTGTTCAAGTTCATACTTTCTGCTGGTTTTTAGTGGTAGTCGATTCTTCTTCCACTGCACTGTCGTTACTGGCTTTGACAATTCACAATACAGAGAAACTGAATCTTCCTCATCAGCTTCAGCATGTTGTAATTCCACTTTGAAGAATGGAGGGAGTTCTGAAAATAAAAAATGTAACCCGATCAATACTTAACCATTCAATTCACAACTTGAAATAACTCTATGTGGTTATATAAAATCTGGCTTCATGTATGTGCAAACCTTTCACTGAAACGGTGGCTGATGTCTCGATGCTTCCTACTTGGCATGTGTATTGCCCTTTATCTGTAGGTGTCACGTCTTTTATCACAAGTTCAGCACAGCAGCCAGTCTGGGTCATCTCATATTTTCTGCTAGCTCTGAGCGGCAGCCGGTTCTTCCTCCACTGGACCTGTACCCCTGGTCTGGACAACTCACACTGCAAACAAGCAATACCTTCTTCACTTGCTTCAGTGTTTCGTAAGGGTTTCTTAAAGAACGGCGGCGGCTCTGTCAATCCAACAATGTAAATGTGAGTATTGGTTCTCTTCAAAATTATACAGGACAGAAGTGTATCTAAACACACCTTTGACCTGAACTGTGGCTGTGGTCTCTGCATTCCCTGCTTGACAGCTGTAACTGCCACTGTCTTCCTGTTTAAGATCCTTGATGATCAGCTGGAGGAAGCAGCCATCTTGCTTTATATCATACTTTCTACTGGCTCTAATTTTCTGACTATCCTTCTTCCACTGTATCGGGACTCCAAGTTTGGACAATTCGCAGTACAGGGAGGCAGTCTCTCCTTCCTCTGCTTCAACGCATTGCAAGTCCTCTTGGAAAAATGGTGGAAGTTCTGTAAAAGAAAAAGAAAAATAGTCCATCACTGGGTGCATACATTGGAATGATTACTGTTGTTCATACCTGTCACTGTAAGTTTTGCAGTGCTCTGCACATCTCCCGTATCACATGAATAGGTACCAGTATCCAGAGGGTCCACACAATTAATTACAAGTATATTAGCTTTACCATCTTTGTATATCTTGTATTTGTCACTATTATGAAGAGGAATATGGTTACGCCTCCATGTAACTTGGGAGGTCAAATCAGTGGTTTTGCAGGACATTGTTGCCGTTTCGCCTTCCAAGACTGAAACATCTTTTGGTTTCTCCTCAAACAAAACTTAAAATCATAACAATATTACAATTAATTACAAGTGACAATTTTCATGAATGCAATATTTTAACTTGTGGGATCCCACCTCGCAGTTTAGGAGAGACCAACAGTTGAGCTGAGGTTCTTTCTTCTCCAATCACAAATGCCACTGTGCCGGTCTCGTCAGGAGTGGTCATCAAAAGGACCAGGCGGTGTTGTCGGCCATGACAGATCATCTGGTTCATTTCGTTCTTCTGCAGCGGAGATGAGCCCAGCCACCAGACACCCTCAGTCACGTCTGCATGGCTCAGCTCGCACAGAAACACCGCATTTTGTCCAGCGGTCACTGTCACGTCTTTAAGACCGATAACTATTCTCACACGCTCTATAGGAGGTAGCAAAGTTATAATAAAGAATGTTATTCATTATAAAAGTTTATTCAGCTTTGATATATGTCAAAGAGGACCAATAAAGACAAACAATTTATGGAATATTCTTTTTTTTGTTCGGTTCTACGGTTATGTTTTGTGCGTTAATCCCGTCAAAAAACTAATAGTGTGCTTAGATGGCAGCATGTTGACAGAGTGGCTTCTAATCAAGAAGGTTCTGGGTTCAAATCTCAGTCAGAACCGTGTGTAAGTTTCCTCCAGATATATACAGTATACAACAATAACATAAAAGCTATTAAATCAGCTGTGAAAATACATATTTTCTTAAGCTCAGGTTATTTCTCTCTTATCTAAAGGTATATAGGAGGAATTTTAGGAAAGAACCGCCGTCCTCAGAGGGAACGCCTGTTAAAACGTGTCTCTCATATTACCAGAATGATTGACATTTAGGAGGACCAATAGTCTAGATGATCCACCTGGAAGAAGAAAATCCTCCTATATACCTAGTAATTCCCGGCTAACTTCCAGTAATGATCACTTCTGAAAATCTTAAGAAAAATTCCTAACATTAAAAAACGTCTTAACAACAATCCATTGAGATGAATGAATGACGCACCTCTCACCACCAGTTTAGCAGTGGTCTTTTTGCCCCTTGTAATACAAGAATATTCTCCTCCATCTTGAAGATCCAGACGCCTTATCTCAAGTGTGTGCGTTGGTCCTTTCTTCTTGATAATGAATTGACTTCCATCTTCAATTGTGGTGTTGTCCTTTTTCCAAGTCACTGGGACATTAGCGCTAGAAACTTCACAGGAGAACAGGACAGGTTTTCCTTCTGTTATTGCCTGGTTCTGCAGCTCCTTTTCAAAGAACACTGATGCTGCAGCTACAAGGAGAAAAAAGAGAAGTTGATTATGTTCATCATTCTAACCCACTGTTTATAGATTCTGGAGAAATCAAATTAACCGTGAATGACAGTGTTGTATGAGTGATCAGAGGGGTCAGAAAAAAAAAGTGTTTGCTTCATCCAACCCCTTCACAAACATGTATTGCTGTCTAATTTTTATCTTGTTTATTGTTTTATTTTGTATGAATTGTAAAAAATTACTATCACAAATACTGTATATAAATGCTTTAAGTACCTCTCACGTTCACTTCAGCTGTCGTCTTTTGTTCACCAAAAACACAACTGTACTCGCCAACATCTTCTGGTTGGATGTTTCTGATCTTCATCTCTGCTTCCTTTCCACTGAGACTCAACTGGAACCTTCCTCCATGATAAATCTGATCCTCTCCTTTCCACCACTGCACAGGCACTCCAGCCCTGGACAGCTCACACCGAAGCACAACGTTTGCTCCTTCAGCTGCTTCCTGGTTCTTGAGTCCAGTTTTAAAAGCCAAAGGAATAGCTGCACAAAACATTGTAAGATATTTAAATCGTGTTATTTGATCTAAACTTTCATGTTGTCTTACATGTACCTGTAATAGTGATATTGGCTGTTGTCTTGACATCGCCGTAGGTACAAGTGTAGAGTCCGCTGTCATCCAACTGTGCATTTTTGATGATAAGCTCCTTGACGCTTTCTCTGTTTTTGATTTGGTATTTAAAATTACTTTTCAGACATTCTTCTCCTTTCCACCATTCTACAGTCAGGCCAGGTTTGGAAAGCTCACAACTCAGGGTTAAGCTGTTCTCCTCCTCCACTTGTTGATTTTTCAGTCTGGTCTTGAATGTAACTGGAGGAGCTGCAATAGAAGAGTCAATTCTAATTAGTTTGATTTTTCTTGTTTTTCTAGCACAATCCATAGGTGCAGCTTACATTTTACAGTAAGCTCCGCTGCTGATTGGCTATCCTTGGTCTTGCAGAAGTACTTGCCAGCATCCTCCTCTTCTATGTTGTTGATAATCAGTTTTGCAAAAGATCCCTGCCATTTCATCTCATACTTGTACCCTGGCTTCAGTACAACACGGCCTTTTCTCCAGTCCACAGATGCACCGGGCTTTGAAATTTCGCAGCACAAAACAGCACTGTCCCCTTCTTTCACTTCAAGGTTCTCCAGCTCTTTCTTAAACGTAACTGGTAGCTCTGCAAGAGGAAACATTATAAAGTCTACACTGACAAAACTGCTGGACACCTTTATTTTGGCCGCAGTAACTGTAGCAGCTGGCAACAAATTTAAAAGAAAGTATAAAAGTCCCAATGCTATTTGGTAATTGTAATAAGTAAACTACACCAGCCAGGATAATAAACCAGACATTTTTTAGTAGTATGAAAATATCACTTTGAAAATACAAGTTTTTAAAGGGATATTTTCACTTGTTTAGAGGAAAAGAGTTGTGTGTGTTAGAAGGATGAAAGAGCAAGTAATTTACTGGACACTGTTCTTATTGTATTTTTGTGTTGTTGTGTGGCTACACTGTTTAAATATCTTTTCAAAATCTAAAGGTCACAATAGACCTCATTCTAATCTTCTGTTCATAGAATCAAAATAACTTCAGCTGGAGGGCTGTATTCACTTTACAACTGTGAGATGGCCCTAAATTAGAACTTCTTAAATAATTGTATCTCAGATTCTGGAGATAATATTTGAAAAAGAGTGATCCCCTCAGCACAGAGGTGTAGGGTCGCGGAGTGTTTGGGCCTGTGTCATGTCTGAGCATGTGCTGTGTGTTGTCTTCTGTGGTATTGTCTTGTGTATCTTGTTTTGTCTGCCCCCCTCACTCATTGAGGGGGAATGAACAATTAAACTAACTGTATGCATACCTCTTACTTTGATGACAGCCTTCGTCACAACATTGCCAACAGAGCAACTGTACTCGCCCCCATCTTTCAGAGTTAAGTCATTAATCACCATCTCGGCCACTCTTCCCTCTTGCCTCATCTGGTACTTTTGCCCACTGATCAGAAGCTGGGCCTCTTTCCTCCACTCCACCACGGCTCCAGACTTGGACAGCTCACAGCGTAGAGTCATGTTGCCCTCCTCCACTACTTCCTGGTTCTTTAGTTTTTGTTTAAATATCACCGGAATAGCTGGAATCATAAATGAGACTTAACTAAATGCACCTTGTAATGTGGTTCAAAAGGAGTCAGATGTTGTCCTCTACACTCTCAAAACATGGAAAGGGACTATTTTTCAGCCAAAAGCCAGCATTAGTGCAAAAAAACGATGCAAGCAAAATTTGACAATATTTAACTAATAAAATTATAACTATTTAGCAAGTTTAGCAATTCAGTTCAACACCCTGCTGTATAATAGAGCTTTGAAATTAACTTAATACTGTAATAAACCTCATTTTAAATTTCAGGTTTCATGTAACTTCACCTGCATCTTCATCATTGGAACATACAGTTAACTTAAAGTTTGCAATATAAAGTAACTTTTAAATATCTACAGTATTAAAACAGGCTGTTGAATTAAGTTGTTAAATAAAGGACTACTTTTCTTTTTCTCTGTTGTGTCTGTCTTCATTTTGGTCATGACAACTGTTGCTAAGGACTTTAATGCTGGCTCCAAAAGAGTTCCTTTCCTAAAACAGGTGTTTATTCTTTCTAACATGTCATAAGTGTGTGAGTGTTTTGACCATGTTTCTGTTCGTATGTAAAATATTGTCCTTGTTGTACCTGTGATGATGACGTTTGCAGTGGATTTAATGTTGTCGCAGATGCAGCTGTACATGCCGCTGTCGGTTGGTTGACTTTTCTTGATATGAAGTTCCATGATGCACCCATTTTGCTTTATCAGATACTTATCGTCATTTGCAAGTTCAGTATCTCCTTTAATCCACTGCACAAAGAAGTCTGGCTTGGACAGCTCGCAGCAGAGAGTGACTTCGTTTCCTTCCTGCACCTCAATATTTTTCAGTTCTTGGACAAATTTAATTGGAGGTTCTAGAGGGACAATATGTGAGTTTAGAAGACAAATGATTTAGAAAGGCTGTAGGTTTGTTATAGGTTTCAATATAATCCTGTGAAGTAATTGATAAGGTACTCATTTTGCAAAGCAATTATTGACATAAGTGGATTCAAACTGGGAGAACTTACCTTTTTCATAAATAATACATTATAAAACATTATAATTATATTCACTCAGCTGATTGGCTGAGTGAGGGCTGTCCTCTTTTTTACTTTCTGTCTACAAAAAGCACAGCTAAAGATTCGAAAGAGGCCAAAAATATATGCATGTGACATTATATTACGGACTGGTCTGTTATATTACAGACTGGTCTGTTTTATTACAGACTGGTCTGTTTTATTACAGACCTGTCTGAAAGTTAGGTTCCCCAGCTTTAATCAGGTGAATCAAGCTATTAATAAAAAATCCTGAGTTTAACATTTAATTGATAAGATTGTTTTAATCACTCACCATTGACTGTTACAGTTGCGGTTGTTCTCTGATCACCACATTTGCAGGTATATTCTCCGCTGTCATCCAAATCCAGTGACATTATCGTCAGTTCCAGCGCAGACTCTTTCTTCTTGATCTGGTACTTGTCTCCATTCCGGAGGAGTTCTCCTCGTCTTCTCCACTCCACTGAGGAGGCGGGTTTGTCCAGCTCACAGCACAGGACCACGCTGCTGCCCTCCATCGCTTCTTGGTTACGTAAACGCGTTTTAAAACTTGGAGGAGTGTCTGTGGATAACCATAAAGTATTGGCATAACTTTAAATATGCCAAATAAATACTAAATTCTAAGGTAGTCTAGACTCGAGAGATATTGTGTTGAAAAGAAGACGAGTAGAAACTAGAAGTTTACATATTTAAGAAGACATGTCATTTTTGATTCTCACCTGATAAGGACTGTTTTACATGTTTTATATCAACATTATTTCTATTAGCTAAGATCTCTGAATATTGATATTGATTTTACAAAATCAGACTTTACAAAATCAGAAGTTTAATTTCAGATAGTGAGAACTATGTCTTTGTCACAGTCTATGCAAACTTCCAGTTTCCACTGCACATTGGTTAACAGGAAACAACTGTTCATTATTAAAATGACCCTACAGGTTTGGAAGGGGCAAGCAATATGGCAGCACACATGTGTGTAACATGTGCATAAACTGATATTTAACTATGAATATGAAATAAATGGATTGAATAATCCATTCTGTGTGTGGAAATGATGGACGTCGTTCTAAGGAATGACTTTTGTTAACATGTTTCTAACATCAAAGTCTAAAAATGGAGTTTTAAATGGGGTTCACACTATGAATAGGACTTTTAGATCGGATCTTTGGAGCTGACCTCTGTTACACTTGCGCTTCGCTGATACTATTGAATACGTTGGGGAAAAAACATTGTAGTTACACATAATAAACATTTAGATGAGGAAAGTACAGACATAATTTACATATATAGCATAAATAGTGCAGCTTACCTTGCACAATGAGCTCGGCTGTAGTTTGACTGTCTGTGGTCTTACATGTATAGTTGCCTGCATCAATATCCTCTATATTGTTGATGACTAACTTGGTTATTTTACCATCCTGATTCATCTCATATTTGGGGCTTGGTTTCAGGAGGAGTCTGCCTTTTCGCCATTCAACTGGTGCCCCAGCTTTGGAAAGCTCACAGCTGAACGTCCCAATAGCCCCCTCTTTGACAACAATGCGCTGAAGCTCTCGTTTGAACGTTACAGGAAGAGCTAAAACAAGAGTGAAAAAGATGAACAAGATATAGGCTTTCCCTTCACTGACGAAGACACTCTAGACACTCACGTTTAACTTTAAGTTCAGCTGATGTTTTCTCATCTCCAGTGATGCAGCTGTACTTTCCGCCATCTTCCAATTGGACCTTAGTGATCGTCAGCTGCACTGTCTTTCCTTCTTGTTTGATCTGATACCTCCCTGCAGACACTTCCTCTGATATCATGGCACCATTCTTCTGCCACTGCACGGACACGCACTTCTTGGAGATCTCACAACGCAAAGTCACGCTGCTTCCCTCTTCAATCTGCTGGTTCCTGAGAACCACTTTGAAGGTTGCAGGAATAGCTAAAATAAAACAAAAAAGTCTAGATCTAGCACAAATGACTATTTAATATTGTTCTAATTTCTTCAGTGTCTAAAGCTCTTACCAACAACTTTGACAGTAGACTTGGTCCTTTGCTCCCTGCATTTGCAAATGTAGACCCCACTATCCTCTGGTTCAGCATCTATAATAATCATCTCATGGTATTTATCTCGTTGTTTGATTTGGTACTTTTCTCCATTCTCTAACAGGTCCCCTCCACGACTCCACTCTACGGGGACATTGGCTTTGGAAACCTCACAATGAAGATTAATGTTCAGTCCCTCTTCAATTTGAATATTTTTCAGTTTCTGTCTGAAGGTGATTGGCACAGCTGGAAAATAAAATTGCAAACAGAATCATTGTATAGGTTACGTTCATGATCTAGAATTCTATTTCATTGGCAGAGCAGGTGCCAATACAACTCTATGAAGTTTTGTTATGAACTAATTAAGCTAACTCTTAAAGACTCAGCTTTTGACTGTCAAATAGTTACCAAAATCTTTTTGCAGCTAACCTCCACTGCAAGGTTAAAGAAGAAATATGCATCATTTTTAATGTGAAATTATATCTTTAGCTGGCTACCGCCAGATGGAGGAGTTGAATTTGTTTCATTTTATGCCAAATTTCAGCTCCAAACACAGCCATGTGATTGTAGAGAACATATTATTCTTGAGAAAATACTTTTGTTTTAAAGTGATAAAAAAGTAAAAGTGGTACATTACTTCTTACTATTCCAGGACTGGGCAGGAGCTTTTAGACAGAAGGGGCGGAGTTACATGTTTGTGTCAGAAGTTCCTGATATTAGCAAACAATGTCGTCACATGGTCATAAAAAAACAGATTTTTCATATTATGTCTCCTTTATACTGCATATACCGGTCTATATTCATTATTTGTAATGTTGTAACGTCACACGAACACAACCTTTTAAGAGTAATTATTCAAAGTAAATAACTACCGTTCACAGTGAGAGTGGCAGAGGTCTCGATGTTTTCACAAACACATGTATAGATATCGCTGTCCTCCAGCGACACATCAAACACTCTCAGTTCCAGCAGCGTCTCCCTTTGCCTGATGTGATATTTCTCTCCATTACGGATGTGCTCCTTTCCTCTTCTCATCCACTCGACATAATTCCCAGGTTTGGAAAGCTCACATCGCAGAATAGCAACGTTTCCTTCTTCAATCACCACATTCCGTAGCTTCTGCTTAAACGTGACTGGAAGGGCTGAAGAGACACACAACAGATGAGCTTACACAGTCTAAATGGGACACTTCAAAGCTCTGGAAACAAACAGCTACATTATTGCTTACCAGAGTATGCAAAAAGAAAGTTCAGGCAATATTTTGTTAAATTAAAACAATAATACATGTTGGTTTGATGAAGAGCGTAAAAGTTTTGTCCTTTCACATCTGCACCTCACCTGAGTTTAACATTTTTAGTATGTGATACCCATTCTTTTTGAATGAAGTTGATAAGCCAACATTCTCTTAACCCCATTTATGTTTAGTGTTAGCCTTTTTGGTGACAAAGTGAATTTGTATCACTTTTTATACAGTGATCCTTGGCATCCCACAAACATTCCCCTACATTATTCTTACATCTATTTGTACTTTAATTAATTTATGTTATTGATTTTAGTTGTCCTCTATCCTCCACCTTTGCCTGTTTCACATACAAATTCTGAAGAAAATCTAGTGCCAAAAGTGCTAACTGTGCTAAATTGACATCAACACCTCTTAAAACATACAAGAAGTAGAAGTATTGTAGGAATAGCAGATAAAATGGAAAAGAAAAGAATTTGTTTGGACCTGGAAGTGCAGTGTTTAACAGAGCCCTTAAAGCTGGGGTACCTAACTTTCACTTTCCTGTTTTAACTACTCGTTCTTTGCTCTCAAAAACAGTTTGGTTCATCACTAGTGTTCACATGCATATTTTTTTGGCCCTATCACATAAAAAAGTTAAAAAGACAAGACCACCCTCACTCAGCCAATCATCTCTCAGCCCTGATTGTCAATTAGCGACTAATATAGCTTTTTCTCACCCAAACTTTCTCATAAGATGAAGGGAGAATGTTGTGGCCTTATAAATTCACATAATCTTTCTACTGGGACAAACGGCATGCATTATTTACAGAAAAATTAAAATTGCTGTAGGTACCCCAGCTTTAACAGCCACATACTTTAGCCGTACACTACCTATAATGTTGACATTAGCTGAAGTCTTCTGGTCAGCACACACACAGCTGTACACTCCACTGTCCGCTGGGACTGGTTTCCATATCATAAGCTCCAAAGTGGTTTCCCATCTCCTTATTTGATGCTTCACTCCATTTCTCAAAATCTCATCCTCTTTCCACCACTGCACAGGAACTCCAGGTTTAGACACCTCACAGCGCAGTGATACATTTGTGCCTTCATCTGCTTGGATATGCTTTAAGGCTTGAACAAATGTAATCGGAATAGCTAATAAAAGAAAGAAAGTGAAAACATGTTTAAATAAGTGTTTTATAGTGAGAGAGTGGGATTATGAGAATTTACCATGAACTTTGAGGGAAGCTGAGGTTCGTTGGTTGCGGCATTGACACGTATATTCTCCTGAGTCCTCTGGCTTGACAGATTTGATGCTGAGCGAGTTCATTGTCATTTTTTGTTTTATGATAAATCTTTCACCTGAACGGATACCCTCCAAACCTCTCCACCAGTGAACCAGAACTCCAGGAAGAGAGTACTCACATGCCAGGGTAACTGTCTCACCTTCTTTGGCCTCAACAAACTTTAACGTTTCGAGAAACTCTGCTGGGATGGCTGTGAATACAATAGGTATGTGGCACATTTATTATTGTTTTTAGGCAGTTCGGTACTTGAGAAAATCCTATAATGCTTTATGGCTAGGGGGTAGTCGCTTCCATAGAAGCTGCATGCATTCAAGTTATCAAGCTGTGTAAAATCTGCAGTGGGAGTAGTAGAAGTGTGTGAGTTCAGAAGAGAAGGCTGAGAAGGAAACCTATGGCAGATTTGAAATCTCAGGGATCACAGGAATACTTTAAACCAGCCATTCCCAAACTCAGTAACACCGAGGCCCCCTTAAAAATCTGACGGGTCTGCGTGGCCCCCCAAAATAATAACCAAGAAGACAACATTAAGAATAGGCTCTTCTGGTTATTTTATTTTGGGGAAATAGCCTCTGCTACAAACATTGTAATACAAAAATGATTACAGTGGATTATTCAAGTCAAATAATGAACACAAATATTTTAATATTACAAACAAAACATTATAAATTTAACATTAAATAATTATATTATTATTATTTTTTTTTTTATGACCTCCCGCGGCCCCCCTGCAGTACCCTCGCGGCCCACCAGGGGGCCGCGGACCCCACTTTGGGAGACACTGCTTTAAACCATCGTCGATACAATAAAACAATAGAAATGATCGCCATCAGCTGGTTGTTTGCAGAACTGCATTTATGCATATGTGGGATTTTTCCTCATATAAGGTGATCTTTTTAAGCATTGTTATTTAAAGTTTTTTAAAAATAATATTAAGCTCTTATAGAACAGTTTCAGATTGTATGCATTAGATCAACGGCATGTGACCCACCCAAGCCCACAAAGCATTATGGCATTGTGCAAGTACCAAAAAGAATATGTAAGAATGATTACCTTTTACAGTGATGACAGCACTGGTCATCACAGAGCCAGCACTGCACTCATACACCCCTGCGTCACTTGGCAGGACCTCACGGATTGTAAGGCGAGCTTCACATTCAGAACGACTGGCATAGTACCTGGAAGAGCTCCACATCAAGCAGCCATCTTTGTACCACAAGATATGACAAGGTTTTGAAGTGACACAAGACAACACCAGGCCGCCTCCTTCCACGGCCTCACAGTCCTCCAATGCTTTAATTATAGTGGGTCTTCTCTCTGGTATTACAAAGATGCCAGGTTTAGTGAAGTTCAAACAATAGTTGACCCAGTTTTGAACATGGCACCTAAAGCACTTACCACGAACCAGCAGTGACGCATATGATCGCTTGTCACCAGCTGAGAATGAAATGGTACCAGTGTCTTTGCGGGCAAGCTGTTTGAATGTAAGCGCATGGTAACCTCCTTGAATGACTTGGATCTCATTGAGCTCGTTGGTGTAGAGTAGAGTTTCATCCAAATACCACTTCACATTGGTATAATCGGCGGGACAGATGCGGCATCGGAAAGTGACAACATCTCCTTCAAGACACTCGATATCTTCAAGTTCTTCCAAAATGGCAACTTTCTCTTCTAAAAATACAATACCGTAATGTTCAAACTTGTTCTATGAAGATGTAACTTTTATGTAAGGAGACTGTGGAAGGATTGGAAGAGCTAGAAAAAGCTCAAACAGGCTCCATGAATGGGAATCTGGCCAAAATTGTGTCTCGCAACAACCAACCAACCAAAAAACCAGGAGCAGTGCAGCAGTGGACTGATCCAGCTTGAGCTACTAGGTGAAGCCAAAGTCTAAGGGACCTGTGGTCAGGTAAGCTGTGAAGGCTCGGGTCTAGATTTAACAAGACCATATAAAATAAAAAGGCCAGGATGATACACCTCGTTAAACCACAGATTCTGATAACTAAACGCTGAGTGGGACACAAAACATTACAGACTAAGAGGAGTATTTCCTTATTAGGCTTCATATGCTATGTTCTACTGCCTTACAATATTGGATGCAATTTAGCTCATGCAATAATTCCAGCAAATTATATTCTGGTGAACTTAAAACTAAAATAAATACAGCTAGCAGGTTAGCAATGTCCATTCCTAAATACAGTCTATGCCAGGGGTCGGCAAACTTTGTGACATGGAGTGCCAGTTTGAAATTTTCTTCTCATCTAGTGTGCCATTATCAACAATAACGCAAAGTTAAATTATGACACAAAATACAAAAACATTTCCAATATACCTGGAATTTTATTCTAAACCATAACAGTATCTGTATTCTAAATAATTTAGCCACATCAACATTTCAAAGACTGAAAAAAAGCTAGCCTACACATTTAAACTAAAACAAGTGTAGGCTGAGGTAACATCAATTGATCAGATGCCTGTAGCAGACAGTGTGATCCCTGGCCCTGCTTTGCTTGAGATCTGTGATCTGGGGCTTGTAGTTAGTTACTTTAAGTTGCAAACATGCCTCAGAATGCTTCGTTGTTAACCGACTGCGGGTGGGGCTTCTCGTCCTCCAGTTCTGGATATTTTTTGCCCTTTTTTTGTAATCCTACAAAATCCAATCTTCATTCGGCCCTCTGTGTTTATATAGTCTATTTAAACACTGAGGGCCAAATTAAATATTAGGCTCTTAGCTTTAATCTGCAAAAAACGGCTTGTACCGTTCTTGAGCAATTTGTCATGGAATATAATATATTCACTGAGGATTCGAACCCGGGTCATCACGACGCTAGCGCTGTAACATAACCACTAAACCACCGTGTCATATAACACTTCTAACATCCCAGGCAGGGTTTTTAACTGTTAATATAGAACGTTGCAAGTTATTTCTCACGCTGCCAGCGTGCTAGCCAGGCCATAGCCATCCGTACACTCCGCTCAATCATCCTTTCACTGCATGTAACGTCTGGGTCTGGTCCCTGTGTTAGCGAATACAATCGGTCGTATTTTGACCGGCTACTCAGAGAGCGCGGAAGGCAGGTGTTGTAGGTCGGTGCCGGTGACGTCAAGAGTTTGCGCCGAACGGGCAGGTTGTAGTTTGGCAATGGCGAAGAATGCGATACTAAAGTAATCCGGTCTGGTTCTATCAAGAAATTGAAGCAGGAGCAAGAGGAATGTTTAGCAAATGTAATCGCTGGTCAAGATTGTGGCGCTACTCCCCACTGGCTCTGTTAGTGGCAAAGGAGATGGCTAGGCTAAATGCTAAATGCTAACAACTCACTCGGGCGCACTACATACGTCACGGTAAACTCAGATCCAATCGTTTCAATCTGCGAAAGGAGTTAACCCCTCCTATCTGTAAACAGAGCTCAATGGAGCAAATCCAAACCTTAGTATGAAATGTAATTTTTACTAAGGTGTGGTACAACCGGCTACCAGCGTGCCAGCGTGACCCGTATTACGATACTGTATCGTAATAATACAGAGGTGCCAGCGTGTCACTGTTTATTCCGCGTGCTATAGGTTGCCGACCCCTGGTCTATGCTATCAAAATGACTCACCTTGTACAGTTAGGTGGGCCCGACTTTGCATGGTGCCGACGTCACAAATATAAATATCTGTGTCAGTCTTCTCCAGCGAGGTGATGGTTAGGGATAGGACCACATCTTTCTGTTTCATGACATACTTTCTCCCAGGCCGCACCTCCACCATGCCTTTTAGCCATTTCACACGCTTAGCAGGGCGTCTCGTCTCACACTCTAGAACTGCCCTACCCTTTTCTTCTCCACGGGTGTCTTTCAACTCTTGTGCGAATGTGTGCTGGAGTTCTGTTCAGAAATGAAAGAATTAATCAACATATATGTAATAATAATGTTTTTTAGTTTCTGTGTCCAGCTACCTCTGATCTCAAGCTTGGCTCGTGTTGCAATTCCGTCCACTTCACAGCAGTACTCCCCTGAGTCTTTAATTGTGGTGTTAGTGATTATAAGGCGCGCCATGTTGTTTTCCACACTCATCAAATACTTAGGGCTCGATCTGAGCAGGCGGCCATTTTTGAGCCAGTGTGTGGTGACCTCAGGCTTTGTGATCTCACAACTCAGCTCTGCATCTTCACCTGGTACTGCCTTGACATTTAGCAGATCTCTGAAGATGTGCACTGGTTTCTCTAGAGTCATGAACAGAAATCATAATCATAATATTAAGAAACTCAATTATATGTTTTTCTATTGATTCTATACCTTTGACGAAAAGCATGGTTCTACAGCTTAGATCATGCAGAGTGAAAACAACATCTCCAGCATCAGATAGAATGGCTTCACTGATGGTCAACTTGTATTGGCGGCCATTCTGTTCAAGCTGAATTCGACTGTTGCTCTCTACTATCTGACCATTGATAGTCCAACATGGTTCATCAGGAAGATTGTGAGAAAGAACACACTCAAATGTACAGTTTTCTCCTTCCAATACAGCAGAGGTCTTCAGTCGTTGAACAATTGATATGTGTAAATCTGGAAACAAAAATTGTCTTCATACTCTATGTTATAATGCATGAAACTTCAGATTCCCCACGACCTACCATGGACTATGAGCCGAGCCTTCGTTTTGCTGGTGCCAAGCTCACATGTATAGTTTCCTGTATCTTCCTTGCAAAGTGAGTGAATGACTAATGAAAGGGACTTTCCAAACTGCAGGATCTCATGATTGTTATCGGATATCAGAACCACACCATCCTTTTTCCAAACTGGACACACAGACTCTTTGGATACTTCACACTGGAAACAAACCTCGCCTTGCTCTTCCCCGGATACGTCTTCTAGTGACCTCAAGAACACTGCTGGACGTTCTAAAATAAAGATAGTTTAGTTAAATGAGAATTCACTTGAAGAAAAAAGTCTCTTGAAATGGCTTACCTTTAACTTTGAGATTTGTTGTCTGAGAAAGAGGGCCTGCTTTGAATGTGATTCTGCTGTCTTGAGGGCGAGGCTTGAAAATAGTAAGACTATGGATTGTGCCCATGTGCTGAATCTTGTTCATAGAATTCGAAATAAGGCGGATATTGTTCAGGAGCCATTCGACATTGCCAACAACATAATTGAGCTCACATGAGAATCTGGCTGAACCCTCCTCCTCAATCACCACAGCCTCAAGGTCTTTTACAAATTTAAGCGTTCGTACTGGACAAAATACAAACATATTGTGGGTGAAAAGTAATGAGTATTGTCTAATGATTATTTTAGGTAAATAATAATGTAGAAACATACCTTCTACCTTGACATTTCCAGCAGTCTGTGCACCTCCGGCCATACAGCGGTACTGTCCGGCATCAACAGCAGCCAGGCCATGAATGGTGAGCTCAGCTCGTTTCCCTTCTCTCCTCATGCTGTATTTGTTGGAGGTCTTTAAAGCTGTACGCCCTTTAAACCAGTGGATGACTCGAGGAGACGGGGAAAATTCACAATTCAAGGAGACTGTGCCATTCTCTTTGGCCTCTACATCATTCAGATGACGAGCCACCTGAAGAGGCCTCTCTGAAGAACAAGACTTTAATCAATTATCAATGTTTTGTCTGCACGTAAAAGACTGAATTCTGTTATTACCTTTCACAGTAAGTTCTGCAGTGGATTTACTCTTTCCTGCGACAAAAACTACAGTACCAGACATTGAGCTGTCGGTAGAGGCGAGGCAAAGGCTGTGAATTGTGCCATCTCTGCTGATGTCCACAACATCGCTCTGCTCGAGATCATCACTCTTGAGGGTCCATCTCGGAGGTCTTACTGATTTAATATTTGTTTCCACTTTAAAGCGAGCAGGCTTTGGCTCCATTACCTCCACTGACCTCATTCCTTTTACTATGGTGATAGCCTGCTCTACAAAAACAGTGACATTGTTACATTTGTGTATTGTTCAGTGCCCACCAAGAAAAAACTTCCTCCAATTGGAATCTCACCTTCAACAAAAAGCTGGCAGGATGTTTTATCATCTACTGCATCACAAGTGTATGTGTCCTCATCAGAGGAGCAGATATTGTCAATGGTCAGCTGTCTGTAGATATCCTGACTGATGAGTTGGTACTTCTTACTGGGCAGCAGCTCCCTGCCACTCTTGTACCATCTGACCAGAGCATTAGGTCGTGACACTTGGCACTCCAGCAAACCTCTATGGCGATACATGGCTATTTTGACTCTTAAAGGCCGAATTATTTGAACTGGAAGTTCTAGGGACAATATTTACACATTGTCAGTGTTGCTCATTCAAAAGTAGATTGAGAAAAATACATCAAACTAAGGAAATAACCTTTAACTGTGAGTGTTGCATATGAAGACACACGCTCAGCTGTAAATTGTATCTTTCCAGCATGCTCAGGCCGTACAGACTTCAAAATTAGAATATGGGTTTTTCCTAAAAACAATGAAACAGTTTGAAATAACAGTATCAACACAGCCAAAAAACATGTTTGGGCTATTTGAACTACAAACTACTATAGAACTACTTTTGCTCATTACGAATGCTATAATACCTTGGTGTCGGATCTTTATGTTGTCTCCAGCCCGTATTCTGCAGTCATTCCTGTACCACCGAGCCTCCACATCCACCTGGTTGACCTCACACAGAAATGTCACCTGCTGACGCTCCACTATGTCCACATCCTCCAACTCTTTGGTAATCTGTATATCTCTGGCTGCAGAGAGCAATAGATTTGACTGTAATGTAGTACACAGCATTTGGACTAAAAATCAGCTAAAGCTTTACCTCTGACACTGAGTTTGCAGGACGACTGAACACCGTTGGCCTGAAACTGCAGAAGTCCAGCATCAGCCAGAGATGCCCTGGTGAGAGTGAGGGAGTGTCTTTTGCCATGAGTGCTTATCCGACAGTTGGGCCTGGACTTGAGCAGCAGCCCGTCCCGACACCACACACCCTCAATGTATGCCAGGTTAAGAGTCACTTCAAAGGAGCAACTTTCGCATTCAGACACTTCTACATCCTCTAAGCCCTTTATAACCTGCAAACGGTTCTCTGTCAGACAGAAACAAGCAAAAGGTCATTCCTTATAAAAACAATAACACATTATTTTTGAATCTTACTTGCAGCAGCTACGACTCCTTCAGTTTGAATGTCAGCCATGCTCACTCATACATAGTACACTGCAAAGGTGCTTTCTTAACTGTCATGAGTGCTGCAACATAAGAGTTTGAGAACAGAACATTGCTTAGAGCAGTGATTCTTAAGCTTTAAGTTTAAGTATTTTCATCATGATTAGTCAGTCAGTAGTAATAAAGTCAATTACAATCAGACTTTAGTTGCCAGAAACCACAAACCAGCCGCTGGGTTTTAGCTAAAAACAATACTAACTCTGTGTATTACGTATGACTTCTTGTTTTTTAATCTGGTTTTATTTAAATATGGGGTACAATTTTGGTGAATTTTTTAAATGGGAAAAACACCTAAGAGCCAAAACAAGATATCTTCCACCAAACAAACTAGCCACCCAAATGACCGTTGTATTTTGAACTCATGTCCAGAAAAGGTGATTTGGCAACACAAAAATGTATGTAATTTTAAATGAAAAGATTACATACTGTCCCTTGATCTAAAACAAGACTTTTCAAAGATCTGAAATAGTGCAAGAAAACATTTTTACATAGCTGCTCAACTAACTTAAAGCATTAAATAATATTCTTGAGAGGGAATTCTGTCACAGCATGCCAGTCCAGAGGATCCAGGAGCCTATAATCCCCGTGACTTTTCAGTGGTGACATCAGCATTTTAAATATACTCTCAGCACTAATACAAGCTTCAACACATTAGCATGTTTAAATATTGGACAAAAAGACAAGTTTGGTGTTTACCCTTCTTCATTATGACCTCAAAAGACAATTTACATCTTCCTAAAAATAGCAAGAATCTTTTGCAGGGCAACAATAATAGATTATCATGTTTCTATCAGCTTAAAATATCCGTCCAACAACAGACAAAAACAAGCTTCTACTTCTGTTCATATACATTCATAAACAGTGATAAAAACTTCACCCACCTCAATGCAGACACTTTTCGAACACCGTACAACATATTGCATCATTTCATTGTCCAGTTCCAGTGGCAAAGAAAACAGTACATCCTCAGGTGAAAATTCCGAGTCCAAGTACTGTTCTGCTTTCAAGAGAAGAAACAAACCATTATCCAAACTAGAGTTGCATGTCGCGCTCTCCGAAGCAGAAAGTCTTACTCTTCTTTTTCAGCATTGATGGAGAGTGGTGCTGAACAGCTGACATATCTCTACCCACATACTAACCTCTAAAATAGCCTTCAGTCAGTTTGAATGCAAACTTAGCAAACGCAGATAGTGTGAAGAAACAATAACAAAACATTAAATACAATAATAACAACAATAATAGCATTAATAAAATGTGTGTTCATGGAGATAGGCTTACTGAAAATAATAACTTGTTTCATAAAACATTTTTCAGGGCTGTCCTGGTTGCAGAGGGAGGAACCTACTTGTAATGTAAAATACAATCAGAGTAAGGAAATGGTCAACTGAGCAGATTATACAACATAAACAGATTTGTTTTTTTAAACAGGTTAATTGAGTTCATGTCCATGGGGGATTTCCATACAGCTTCAGATGAAAGGTCAAAATGATTAAAATACAGTTTGAAAATCATCCTTGTTTCTTCTATGGAAAACTGTAAAAGATCCTCCTTCATCATTTTGAGAGTAACTTTAGAATTTTAGCAAGTTAGAATATTTCTTTTTATACTTTCTGAGGTCAATTTTCTATGCTTACAAAGGATATGAAGAAAACAACAAGCTTCTGTTTCTGAAAGTAGCAGTACAAAACTATAAAATAACCAACAATAATATAGTAACACACAAATACAGTATAGAAGAACAAACCAGCAGTGCCAGGCTTTGTGCAGTGTCACCTTTGATGGACAGCTCCATGTGGCTGTGAGCATGCTTAAGTCCAGTGAAACTCTATCAACAGGATAACACGCATCACAGAAAACCCCAACATTCTGTATGTGAGGGGCTCTGATAATGAGTCTTTATCACATGTCTAACTGTATACCAAGGATACATTTTGTGTCTTGTCAACAAATCAAAGTATCTGCTGGGATCATTGTGTGGTAAACTTAAAATGGAAACATCTCAAACACAAGCACAGCAAAGCCGAGACAATTAAGAAGTTATGAAAGTCTTCAAATCCTAACAGAGACACAGTTGGCACAACTTTTAATAGCCTGGGCGAGCACCAATACTGAAGCTAAATGACGATTAAAAGCAGCAGGCTCTTGCTGAGACTTACCGTGTGGAATTACAGTGACAGTAATAGCCATTAGGAGTTGTCAATGAGAAAGACCTTGACATTATTGTAATTATAGTGTAATACACATACACAAGTAAACGTACATACAAACAGACAGGAATAAGATGTTAATTTCAAATATAATCCTTCATCAACAATTAATTGTATTTATTCTGTAAATAAAATAATAATAAAAAGAGCAAGTTGTTCCTCTGGGAATACTGGTAAATGCTGGCATATTAATGAAGCCTTTAGAGGAATATGAATATGAATGAAATGTCTGATAAGTCAAATAACACCACATAACACCTTGACTATGTGACCGGTGTAGATTAAAAGCTACATTCTTAATGTCTTAGGACCCCCTTGAAAAGAAATCTTGGATTTCAAGGGGATACTCGTAAGAATAAATACATCAGTAATTCATGATGCCATGAATAGAATGGATGGTTGTTCTAGAAACATTTGTGTTAAATATTCCTACAAAAAGTGTTATGCACCACAAAAATACATAGTTGTAAGTCTATTGTAATGGCAGTAATAAGTAGGTTGGTAATAAACGCGCGTGTACCTTGAAAACCATGTGGAAACAGTGTCCACGTCTTCATTCTCCTGCAGCAACAGGATAGTTGTGATTAGAGATAAAAGATCAAATCTTTTAAAGCTTAAAGATTTTCATGAACAAACTGAGAATATTTCGACATTATCTGAGTACACCGTCAACTACCATCTAAAACAGAGTAGTATAGAATTGAGCTTAAAACTGAACTTTCGATTGATGTCTCTCGTCACTGGGCCCACGCGCTCACTGACATGTCATGGCAGAATACAACCAGAGGGTGGCAGTATAATCTATCTGATAAAGGAACTACGTATAGAATAGATATCGGCCATACAAAAATGTTAATCAATAAATACATAACATTTCAATATTTACACACGATTATTACCACAAACGGATTTTATCAGCCCCAAACATGAATCAGAGCAGAGAAGAAACTATCCCAAAAGACGGTTGAATAAATGCACAAAAAATATATGCATAATCTTAACTACTACGTTTTCATTTTGTTTTTCTATGATAATGCTTTGGCTTTAAAATGTTGACTGACAGGTAATTTAAGAGGTAATGTTGTGTTCAATGACATCCTACATAAAGAAGTACTGAAGAAGCACAGGGAGGAGAGAGAGCGATGCCCTCTGCAAAGATTAGAGGATGGGAGTAGGGTTATTTGTTTTGGCAGGTGTTACTTGTGTGCTTTTTCTTCTTGAGTACTGGAAATAATACTGTATGTATTGCACAATATCATGTATTTTGTAAGCTGAATTGTATTGTAGTCTGTGTTTTATTGGGTGCGAGTAGAGGCTTCAGTCAAACGTTGAACAACGTGCAAAGCAACTGGTATTTGTGCTTTGTTATTAAGAAACAATGTAATGTAGTCAGCCAGCTGGCATTGTGAACAACCCAAAAAGCCTTCAATTCTTATTAACCTTAACTTTTCACAAGTTTTTACCATACTTATAATTTCAATTAACTGGTATTGGTTGCTGTATTTATTTATGATATAACCAAGAGGAAAGACACACAAATGAAACAAGAGTGGGCTAAGAATGGAACCCTGTGGGACTTCACACTTCAATGGAACTTTATAAATGAGAAATGTTCAAGAGTGACAAATTAATCTCTATTGCTGTAATGTGACACTAAAAGGTATAACTTAAAAAAAGCAGCTAAATATCATTTATGTGCAGTTTCTGTGCTAAGATTTGATCTACAGCCTGGTTGGAAGAAATCAAACTATACTTTATTAAAGCAATTATTTGTGACTTTAGGTTTGATATTGACACATAATTAGCTGTTTTAAACACGCTTGGAAATCCACTCGATTTAAGGGAACATTTCACTGTCAGGCGGCAGACATTTGTCTTAGGGTTGTCTTTGTGGTGAATAATTGATAAACCACAATTGTTTTTTTGTTGATTTAGCTAAAGAGACAAACTGAAGGTTGTTTTTGTTCTCATGGTTGTTTTGTTGGTTTTCTCATGGTTGTTTTGTCTCTCAAAGGTGACAAAACTTTCACAGATATAAAATACTTTTTAGGAGTGACATATTGTTCAGAGTATTAAAAAGGTTTAAGTGTTATTTTCACTAATTTGTGTACAATTGGGTGAAGCATTTCCCCGTACTGGAGGTAATATAACATTGTGATAGCAGTAAAGGGGGAAAAAATCCTATCTGAGTTGTCAGTTTTCTGGCTGTATTGGCAAACATCTTGAATTTATGAAATTTAAACCTATTTGCCCAACCAGGATTTCTTATGCCATGATGTTCAGGTCACCTCATAAAAACGATTTACTGTGGAAACAAATGCTGTAACAATTTGTTCCCATTTTGAAGTCAAAGCCAGGTAGTTTGCCTACTGGTCCATTGGGGATTATGCATTTTCTGGACTTCATTGTCTAGTTCAAACATCTCAATTTTGACAGAACGCAAGTCCTAAGTCTAAGAGAAAGGACGGAATGTGATAATTAATACCTTCCAAAGTCTGTATCGCATAGATGTTAAAAACAGTACATTTACTCAATCTAGGTTCATCACATTCATCATCATGTAATGTTAGGGAGGTCTTTCTTATCTTCTACCACAGAAACACGCCATATTACAATGACCTTTCTCTTTTCATTTGATTGAAGGTTGGGCTGCGACATTATCCGGAAGCTTCAAACCCAGTGAGAAAAGTTCTCTGCACAATGGTGATGATGGATGGATTTTCAAAATGGAGTTTTAATTATCAAACCACCAAAAAACGTTTGATTCTTCACTATTTATCCATCGACATTTGTTCTTGAGCAGGGAAGTATAAACAGACCATCATCAGACCAAACATTTTGAATCCAAAAACCAAGTCAGCCTAAAAAACAGATGGTAACATTTTTACTCATGCTTCCCTTTCCTAGAATTGGCTAAAGCAACACATTGCGAGAAGTTAAGATATTTTAAGTATTTGTTGATTTATTATTTTCACCACAACTCCTTTCCTTTTTTCATGGCGAAAGCGTCTCTTCAGCACTTTTTAATCAATTAAAGTCAAGATATCTTGTTTAATAAATTAGAAATGCTGTTTGTCCCACTGGAAACACTCATGTAAAAGTCAAGGGTTGTGAACAAATGAACTCAACATTCGTCCTTTCAGAAAACCTGTTATATTTTCTTTGGCCAGAGAGCTGAGAGCTGATTGGCTGAGTGAGGGTGGTCCTCTCTTTTTCACTTTTCTGTTTGAAAGAGCGAATCTAAAGACAGGACAGAGACTAAAAAAACCTAAATGCATGTAAACATATATTTTATGACATAGTTCTATTTTTCTGTGGTTTGAAAGTTAGAGACCCAATCTTTAAATGGAATATGAAACAAATTGCTTCAAGACGATTTTTTTTCTTCAGCAAATCCACCTTGACCATCTGGGTTATCTGGAAATGTTCTTGCCGTATCTTCGTTGAAAGGTTTAAGTCATCGCATACATTTCACAGACAAAAGTCATTGCGAGTTAAAAAAACCAAAAAAAAACATGGTCTGTTTTGTTCTTTCATGATCTGCAAAATGTTCTGCACTTCAATTCTCTGATAGCTCTTACCATAGTTCCAAAGCACTTCTCGTTCCTATTATTTTAATGTGAGAGTCTCTTCATCTTGAGCTGTGAAGAATCTGTTCATTTCAAACACTGAAATCATAACAATTAATAAGAATTGGCATTTTTAAATATAGCCGGCTCTCGTCCAGGATCTGTCTCTGGACGATAAGGTTCAGGGTCAACTCTGACAGCATCAAATGATTGTATTTTCTACAAAGAGAACAAAGTACATGTTGGGAGGTCTTTCCATGAAATTCCAGTTAACAAAAGCAAATTCCAGTCAAAAATGAGAACTCTGCATTTACCTTAGATGTAAGTGACACGCTTAAGTTAACTTGAAGTTTAAGCTAAGACCAGAAATAGGAAAACAATTTCTGTGGCTGCAAAGTGCAAAATTATTGTTGCCTACTGGCAAATGGCAGAAGGAACTTTGTCACTTTGTGTATACATTCAAGGAAAAATTGGCAGCCTATTCTGCCCCAGGGTAGCTGTCTACAAGATAAGCTCAGTGATGTGAACCATTTTGCCATTACAATAATTATAGTTATTGTAATTAGTAGAATAATTATTAGTATATATATATATATATAATATATATATATATATATATATATATATATATATATATATATATATATATATATATATATATATATATATATATATATATATATATATATATATATATATATATAATACATAATGTATATATTTTAAAATTAATCATTATCATACTAATTACTTTATTACTGAACATAAAATCAATACTAATAGTAACAACAACAACAAAAACAACAAAAATCATAATAATAGTAATAATGATAATAATAATAATGATAATAATGATAATGATAATAATAATAATATCATAATAATGTACGTATTAATTATTAGCTGGCTGTCAAAAGCACAACGCCTTCAAAGCAGTAGCTAATAGCTTGTGCGGCTCAGTTGATTTGTGCGTGCTTAAATCTGAATGGATTGCTGCTCGTGGGAACGCTCTTTTGCGGTGCTTAAGGGGTCACAAGACTCGGACAACGGTGCACAACAGCAGCACGCCGACAGGTCAGAAGCTTTCAGACTCTCAGATCTGCATCCAACATTCAACAAGTTGTTCTCTTCGGAAAACTATTTCTTCAGGCGCAGCTGCGCGCTCAGCCAATGCCCTTTTTCTTCCGTTTGACTTTCCATCGGGACAGCATCAAATGCAACTTACCTCTTGGAAAGGGTTTGTGTTCGTTTATAGGCTTTAATGTAGTCGAATTGTGACTTTCAGATACGGTTGCCTCAACATGTGCTTATTCCACAATGAAAATATGTGTCCAACATGTCAACATTGCTTTACCACCCACTCGAAATCGATTGTATTACTTTCAAGAAGGTGGCTCCTTGTATAAATAGGGACGCATTATTTCAAGATAGACGGCTCGCTCAGTAGCGCTTCTCGATTAAGTGCTTGGACCACAGACAACGGCAAGGGGAGAAAAAAAACTATTGTCCCGTGTACCTGGCATCTTACTCTTCTGAATAAGTAAGATTTTCTTTGTTTGTCTTTTTGTTTATTATGTTAATAGGATCTATTAGGATATTTTTAATTGTAGACTATCATTTCTAAATATATGTCTTTAATCTGCTGCCAAGAGCATGTTCAATTGCCAGAAAAAAAACGAAAAACAAACTTGTGTTGCCCTCTGTGATTGATACTTAACCGTATTTGTTTATGTTCATTCTATTGTTTTCAGACTTTGAAGTCATGCAGGTGAAGAACAAATGGCATGTATTGACGCTCTTCCTCTTGCTTGTAACATCGGGCCAGTGCATGGATAGCAAGGAGGTCAAGCAGAAGGAAAGACGGACCCTTTTGGACCTAATCTTACAGGTTATAAGAGACAGCCAGCAGCGAGACAAAAGCATCTCCAGACGTTGCGGCAGTGGACTTTACAATGCCCCTCAAGACATGAAGTTCTCCTCCCGTGAAAAGCCTTTCTATGTTCCTAGGCTGGATAACAGTAGACTCATAGGTAAGCTGATAAGATTTATTTTTAGGTTCTGATGAGGAAAGCATAATCCTCATTTTACAGTTAGAGACAGCTGTCATGGTCTGCTACATATTTATAAGCCTTGTGAATGTTGGAAGAAATATTTTATATGACTATAAATATGAATCAGGACATATTGTTAAAATCAGAAGACGAAACACACGTAACAATAATTTAACAGTGTCTCAAAACAGAGTACAGCTCCCAGTTACTTTGGGATTGTTTCATTATGTTTCAGAAAACATCTGGGAGTTAAAAGTCTTACCTGTTTAATGTATTGACCTGAAAGAAGACTTGGCTTTTATAGTACGTATATTGATCCAGTTATTGATAGAAGATCGGGATATGATACAAGAACAGGGAGGAGGAGCGACTCGGGTCCCTGGAAACATTCTTTAATAGTAATCTTAAGTGAGAAATATACCAAAGCGTTTGGATCAAGCATGAGTTATAATTTGTAACAGTTTAATATTTAGTCCATTATTTCTAATAACCGATTAATTGTTTGATCAACAAAGAGATTTAGGCATGCTCTGAATACATTGTATGACTCCAAACAGAGCTGTAATTACTGCAGAATAAATACAACATGCATAAACATGAATATTAAACCATTAATATAAAAACCAGTAATGTTTTAACTTGTCTAGAAGAAGATGATCTGGAGTTGTATCATTTTACCTTTGTTTTTTTGTCCAATCTATTTAAAAATCTCAAATTTACAGGCTTTTTATGATCAAAACTAATTGATTAATTCAATAAATAATCAATTAATTGTTATGACCCTATAGAATGAGAACTATAGTTCTACATTTGTGCAATATTTTTCATTTGAATGTTAAATAGGCTCAACACTCTAATTTGTGTCATAATTGTCTGATCGTTGGCCATTATTATTTATTCACACATATAACTGCTGAATCCCTGATCCAAACTGGCACTTCAGAACCAAGGCAGGCATCATTAATCTGTAGAGAATATCTCTGCATATTACTCTGGATTTTACTGGTTTAGGATTATGGAAAATTGATTCTTGTTCACACTTTAACAAGAAGCTGTCCATGAAACAACATGTGCATATGGGTTTAGAATCAGTGCACCGGCATGATAAAGCAAGCACAGCTGAAGTATTTGCCCCAGCTTATGCAATTGGAAAAGTACCTTTCTCAGACCACTGACTGGATGGAATTTATCTTTTGAGGATATTAAAAGCAGCATTTTAGCAACTGGTGCGTGTGACACTACCAGAGATTCACGGTCATGCAAGGATAGAGGTTTTGGAACACATGGACGACCATCTGTAAATCTGCGGATATGTTTACACTGTATTTGTGCTCCCAAGAGCTACTGCTGGGGAATTAAGTCCCGAGATTCACCCACATAAAGTAGCCTTTTCAATTTGATTTATGTACAAAGAGTCTTTCGTTCAGAAAAAAAGCTTCAAAGCTCTTCATCCCTCGGACACTCTCCATAGAGTGTACATATAAATTACTATTTGAAAGGCACAACACCAGCTCAATGATGCCAGTGGTGATACTGCTACCAGTTCTGCCCTCATTATAGGATATAATCTAGTTCATACCATTTCTTATGAGGCACTCTGATGATTGACTATTTATTGATGTTCAATTGGAGCATTGTGCGCTTGTTTACTTCACTTGGAGGGTACCATATGTCTGGGATAACTATTTGCATCTGATTCCTCTTCAGCTCAGCTTTTTTCATTCTTTCTCTATAGTCAGATGCTTTTCAGTGTTAGTCTACAAGTGTAACTACAATTAAACATTTATACTGAGCAACAAAAACACAGTTACCCAGCGTGCCTTGCTGTATATACCAATAGACATGATCTACCGTAGCACAAGTTTTAGCATTCTCTGTGCATCACATTTTGCAACATTGAAACTAAATCACCAAAGAAGAAAGCTGATTGAACACTAAACTCCAGTGCGCTAAAACTGTGACATCATCTGGTATCATAACAAACAAATGACATCCTGAATCTGGCAGACCTTAGAAGCTAAGCAAGGCAGGGCCTGGTTAGTACTGTGATGGGAGATCTCTGGGATCAGGCAAGAAATTTCACCCACATTGTCTAGTATGAGTGTGGTGTTTAGTGTCTGTTTCTGTCAGTCTACCCCAGGAAAGAAAGCATAATGATATAACTGATATGACAACAGATGCATTATTTTATTTATTAATATTATCATATTTTAATAAATAAACTGAGCGACAGTTGTTAGAGCATTGGTCTTCAGGCCTGAAGGTCGTGGGTTCCATTCCCACCTTGACACCTTCTCCACCGACTCCCACGGATGTCTGCTGTCGTTGTGTCCTTGGGCAAGACACTTAACCCCACTTTACCCAAAGCCCCCGCTGAGAGATCAAGGCTATGCTCACATTGACAGAGCAGCCATCCTCCTGTGGACTCACCACCTGCAGAGGATCAGTGAGGGGCTGGTGCTCTGTGACTTGGGTGCAGCTCTGACTGCCACCCCCCCGACCCAGAAATGGATTAAGGGGTAGAAAATGGATGGAATATTATCATTATTATTATTATTATTTCTATGAATGATGATAATATTGTTATTATATAGTATATTACAAATAAGCTATTCTTTGATGGACTCTTTTGTAAAGAGGTTTCTTTAATATTCAAAATTTCCAAGTAAAACTTAAAAGTTTAAATAAACAAGAGCCATGTTTCCTATCGAGTGCTGGGCAGTTCCCTGCAGTCTCTAATGAGGCCAGGGTTAAGGTGAGTGGGGGTGTGCTGGCTGGCATAGGATGGCTATTCTGCAATTGTGTTTTTTCTTGTTTCAATCAGAAGAGACAAAACAGGAGTTCTTACAATGGTATTCATTGGTTGGCATAATAATCTGTTATTGCATAAATTAGCACAGGAGACTTTGTAGACATTAAAGGCAAGAATGACAGTTACAAATGTGGTGCTTAGACCCCACCAGAGCACTGCATGATGAATGCATGAGGGTGACTGAAATGAGAGATTATGAGATGAAATTCCTCGGGGCCTAGACCCTGGTGGTGTATAGCCATGGGAAGGGTTAAAGAGCTGCTCTGGCTGACGAGGCGATGGGGAGGAGGAGGAGGGTTGCTGCACAGAAAAAAGCTTCTTGCATGATCATGGAGTGCAGTGCTTGAAATATTGGCAGTGAGTGTGATTGACTGATTGCTGTTGCGGCAATTGGGGCCATTGTGAGCTTCACTCACAATGGCCCCATTTCTGCCTCAGTGTTGCTCTCTGATTAAGTAAATTCATGGAAAGCAGAAAACATGACCGCCCACAATGCACCAGCCCTGTATTGACCTTTCCACAGATCTTGAATAAAATCATTAATCCAGTCATTGTGACCAGTCATGAACATCACATCCTAATCTCGTAGTCATGATGACGATGCGCCAGCTCATGGAGATCACATCATTACAGAACAGCTGCTGGAGACTGGTTTACCTCACTCTGAGTGGCCTGCACTTTCTCCAGATCTGAATCTCAATAAAAACAAAAACTTAAACTTAATCCTGCCGCAACAGCAATTCTATGTTGCCAAGTTTTGGGAACATAGATTTTTTATTTTTTTTCTCACCACTGTTGTTGGATTTTCTGTCAATAAAATGTTTGAGAAGTGGTGATAATCTTTGCATGTTTTCAAAAGCTCGTAAAAAACGATACTCAATTCTCCCAAACTTTTTCTTAGGAGGGCATGCGTTCTAGCCGTTATTTTTATAGATCCATGGTTCTAGCCAGGCCATAGCCATCCGTACACTCCGCTCAATTATCATTTCACTGCATGTAACGTCTGGGTCTGGTCCCTGTGTTAGCGATTACGGTTGAATTTTGACCGACCATTCAGCGAGCGCCGAAGGCGGGTGTTGTAGTTAGTTGTGGGTGACGTCAAGAGTTTGCGTCGGACGGGAAGGTTGTGGTTTGGCAATGGCGAATAATGCAATAGTAAAGTAATCCGGTCTGGTTCTATCAAGAAATTGAAGCTGGAGCAAGAGGAATGTTTAGCAAATGTAATCGCTGGAAAAATTGTCACGGTAAACTCAGATCCAATCGTTTCAATCTGCAAAAGGAGTTAACCCCTCCCACCTGTAAACAGAGCTCAATGGAGCACCTCCAGACCTTAGTAGGAAATGTAATTTGTACTATGGTGTGGTAAGACCAGGCTACATGCGTTCCCCTTTTCTCTCAAAATGTCAATAAGGCCAACACTTCCACTCTGACTGCAAAAAGGTCTTTGTCCTGTGTGTATTTACAAATCTGACATTGAATGTTTTATTTGGAGTGTTTGGAGTGTTTAGACAGGTCTTGATATAATGAGTTCTCAAGGTCTTGGGTTTTGGTTCTGGAGAGGTTCTGCTTCTTTGGACCAACTCTCTGGGACACGGCACCTTCCTGAGCGCTCTGATGGCTGGAGATCCTTTGCAGCCTTTTGAGATGTGGCCTTAAAGGAATAGTTCACCGTTTTCTCTCCGGAGACTTCTCTCTCGCTCACTTCCGTCAATAGAAGCAGCGTGACTTGTAGTACAAAGAGAAGTTAGTGCGCGGACGTAGCGCTCCTCAGATTACTACGCCTCACAATATAGTACCCGTTTTATCCGCTGAGAAAATCGACAGTTACATTTCTGTGTTACTATACTTTGCAGTGTATCACGTCACGTAACTATGTACATTTAATAGGGAACACTTGGAAGAGTTTGGTAGCTTCTAGAGGCAGCTACCTTTTGGGTACTATACAGTATACAGAGGAGGCTGCGTTTGTGCTCCCGTTTTTGCTCCGTTTGCATGACAGAGCGCACGGACTAAGACCAGACAGGTACATATTAACTAGTCTAAGGTAAGGTAAGAACATATGTCAGTATGTAAAAACGGTGAACTATTCCTTTAAAATACACATCCAGTTTTGCCTCCAATTCCAAATGTTGTCAATCGATTTCCAAGAACATATGATTTGCCTTTTTACAATGTGTAAGCTTCTGGTTTCAATAAACTACTGTGGTTGTGAACTACTATCCTCCGGATCCAGGAGTTGTGATAGGAATAATTTGTTTTCTCATAAACAAAATATATTCGTGTTCTGTTTTTCTTTCTTTCAGAAATCGTTCCGCGAGAATTAAACGCAAAAAGCCAATACATTCAACATTTGACCGGTAAGAACAATCCTTACATCAATGTACAGCTCTTTCATCAAATGTGATTAGCTTTTTCAAACCTGGCATAAAATCCTGTAGAGTTGGATATTAGCCCATTTATGAAAATAGTTTCTTTGGGCCAAAATACACAAGACTTAATTCTCGGAGGTTGGGGTTGGTGAGGAGGCGATTGCATGGTGAACTTTAGGGCAACAGTGCAAAGAAATGGCACATGGTCTGAGCTCAGTAAAAGCATTATGAGCGTAAGCCGATTACTTGCTTCAGAACAAGTGAGTAGAGTTCATTATCGGTGTGAAAATCTATAGAAAGATTAAGTGCTGAGGTCTATACTTCTGTTTGCCAGGCCAATAAAGCCTATTGCGGAGGTTTACATGCACTGTGTAGAAGATAATTTTCTCACAGTCTGAAAATATAGTACTTTACTTTGAAACCACAAAAAATAACTATGTAATAAAACAGCACTCAAAGCACTGTTCACTTGTCTGTACATCCATGTATTTTTGGCCTCTGACACATCACACTGAGACGTGAAAAGGAGAGGACCCAAATTAAAGATTCAAAGATGTCATGATGAATAATTCGGAAAAAAAACAATCTCCCTCACAATTGTGGAATTGAGCCAATCAATAAAATGTGCGTAAAAGTAACTGACCTAAAACACAAAAACAAAGAAGATGTTTATGATGTAAAAAAACTCTTTGAAGTCATTTAGTTTGATCTTGATGTTTGACTTTGGCTTAGTGGCATGATTGTATTTGTCATGTGCACTTAACGTGATGATTCCTTCTTTCTTAAGCAGGACCAGTCAAGTTCTCCCGGGAGTGCAGAACCCACTTCCACAGACTGTACCACAATACAAGGGACTGTTCCACACCAGCATGTATGTATACTGTTCCACACCAGCATGTATGTATACTGTTCCACACCAGCATGTATGTATACTGTTCCACACCAGCATGTATGTATACTGTTCCACACCAGCATGTATGTATACTGTTCCACACCAGCATGTATGTATACTGTTCCACACCAGCATGTATGTATACTGCTCCACACCAGCATGTACAGTATGTATCTGCTCTACACCAGCATGAATGTATACTGCTTTATACCAACATATATGTATACTGCTCTATACCAGCATGAATGTATACTATACCAGCATGTATGTATACTATACCAGCATGTATGTATACTGTTCCACACCAGCATGTACTGTACTGTATGTATACTGTATAGTGAGAACTCGGAAAATTGTTAAATTTCTTCTGGAATAGAACTTAAAATGTGAAGTTGATGGCAGACTTAAAGTGAGACTTTTGAATATGAATTTGTTTTGAGCCATACAACATTATAACGTTCTGCACCATGTACCAAGTCTTTATTTGTAATAGTTTTGATAAAAGCTTGTAAAAACTCCTCACTAACATCTCAAATTATTAGAATATTTTTTAAAAGTATTTTTCAAAATGATTTCAAACACGTGGCATTTGACAGCTTGCATGTAATAAGTCTGTTTTATAAATGGGTTTCACATTATTCATATTTCACATTATTATTATCTTCAATTACAGAATAACTTTTGAAGGATGTTCTAAATGTCCATGCTTCAACTATTATTTACTTTACTGTTACACTTGTATTTGTGACATTATCCAGTCTGATTTGATATAGTTCAGGTACAAAATGACACTCATTTTGCGTTTATTTGATTTAACTTGTTATAAAGTCATACGGATTGATCAATAATTATTCGAACATGTTACAACAAGGACAACAAGTTTTTTTTGTATCAATCTCTATTTATGAGCATTCAAGATGACAATATTGGAAACAAAGGTAAAAATATAGATTTACCATTATATTTACAGTAAATTACTATCTTGGATTATTTGTTATACTTTTTTGGGAAATGCTGTTTTTCTCCAAACCTGTAATTAATCGTATCACATTAACATATCATCAAGGCCTAGGTACGACACATGTTGATAGTAGCCGTATAGAAGTGAAGGTGAAAATTGTGAGACTCTTTGTTTATCAAGTGAAACCATGTGGACGATGTACACGCTAAAAAGAACACTGCCTTTTGTCTAATGGAAGATACTTTTCTTATATTTGTGCCAGAATTGAATTTTTGTCATATGATTTATTGTGACAAAAACAGCGTTCTATGTCTTTCATCTTAAGAATATATAGACAATATTTATCATAAAACAAACAACAAGAAATACATGCATTGTGTTTATTATACACGTCTTTTATTTTAAGGGTTTGTATTCCATGTCTGTAGCTGGGTGCAGCTGTCCATATGTGTTGTTCAATATTGTACGTAATCTCTTCCACACAAAAAAACAGATCTAAAGTAAAGAGAACATTTTAGTTTTATTGTATCAGTTTTATCTCTGCATTATATCAGGGCCTTGGTCAGTCCAAAACAGGACAATGTCTCTTTCCATTTGCCTCTTAAAAAGAAATGGAATGGTTACATTATTGTCTTCTGCAGTCCAGTAGAAACAGAGCACTGATGTCTAGTGACGTGGACAGTTAGAGCACAAAAATGAAAGACGAGGACTGGATCATCTCATACATTTGTGTTCTTATGCAACTGATTGAGATGACGCATGCAATGATATTATTCACTTCTCCCCCATTATCTTTTTCTGGGAAGCATTCAGAAACTAAATATTGTTCTAATTATTTATGTGCTTTTTAACATTCTGTTTGTGAAGCTATGTTTTGTTCTGTTTTCTCTACAGTTTACAAAAGATGTGCAAGATTACTAACACGGCTAGCGATGAGTCCGCTCTGCATGCAGTCATAGAAGTTACATGTGAGTAACTCTTCTCTTCTGGGGTGCGGTGTTGTGTGTACTAAAATATTAAAGTTTTGAGTCATTGACGGATTGTTCTTTGATGAGCTTCAATTGTAATCACTGACCAAAGTAAAGTAAGGTTCAAGTCCAAGTTCAGGAATGTCTTTGTTGTTAAATTCAGATTTGTTATAATGTATGTCTGATGTCCAAACAGTCAGTTTTTAATTTCTCCAACACTTGTTGTGTTGAAATAACAAGAACCGGATTCAGACATCTGTCCAACATTTGGTCTTAAAATATAGCATAAGCAGACACCCATTTGGCGCCCTTGCTTTCTATCTGAAACACGTTAGCCACTATTCTCCAAAGTAAAATGCAGTGCAAGAGTTGTATGAACCCTGACAGAAGCTTTAGATCACAGCTGCTCTTATGAACGTTTTATTTTCTCTGTACGTTCTGTGTCAGCATCGACTCCTGTGTCGTGTCATGGGGAATCAGCAGTCAACTCTTTAGAACCCTACTGCCAGGTTATAAAATGTTAGCCGTGAGTGCAGTTTGCATAACATACCAATTAAAATCATAAATTGTGTTATAAAAGGTATTAAAGTGCCAGGATGTTTTACACACATTTATGTTTTCAAATGCAAACAGCCGAGACCATGTCAAACTCAAGCCCAAGGGCAAAATCCAGCCTAGTATGTTTTTAGTGGAACATGAAATAATAATAATAATGTTTTATTTGCAGCATTGATGGTAAGGGCTACTATGTCAGGTTTGTTGTTATTAAATCATGCTTCTGTGGTTGGTCACAAATCCAAGCTGTAAGGTTTATTTATTTTGCACCTTTCACAGACAGAGGAAGTCATCAAGTGCATTCACAATAGCAGTGCATGTTGGCATTCATAATTCCTTCAATGAAGTGTAGCTCTAGTGTCAGCAAAACTCATTCAGGCCCACCCCATGTCACCAGACCACCAAGACTCTTCTAATGGTGATGCACAAGAAAGGCTGCAGTTTAGTTTGGACAGGAAGAGTAAGACCATGGAATACTGGGTCTTCTGTGTAATTAACCCAATTTAAACCAGAAATTGTACAATGGCAGAGTGACAGCAAAACTTATAAGTTTTCCTTTGAACCTCGTGAAAGAAAATATATACCAAAAACAATATACATTGAAACCACATTAGAATGAATGGAAACATTGGACATACTACAAAGAATTTCAATGGTTCAAACGCTACAAAAGTTCCAGACTACAGATCCGAGTCTAGATCCTGAATTGAGTCCTTGTCCTGGTCTGGGTCTGAGTCCTGGTCTAGATACGAGTCTGGGTCCTGGCCTGGATCCTGGTCCATATCCGAGTTAAGCTCCTATTTGAGCTTGAATCCAGGTCTGCATCTTGGTCGTGGTTAAAAACAAAATTATTTTATTACTAACATTTCAGAAGTAAGAGATGTGTTTCTTGTGAGAGAGAATGAATGCACAGTGACAGTGACAACCTGCAGCAGCAGATCTCTACCTTCTCAAAGGTGCAGTGCAGTTATCACATGTAACTCCCACAAATCCACCACAACCACGGCTCTCATACAGAAGGTGAAAGTATGACAGCAATGGTGATGGACTGATCAAGTACAGTGCCTTGCAAAATAATCATACTGCTGCCGTTAGCGTTTGTGATTCACAGCTAGAAGGTCCTGGGTTCGATTCCACCTCCAAAGTGTGTAGAGTTTGCATGTTCTCCCTGTATTTGCGTAGGTTTCCTCTGGGTGATCCAGTTTCCCTTACCACTCAAAACATGTACAATGGGTCTGAATGTTGATGGGTTCGATGTGGCAGAGTCTTTGGCGTCTTGCTCCTGTCATCACTGGGTGTGGAAATGGGAATTACCGGTACACCAACATTTCGATCCTTGGTCTGTGAAATGCGCCATACAAATACAGATTACTTACTTAACATTAGGACCACAAACATAAGTATGTTTCATTGACATTCTGTATGAAAGACACAAAGTGGCAGACAGTTGTGAAGCTGCTGGAGTCTGCAAAAGATGAGACTGGGATGCAGGTCTAGGACAATGTCCTGTAAAGTAAAGCCTTTTCTTATCATCAAATGGTTTAAAACAAGATGTGTTAGAACGGCAAAGGTCCCGACCTTTAATCAAAACATCTGTGGCTGAATCTGAAAAAGGCTGTTCATAAACTCTCAGTCTACTGGAGCTTTATCCATTGTGAGATAAATAAAGTCTATCTCATCTTATCTTAAAAAAAGTTATCAGCGTCGTACAATCTCAGTGTACAAAGCTGATAGAAACCTCTTTTAAATATATCTCTTTTAACAGCAAAAGGACTCCAAAAAGTATTCATACAGGAGGGCTGATTACTTTTCAGTTCAGTTCAGTTCAGTTTATTTATTTGCCATTTGCAGTAAAAAAACCCACATTGGAATACATTGGCAAAAAGTCTCCAGTGTGCACAGACAAATACAGAAATAAAACAACATTAAAAGACAGAATTAAAACAAATAAAACAGTAAACAAATGTCACTGTGAAATCGATCGACTAAAACAGTTTCAAAACAAGTGCAAATCATTACAGTGCTCTGTTCACACTGATAACAGCTTGTGGATAAAAACTGTTAGCGTAACGAGATGTCCTGCATCTCAGAGGATATTTTGCACACCACACTTCACAGATTTTATTTGTTAACATAAATCCCCCATTTGCATTTATGTCACAATTATCTGCATTGGTCTTTCATGTAAAATGCAAAGAATCTTTATGCCTGGGATCATAACAAGGCCTAAAAAAACTGTAGAGGGAGCTCTGCATAGATTCAAAAGGCTCCATGATGTCATGACAGACGAGTGAAGTCCAGGCCACCAGGGCTATGGCAGTGCTGCAAAGTAATGTTGGTCATCGCACAAAATACACACTGCACACTTAAAGAGATATAATCATTTTCAACTTTTAAATACGACTTTAGAAAGAGTATAGTACAAGTCTCACTTATTAACTAGCTCTACTCCAACGAGCCAATCGCTTTGTGACGTAGTTCTTGACATTTCAAAAGTAAAGGGGCTGACGCACATTCAGTCTGTCACATGAATCTAAATGAGAATGACCTGCACAAGTCTGCAGCACTGCAATATTGTAAAAAGTCATTTACTTGTCACTTTACATTGAAGTAGAGCGTAAAGAGGAATATATAATTACCACTGTTTAGTTTTATTCAGAAAGTGTCAGTGCGATCTCAGCTCACCAATGTGCAATGAGAACTCATTTAGATCAATTTCTAGATCCCTTTGAACAAGGCTGGTGAAGAGTTGTGTCCTTGAATAAAAACTTCCACCATTTTCCATAAATGAGTGTGGTGGCTCTCTGTGTGAATTAAAGTATACAGGTGAAATCATTTTGAAAGGTTACTGTCCATTTTTAAAATGTATTTGTGGTTTTTACAAGCTGTAAGTCAATTATCAAAATTATAACAAATAAAGGGATTGATAAATCTCATTTTGCCGGTCCGACATAAATTATTTAGTTTGAGTTTTTGAACAAGTTTCTCCTTTATCGTAGGGAGATAATAAATTACAAATGGCATGGATTATGTTTAGTTGTTTTGTTTGACGCCAAGCTTAATAATAATTGTAATATTTCCTTTCAGATTACTATCAACAGAAGATGGGTCAATGAATTGCCAACAATGTGCCTTCCAATCCACTGCATCACTATCATTGTCCTACAGTGTTTATATTTTCTACTTGTCTTTGCTGACAATGCGTGTTGAGATTCTGTGTGTATTTTTGATTTTAATATATGTGTATGCACCATATAAAATTAAGATAATTTAATATTGAAGCACCTATTTATTGAAAGAGTTTGTACATAATATTTCACAAATTGAATGTGTTTATTTTGTTTATTAATGTTGGGATTGTGTGCATGGTGGAGGGCACTTCCTGTACTGTCTGTCAATATGGACTTTCTTCCTTCATCGGCCGGATAGGAAAATGTGACACACTCAGTCAATGTCTTAATTTCATTTTATTTGGCACTGAAACTAAGAACATATGTGAACTGATAGGAGGGGGGACCTACCATCATATTGAAAAATAAAGAATATTGAAGCACAGGACGTTTGTTTTTGAATGGGAAAAGACAAAACGAGCTACAACAATAACATCATAGTTCTCCTGCGGTGGGAGAGTTGATGGATGTGGCTGAAAATGGGGCTCATGGGACAAGATCAAGACTGAAGGAACATACGCTTGGTTTAAGACATTGTTATTTCAAAGGTGTTATATGATAGTCTTATCTCATGAAACATGTATTTACATATTATTTTAACAAGCTAAGATACCTAACTTTTAAACCACATCAAATACAACAATGTATCAAGATTTATCTTTATAGCTTTTCCATCGCTAGTTTTTGCAGGAACAGTATTTTTGGCCTGTCATCTCTTGAGATCAGGCAGAAAAGTGTAAAATAGAGAACCACCCTCTTTCAGCCAATCAGCTCTCAGCCCAAAGAGTGACACGCAGGGCTCTTTCTAAAAGCTAAAGATGTAGTTTTTATGGTATCTGTACTTTACTTTATTACTAAATTGATGACAAATTCCTTAACTTTAACCCAAATAATCTTTACTTTCTACTTATAAGTTAAATCTTTACCAAGTTACATGTTTTTTTCTTCAGCTTGAAACATTTCAACAGCAGCTACAATATTATGTTATTTGTGTCCCTAAAATGACTCTTATAAATATACTGTATTATCCGTCAATTTGTCAACAAAATACGTTGTACTTATTGATTTAAGCAGATAAAAAGCTTGTACATTAACACTGCTGTACATACTACAGCACAGGATAGATTTCAATACTTTTTCTTGCTGATTTTTATACTATAGTCTATCTGAAAACAGAACCCTTCAAAGTACAGGGGAAACTGAAGTACCACTATTGAAAAAGTAAATGAATTAAATAACATTGTAAAGACAATAAAGTTGAGTCCAATGTCAGAACGATGCCACAAAATGCAGTTAAGCAGGTATCAGATATTATTCACGAGACAAATAAATATAAAGGCATACATTTGAGACTGAACAAAGCTGCTAAATGCATTATGCCGCTTAAAAAGTGAAACTAATCTATAAAATCATTACATGCAAAGTGACATATGCCATGCTTTTTGTTACATTGATGATGGTTATGGCTTACAGCCCATTTTCTAAATATTGACATTTTCTATTTTATTTTTTGTGGTGGTGAGACAATTATCAACAGAGGCTTGCTATATCTCACAGTGCATGTACGGCGTCTGTCATAAATTAGTACCACATTGTAAGATGAATTAGAGAAGTACACTTTTAACACATTTTGTCATCCACGTTTATATGATGCGTACTTAGCTACTATAAACATTTAGTAGCTAAGTACGCATTATTTTGTTCCAGTTTACAGGGGGTTAAAAAGATTTGGGATTTTTCTTTTACAAACTGTGAGACAATAATCAACATAAGAATGGCATGATATATCTCTCATCTGTCATATATTAGTTCCACATTGTAAGTAGAATACCAAGTACATGGACTTTTAAAACCACACTCAAATTTGTATAAACATAGGAGCTAAGTAAGCATTATTTTTGTCCCAGTTTACAAGAATCCCTTAAGTTTAACTTGTAATAAAAACACTGCTATCACAAGTCAATCTTCAAAGTACTCGCAGTTGCCAGTATTTCCTCCACTTCTGTTTTACCTCCTGAGACTTTGACCACCGCTGTGATGCACGCTCCTCGTCCCCTCTTCTCTGCAGGTGTTACTGCTTTAGACACATCCGTTGCAAAATCCCTGGCAGCTCTTTTCTCCTGTCTCTGGCAATCACACACTCAATCAGAGCTGTCAGACATCATGGACTCTTGGACTTAACAGGACGTTGAGCAACTCCAAATATACTTTGGATAAGATCAGCAAAGGCTTATCATTGAGTAATCACATGTGGAACGCATATCGAGACTTTTCACAGCCCTTGGGGGATTTTATAAATACTGTAACATTTGATTTGTAAGTGGGTAAATTTGCTACTAAGATCTTTTAAGATGAAAAGGTTCCGAATATGCTTTATTTCCAAGAGCTCTTGAACTTCATGCAGAGAGATGTTGGTTGTTTTTCATAATGATCAAGCTGTTCAGACCAAAAGTGTTTATTTCTATACAGAGCTAAGCAAAAACAAACCAAACAATATTCTTCATATGCAGGTGTTAAGATAATAATATCTGACATATCCTACTTTTACCCATGCAGTGTGTATTCTAGTATCTTATCACCCAAACAAGTACAAATCTACATTTTGCTCCAGCTGCATTCCTCTTGTTCTGTGTCAGCCGCCTGGGAATTGATAACTGATTGTTTTCCTTTTTTTGTGGTAGTAGACTGCCATAAAGAGGCTGATAAAATATTTTGAAGAAAACATACAAGAAAGCCAAAGATTACAACAGTTTAGTTCTCACTCTACTACATATCTTGACCAAACCATGCATTATTCACGTTTGGCATCATTTACAGGGTTTTAGAAAGGCAGTAGTAGGTCTGTAGTTTGTGTTCATGTGACATCACACAGAATCAAAATGTGTAAGAGGGTAGCAGTAAGTATGGTAACTGTCAGTCTGTAATTCCTGGAACAATTCACATGAAAAATAAAGATCCACTTTGTCAGCACTTATATGGGCAGCACAGGGATTAGCATTGTGTGCTTCTTGGTCCTTGATTCCACCTCTAGATCTTTTGGTGTGGTTTGCATGTTCTTCCCGTGTCTGCGTAGAATTCCTCCAGGTGCTCCGGTTTCCTCTACTACTAAAAATATGTACAATAAGTCCAGCACGCGCCAATAACTGAGGAGTGAGAGAAAAAATGCCCACAAGAATGTAAGGGGTTTTGTTAAAAATAATGTACTATTTTTTCATGATCGTGTCTAGAAATGATACATTTTTAAAATATAACGTTGGTCAGTAGAAATGACTTTCTGACATCAGAATAATATAATTTGTGAAATTAATCATTATAATGATCTGGGGGAAAATCTTTCACACAGTGTTGTATTGAAACCTTCTATCCATCCATCCATCCATCCATCTTCTTCCCCTCAATCCATTTCTGGGTCAGAGGGGGTGGCAGTCAGAGCTGCACCCAATTCACAGAGCACCAGCCCCTCACTGATCCTCCTGCAGGAGGTGAGTCCACAGGAGGATGGCTGCTCTGTCAGTGATGGCACAGCCTTGATTTTTCTTCCTCCCAACTGAAATAGAGTGATCCAACATGAACGCAACCTATTGCATGTTATAGCCATTTCAGCACTGGAGAGCCCATAAATGTAAGCCACCTGCATTCATTATTAGGTAAAGATTATCCACCTAAAACATCAAGCACCTGAATGAGTGGGGGTTCCCTGCATGTCTGAGTGGCCAGGCGGGACAGACGGAGGACACTAGATCCTAATCTGCAGGATATGGCATTCGTGGAGACAAACAGCGGAGATTAGGAGAGGAGACAGAGGATGCACAAGGGACGACATGTGGGAGGGCCATAACACAATTAAACAATAGCACCAAATCCTCACTCGGGCACCTCTGAGAAATAGCACCGTGTTAAGTAGTAAACAGAACCCAAAGCCTCCTGTCACATAGAACCGGCCACTGGCATTGTAGCAAAAATAGAAGAAAATAATGTTTACAAGAATGCTCGTATTAGTTATTTACTGAGAAAACAGTAAATAACTGTTTTGGTTAGGTCAAAATAAAGATGGTCTTGTACGTCATTCTCCCCCTCTCATTTACTGCTATTTTACATGGAACCAACCATATTTTGTATTTGCTAAAAGCAATGGTAAGCAAACCTGTTTATTTATAGCGCCAGTGACAGTAAAAATAGTTTTAGATGCTGACTGAATGCAGCTCATGATTAATTCATAGCTTTCCTTACGTGTGTAGTAGACACAGCTCTATATGAGTCACCAATAAAAATGTGTCCTCCATTAGTAAATTGACACAAGAGAGACACATGTCAAATGGCATTTTGTTTGTAAAACAAAACACTTATTCTGGGATGATTTGTATCCATCAGTGAGTTGCCTCATTCAGCGTCTCTACTATGGGAGCAGGGCTCTGGGGCAGATGTTCATGTTGATGGATTGACAGTCACATTCTGGAGCTGTGTGTTCCAGCAGCTCAGCCTCTTTGATCCCAAGAGCTGGAGGAGCTGGCACGAGGGTCCTACACCTCCTCTGCATCCCCACACACGCGCCTCTGATGCTGCCGTGCCTAATAGTCTCACTGACAGGCTCCTGCTCAGCCTCATCACACAGTTTGGTCCCAATAGCTCCATAATCTTTATTGAGAAATGGCATCAGAAAAATGTCTGTAACTTATAAGGACACCTTTTACACAAGACTAGCACAAATTATTAAAATATACTTCATTTATAATTGTTTTTCTCCACCATAAACATAAATACTTCCTACATTGTTGCAGTCTCCCAATTTGTGTTTCCGGAGGTAAAAAGTCCTTTTCAATATATTACAAGAACACTGGACACTTTTTTTTAGGCTAAAAGCCTAACGGGAGCAGAAGCTGACTGCAAAGTGGGATCTTCTGAGCTTTATATCCAGATTTCAACTTAAGAAACAGAATATAATGCTACATGTGTAAAACATAATATATGGACACAAAAATGTGAGAAGAATCATAAAAATGATCTCATGAAGAGTAAGCACTGAGTGAAAATGGCCATAGTTACTTTGCAGAAGCTAAAGAATGGGTTCTGTGTCGTTCCAGTTGACTGCAGCATCTTTCCACCTAAAACCAAACAACAAACATTACAATAGAAGAAGAGGTTATTGGTAACATATAAATGTTGTCTGCATTTTTAAGATAACCCTGTGGTCACCAAGATAACCATGTGGTTCGCAAGACCATTTTCAGCGGCTCCTTTTCCCCTCCAATTAACATTATCATTATATTGCTTGTTTTTTATATTTCAAATTTGTTGGTCAAAATAATTTACAAAATATAAGAAGTGTATAAAAAGGTTTCACTAAAAAAACAATTAAGACCTTGGAGTAACAGTATAGTCTTTAAAATGGTCAGCAACCAGAAGTATTTTTTTATTTAAGACTAAAACTACAGCTTGGTTTAAGGTGCGGACCTGGTGCGGATGCAGAGCTCCAGAGGCGGAATGAGTTCTGAGGCTTCGTCCGAACAGGGGGCCGATCTGTCAACACCTGCAAACAACATTCATTATTAAAAATGTACTACCCTTAAGTTTTCTGTTTGTATATTTATATATGACTACAATAAAAAGTGCTGGCACTTACACACACTGAGGCGGATCTCCTCCTGCTGATTTGACAAGCCATCATAGTAATAGAGGTCAAACTCCTTCAGGTGACTGGTCAACAGCTCCCTCTGCAGCCCAAACAAAACACTGAAATGACTCTCGCTGCAGACCACCCATATGGGGAAGCGGGGAGTCTTCAAGAAGTTTCCAACCTGAAGAACACATCAAAAGATGGTACAAGGATGAGGAAACTTGTCCTAAAAATACTAGCAGTGTAAAATGTAGCGTTATCCTTTTCAATTCACACAATTGGTGGGGCCTTACTTTGCAGATGTTGTAGTGCTCAAACAGAGAGAGAAGACCAATGTCACTGTTATACTTGATTCCTTTCAACAGCATTAAGTTACTATTTCCAGAGTCCAGCTCCATGTCGTTGTCAAACACGTTGGAGACGGCTTGGCCACACAGCAACAGGTTGACAAGTTCCTAAGAAAGAGACTTAAGTGATTATGAAACATCAGTGTTTCAATGATCAAGTATTGGCAGTAAAAAGCACTGAATAGATTGTATTACTCTATTTCACACTTGCACAATTACCACAGACATCAACAGAAACACAAACACAGATGTATGTAAAATTCCAATCTCCTCTCCCATTCAAAAGTAAGTAAGTAAGTAAGTAATCTTTATTTATATACCGCCTTTCACAGACCAGAGTCACAAAGCGGTTTACAATTGTTATTCTTTGGGCACTTGTCCTCTCACTCCACACAGAGATGGGAGCGGGGTCGCCGAACAGGAGGCGCATGCCAGACCTATTGTACATATTTTTAGTGGTAGGGGAAACCGGAGGAAACCTACGCAGACACGGGGAGAACATGCAAACTCCACTCAGAAAGGCCCTGGTCCGGCCAAGATTTGAACCCAGGACCTTCTAGCTGAGAGGCGGGAGTGCTATCCACTCAGCCACCGTGCGGACAACATAATAAAATACCATACAGTACAATTCAGCAAATCATAGGAACCGCAACACACACAAAACATTTTCTTTTGTACATTAAGTGGCAGAGAGTTTCCAGATACAATACACAATACAATACAATTTATTCTTGTATAGCCCTAGGTCACAACAGAAGTCATCTCAGAGGACTTAACAAAACCATTGAAATCACCAACACAGGTCAGAGAATCAACAGTTAAAACACATGAAGAATATAAAGCACACACAGAAGAAAATGTCCATACATGTTGTAGAATGCTAAAGTGTCCTGATCATCACCAATCCTTTCTGTTGGACACTAACTGTCCAACAAGACCCTCCTGCATCGACAAGGAAAAACTCTTAAAAAACCCAGTGGGAAAAAGTGAGAAACCTTGGAGGAGAACTAGGTTCTCATTCCCTCATTATTCCCTCATTATTATCATTAATTGCGCAGTTTTCAAGTTTATCAATAGTTTACATTTTTTTGCTTTTTTGTATACATTTCGATTGAAATTTTAATCTTGTGGTTATTTGGGAATTTATATAAATATTTTGGTAATTGTTTAACTTGGATATACTTAAAGTTGGATAATCAATTCAGTGATTTACTGCTAAAGCTAGTTTTTATTTCTGTATTTCTATTTGACTAGAATGTATTTTTAGTAATGTTTTACAGGATTCTTGCCTGATTACTTACTTTATCACTGTTATTTTTTGCCCTGTTGTATTTTGCCTTTTTGACCCAGCAAAAGTCTTGCATTGCACCTTCTCTCATGGATGAATTTACCGCAAAAGTCTACTATATGGCTTTACTGTTTCAAACCCTCCACCTGCAGTTTTAAGTTATTTAATTCAATGAACAGTGGTTTAGAATTTGTTCAAATCTGAAAAGCATTTTTTCAAGGAGATAAAACACTGGAGGAGGAAATCACAAAAAAGTCGGAAGTTTTACACAGAGATGTTAAGAGGGCATTTCTCTACCTGTGTGCAGTAACCGTGGGCTCCGATGAGTGTGGTGGTGGGCACGTCCATGTCCTCTCTCAACCTAAACATCCACAACACAACGTCTTTCACTTGTATTTCATGACATATGTTTACAGGAGTTCCACATACTTGTCAATAGAGCGAGAGAGAACCGCTGATACGACCAAGAGCAAACATCCCATCACCGTGGACTCAAACTATAAAAATAAGACCATTTTCATAAACAAAATCATAATTCATATAAATCAATGAAGGCCAATAAAAGGTCAACGTCATGCCTGTTCAATATGCTGGTCGAGAAATTGCTCCAAGGCTTTTTGGTTATCCAAAGTGAAAAGCAAAATCTGAAACAAAAACATGTATTTGAGTTAAAGAAAATCATCCTGACGTGCTAACTTGAGCTAGTACAAATATGAAAAGAGTGAAAGAACTAAATGTTACATGCTCAGGCTAAGGTTAAGACATACTGACATATTCTGGGCATCAATTAGTTGGCTAAAAAGGAAGCTTTCAAACCAAATAATGACATTACACAGACAACCATGTTTAAATCGGTATTGTGGTGTATCTGTGAAAAGGCAGATGGATGTTGAAATTTCTTCCCAAATGGCAAGTCACTAGTGGTGTCCGCTAAGTGAATATGAATGTTTTCAACCTCCCCAAACTAAGACAGCTTTGAGCAATTAATGAACGGAGCGACGGCAGACTTACACTTTCAAGTACTCCGTCAGATTTATACTTTCCTGCGGGTATGAAATGTTTTGATCCTGAATTCCTGAAAAGAACAGATAATAACTTTAATTATTATGATGGTCTGATTATTATAATACATTTGTGTATTGTTAATCATAGAAATGAGTCAATAAAGAAAGTTTGTAAACGTAGTTAGGATATCAATAACACTGTATATTAATGAATAAATAAATACATTCATTATTCAAGTAAAAACAAAAGTAAGACATTCCAAACAACATCTTACATTGCTACTATGACTTGTTTTTCTTCCCCTGCTCTCCAAAGGATTTCTGCTATGGCAAGAACTAAACATTTTCTTCTGGTGGAGTTGGACGGCCTTAATTTGCTAAAAACAAAGTAGTTGTTGAATTAAAACTGATAATATGATACAATACACTTAAAGTTAATGGGTGAAACAGCACAACAAAGAGATAAAAGCCTTTTCATACTTGAAGCAATTGCTGCCGTCAGAGTCTTCAAACAGCATTTTTTTCATAACAAATCCTTGCACTGAGGCCAGAACTCCACAAGGACCACCCTTCGAAATATGAAACAGACCAAGGATTTTAAAGATGTAATGATTTTGTTTGACATATTTCTGGGTGACAAACCTTTGTTTGCACAATTCCATATCGAAGATCATGTATTTCAGAGAATGTGAAACCCTGATTCCTCCACTCAACACTGAAACAATTTAAGCTGGAGCCAAGAAGAACCACTTTTAATTCCTGAAAAAAGACAAATAAGTAAATCAAAGGAAACCACAAACATCTTTCTCATATTTAACACAAAGTACTTAAGTTACAAACCGTGGCCGTCTGCTGATCCATTGGACAGCCTGTCCAACTCTGTCTTGTGATGGTTTTATTAAAAAACATTCTGGGAAGGCTTTGCATCTCCTCATCGTCAATGTCATCTGTAAATAAAAACATTCTCAGCCTTTTTTGGAAACTCTTGTTAAAAGCCGAAAATAATAAAAAACTCTTACCCAGTACCATTTCTGATACATTAACATTTGACACATTCAAACTGGACTGGACTCTGGAGGATGGAGAAAAGATGGGTAAAGATATGAAAAGTGTGAATTGTGTAAAGTACTTTTCGTAACCTTTTCTCCATTTGTGAGGTCAGCTGCTCCGCAGAACTCCCTTGAGCGAATTCGTAATGGTCTTTGTATAAAGAAGACTGAACAGTTTGCAATAAGCAATCCTCGTCATCCTTTTCCCTCTCATTATGGGGCAGAGGCTGATTATATTCTGCCTTTCTTATTTGCCTTTTCTTGATTGATTCCTTTAAAGTAGATACGATCAGAAAATACAGTATAATGTCACATAATAAAATGCAATGATTAGTGAACCTCAGGTGTGCTGGCTACGGGTCCTGTCATCATGCCGCGCCTTGGCCGACTCGCCTTATTTCTTTTTTTGCTCTCAGTAACGGGGATCTTCAGGTCGACATCAGTTCCCTGTCCATTTTGGTCATGAGCAGTGAGACTGCTTTTGTGATGAGCAAAGCTCTGTGTTTTTTCTGGAAACAATAAAGTAGTATGGGATGTTTTGGGTACTTCTACTTGTGACCTAGGGTAGAGAGAAGAGTCCTGTTAAGCCCTCTTTCCACCAGCCTTGCTTGGCCCTTTTCTGCTCTACTTTACTCCAAATGGAAGTGTTTCCACTGGCCTTGTTTAACAGGTACTAGGCACTTTTAACTACCTGCTTGGTCCTGTTTCTAACCTGGTCAAGCTGGAACTAAAGTGTTCTAACCAACAGATTGCCAACGTGCTGCTGGAAGCCATGGTTAGGTTCCTAAGATATGGTACCAACGTCCTGCTCACCAAGTAAGGCAGGTGGAAACGGGGCTTTGGTGAATATTTTATTGTAGCAAACATTAACGTACCTTAACGCCATGCCATCGTCAGTGTTAAAATGTAAAGAACGTGCATCCAGTTCATTTGTTGTACCGTCAATCAAGTGTTTAACAATAATCTCAAGGAGTGTTTTGAACTGGGAATTCTCAACCTGTAAAAAGAACAGCTTTATCAATATATTGTAAAGCTACGAATTAGCTATGCCCTTGCCCTGAGTCATCTAGTGTACATTTACTTTACTCTTTCTGTATAGAGCCTCCAAGTTGAGCATCTGCCTCAGTTGTGATCTGTTGTTGACACTGGCCTCTGTACGGGGATGCTCTTCATCCATGCACACGATAGTCTTCTTCAGCCCCTGCCATAGAGCACACATGCGATAAGACAAGCACGATGTTTTATCAGTCCATTATCTATCAGCCTTTTATAACTAACAGCTAGTTAGACATCGAAGTAAAACCTTAACCAACCTTGCGACTCAAATATTCCCGAACAAGCGAAGACGAAATTTCTGCAATAGAAATGGTCATGTTGGAATAATATTTCCTGTGTTGGGGCCTTCATGAAGCTATGTTCCGTAGTGTAGTGCCATCAAAGCTCTTTAATCAACACGTTGGCAGAGATCTGGAGGCTAGCTCTGCTCGGTCTTTCCCGATCCGGAAGTGTTTCCATGGCGATGCTCGCTGCTGCTCCAGAGACTGTTTCAGGAGCAGAGATTACATCAAGCGCATATTGTTACAGTCTATGGTTATGAACTTCTCCAACTCCACATTACTACAGTTCATTTAACCATCGATCTGTTCATGACATGGGCTTCAGTTTCTTATTTATTAAACATTTTAAGACATGTTCACGTAATGTTATTTTGTATTTGTTCTTCACTGTACAGAGATTGTTTCAGGAGTAGAGATCACCAACAACAAGCACACTAGGAAGGAGTACAGGTGATGGGTGAGCAACCTTCCTTTGTTTTGAATAATCCCTGTACGACTGAGAGTTTACACAAGCACACTCAATGTTTATAATTTTATTAAAATATTGTATCAACATCACAAAGAGTTCAGTTAGCACACACTATTTAACAGATACAAGCATACAACAATATCAACTGCAAGAGTTTGCTAGTCCATAAAAGAAGAATGGAAGCCAGGAGTTACAAAAGGAAAAAGAAAATCACACTTGAGCAGCAAATAAAATCAATAGGGAGGGTAAATATATTAAAAACGTCAGTACAAAGGAAGTACAGTACAAGTTTAAGTTTCTCTTTGACAAGCAGTTGTTTTTTATTGGCCTACAATTTAAATAAAATTGTTTTTACTTAATCAACCAGCCAAAAAAGGATAACATGATTAGTCCTTTTGTCACATTTTAAAGAATACATTTTCCCATTAGCCTGTCAAAACTTGTAGATACATTTTAACATTTGAATATGATCCCAGAATTGTATTTACCAAACAGCATTCCTAGTGCCTGTGAAACATCAGCACAGTCATCCATAAAAATAAACTACATTTACATTGTGGGGACTAAAATTAAAACAGATTTGGCACATAAAACCCTTCTCTACTCCGAGTGCAGCGTTGACAGTAAGTAAACACAGTTGACATTTCTCTCTGTTGCATGTGTCTTGTATGTATCTTGCCTGTGGAATGCCATGCTTTGCTCCCTCTGCTGTTCAACAATCATATAGGGTTTATTTTATATATCTTTATTTTTTTTTTTACAAAATGATTTCAAAACAATAACATATCTCCCCGCGCATGGTCGATTATCAGTAGTCGTACGCTGAAAAAGAGAGAGAAAAAAAGCAGTTTTGTTATTCTAACAGTCTTTACAAATTCATGCGGAAGAGGAGCATGCGGTCCACTTCGGTCCAGTTATGAGACATCACTCGGACATGCGGTCACACCAATGTGGTCTTACTTTCCACTGTCAGGATGCATGTGCTGGCAGCAGTTCCTCGGCTGTTCACGGCCTTGCACATGTACTCTCCTTCGTCCTCTGGGAAAGTCTCGGGCAGGTAAAGGCAGTAGGTCTCGCCTCTCTCGATGTACTGATAGTCCTCACAGTCCTGGAGCATCTCTCCCTCAAACCACCAGGTCACCTCGGGCTTTGGCTCTCCTGTGATCTTAACCGTGAACCGAACCGGCTCAGAGTCCACAACTGACTGGTTCTTCAGAGGCTTTTTAAACCATGGGGCCCCAGACCTTGCATGGTCTTCCTCGTCTTCGTAAGCTGCAGAGCCATTGATGATGCTTCCCTCCTCATCTCCCTCATCTTCTTTTTTCTGAATGGAGCAGAGAAAATAACATTACAATACATTAAAGGAGACATTTTATGGGACACAAATCCTCTTTTAACATGTAATAACATACACAGTTGTGGTTGATCATTTAAACAGCCAGGCAGAAATGTTTGGAAATTTCCACAGAACTTCATAAACTAATTTATAATGACAACAGTAACCACTCAAACGGCCCCAATTAGAAGTTTTCATTCCCCAGTTATCAAAATTGCGCACTTCCATTAATTTGATACAAAACAGTTTCCAGATGTCTATGGTAACATTGAAAATTGTCACATTGATTTTTCTTTCAAAAGTCCATTGAAATTGCAATAAAGGCCACAATGACCCTTGTATGTTAAAATATAGGGTAAAAGAAGAGAACCTTTACTTAGAGGGGAATTTCCAGACGACATTATAGATAAACAGATTGTCCAGTAGGCTGAATAGTAAACAATAGATGCCCTTTCACAATGACAGTCAAGAATACCTTCTGGAGGGCAGCATCTATCTCTTGCTGCTCAAATTGCATTCGCTGTAGTTTCTGATCTTCTATCCTCTTTCGCTCTTGCTCTTCTCTGGCTTTTGCCATTTGTTCAAACCGTGCTCGCATGTCCACTTTCTGTTTGAAAGGTGTGTCCTCAGCCCTCATAGTCGTTATTTCTTCCTGTTCCTCGTCCTTTAAAAACATGGTAACACATAATTATACAGTACATTTTTTACAAAATCATGTCAAAACGTTTTAAATGTTGTAGTACCTCATTGAATCTTTCAGACTCCCTCTCTTTAATTTCTTCATCTACGGCTTTCCTTCGCGCGCGCTCTTCCTCAATCTTTTTCTGGATTTCTTCTTCAGTCAGCTGTTTGATCTTCTCAAACTTTGATTTAAGGCTCTTTGCTTGTATAGAACCAGTCCTCTTAAGCTTTGTCAGTTCCTCATATTCTTTGCTCACCATGTCAGAGCTTTCATTTATTTCCTCCTAAATATAAAATAACAACATTATTATCAAATGTTATAACTGGACATTATGGACAAATAGGACTATGCCCTCTAATACATCACATGCACGAAATGCACAGTATGATTAAATAAACATTTGTTGTGGTCATAATTTGATCCAACACTGACCACGCCCATCTCTTGGCGAAGCTGTTCAAATTGCTGCTTCTCCTGTTCAAGCTTCGTCCTGCGTTCTTCTTCTTTGCGTTTTCTTTCCGTTTCCTGCTTTTCCTTCAGCATCTCTTCAAAGTTCATCTCCAGTTTTCTTGGGTGCAGTGCCTCCTGAGACTCAGACTGGATCATCTCTCCATCCTCCTCTAGAATCTATGGAAATAAATGCCAAACAATAACTTTTAATAAACTATACTTTTACTACTTATATACATATCTTTAAAAAAAAGACATTTATCCTAATTCACAAAAAATGTGAATTTTGCAGAATAAATGTATTTGTAAGAACCAGTTTCCACATAACATCACGTCCTAAATCTGTTAGAATGTGTAACATAATTAACTCAATTCATTTGAAATAAAAATCAAGTAGAACCCTCTCAAGGCCAGGAGTAATAAACGTAAAAGTATAATGAATAAAAGTTAAGTCATAAATGTTTTGGAATCCCTTTGGGAATATTGAGCCTCCTCCAAGTGGGACATGACCTGAACAAGGAGGAGCAGCAGCTCTACTCTGAGCTGCTTTCACGTGACTGAGCTTTCAAAGTAGCATCTGACCACTCTGCGGAGGAAACTTATTTTGACTGCTTGTATCTGTGATCCTGGCTATGACCGGTAAATACAGAGATTTGCCTTTCAACCCACCACAACAGTGAGATACAGTCCACAAAGTCATCAAAATAGTGGCTCTAGGCTAACTTGACGTTGAGACAAGAATACATTGTAATATGTACATTGTGTGATGGTGTACATCGTTGTGAGCATTCATTTGGTAGTGCTGTTACTGTGGTTACTGACCTCATCTTATCAAAAATAGACGTTTGCAAAGACCAACAATTCCTCAAACACTTCCATATTATGAGATAAAGTTAGTAGTAGTTGTCGCTCTTTTAAAAGTTGCACATTGGTAGAGTTTATTATATACAGTGCTTAGCTACGTTAATTAGTGTGGTTTGATGATTAAAGATTTTTGAGAGAAAAAAAATACAGAAAATAAATACAGTCAGTGTACTGTACAGAACAAGCTTTTTACCATGCTTTTGCGGGCTTCTGCAAATTGCTTCTTCTCCTCCTCCAGTCTCTTCTTGGCCTCCTCCTCTGACCTCCTCTGCTCCTCCTCTCTTCTCTGACGCTCGAGATCCTCAAAGCTTGCAGAAATTTTACCAGGTTTGCTGCCCTCCAGATTCAGTAACGCCATGAGGACCTCATCATCTTCATCTACCAGCTGTGAAGTAAACATGAGTCATTCTCCATGAAGAAAAGCAGACCTTCCAACAGCAGAGGTCTCACAATCACACACTGACCATGCTCTTTCTTGCTTCTGCAAAAGATTTTCGCTCTTCTTCCATCCGTTTCTTGGCCTCCTCTTCAGCTTTCTTGCGTAAACCCTCAACTCTCTGCCTCTCCAGCTCCTCAAAACTTAGCCGCAGTTTTCCCGGCCGCATTTCCTCTTTGCCATCCTGCTGAGTGGACTGCAACTCCTCCTCTTCATCACCCTGGTAGCAAAGCAAGAACATGACGGGTTTGGTGTCACTTTTATTGTTATTTTCATTATTTACCTACAAAATGGTTATTAATCTATACGTTATTCATATATAAATGTATATATTATATTATTTTACCATTTCCAGCCTGGCTTCCTCAAATGCTTTCTTTTCCTCTAATAGACGGCGTTTGGCTTTCTCCTCAGCTTGCTTCCTCCTATGTTCTTGTCTTTCTTTTTCAAGTTCCTCAAATGTCAGTTTCAACTTGCCAGGAGCTGCTTGTTGCATCTCTGTGGACTTCTCCTCCTCATCCTGAACACAAACGGTTGAATGTGTTGGTCAAAAGCCAAACCCAAGGCAGCCGATAACATGTTTTCTTTGGCTCAGCCGTGAGTGACTCACTTGTTGTGCCAGAGAGTGTCTTTTTGACTCTCTGAATGAGCGTTTGTTTTCATCATAGCGTTTTTTTTTCTCCTCCTCTGCTTTCTTCTGTAACTCCTCCTCTCGATTCTTTTCCAGGTCTTCAAAGTTCATCTTGATTTTACCAGGAGGTCGAGAAGACTTTGCTGGAACCACACAGACCTGTATTGTGTCGTCTCCCTCCTAGAATGACAGTACAAAGACTTGAATGCTGCAAACTGAATACTTTAAAAAGCAAAAGTAAAGTTTCGATCAATTAGTTTAATCTAATATACAACTACACATGGGTTGGACATTCACAATTGTGCACTTTGTCAAGTCCAGCAGATGATAGACAAAGATCGATCACAGCCCTTGTCCAATTGATTAAAACAGGCTTTTTTTTAACTGTTAGATCCTTTTTCAGTTCGCAGTACTTTTTTTGTTGCAAGCTTTTTCAGCTCTGGCTCTGGAGCTGTATACTTTCCAGTCAGATCCAACCTTTTGATGACAGCAGTTTGTCATGACACATCATTGAGCGTCTTTCTTTCACTTTCATTGGCAGGATATATTTCTAAATAATTAGAACTTGTTAGCTCAATCTTTTTTTTTGGATTGGGCCGACAAAATCAATTCTCAAAAGTTTGTCAAGTTTATTAAATAACTTTCATAGCCACTTCCAGCCATTCTCACAGTCTTAAAGCAACCAAATTAAACTGGGTGGTTATAGCTCTGCATATCAAAGAAGCAACAAAAGCTGGGTTACCGGATACAAAAACAATTCATCCTTCAACATCTCCTATCATGAGTGGGGTAATGGGCCAGAAGCTGTCCCAACCGTCTAATGTCTCCACTTGCAGTAGGTCAGATTGCAGTCTAATTCAGTAACAGTAAAGAGGTCTGGAGCTAATTTTGGCACAAGTAGGTGTAGAAAACAGTTGCCTGTCATATAATGCTGGTAGCTTGGTGGAAGCTCTGGTTGTTTCTAGAACATTTCAAAATGGAAACTACAGTTGAACGTGGCACATTATCACAGCAGTTTTGACCATTATAAGAAATGGGCAGTACATTGAATACAAGAGAACCAAATCAAAAGATCTACCTCCATCTGTTCTCTAGCTCCACAAGCTAGTTTAACCATTGAATTTCTTAGACATGCAACAAAATCACAGCTTGTTGCTAATATATTCATCCAAGTTTATGAACAATCACATTATAATAGCTACTTACATCCCAGGTGTGTCTACATTGTTCAATACGTTTAACTCATTTTAAAGGAGACATAGTACACATGTTTAAAAAAGATATTTCTAGATCCATCCTTGCTAATATCAGGAAATTATGGCGCAAACAAAAAACTCCACCCCTTTTGTCTAAAAGCTCATGTCTCAGTCCTGTTATAGTATGATAATTGTAACACTATGACAACACACAGTTTTCTGCCTTTTAAACAAAACAAAAGTACTCCCCATAAAATCTTTTAGACAATTTCTCAGGTATAATAATGTTCTTTGCAAACACACCAAAAATTAAACGCAGCGTTTAATTTTCAATTTTGATAACAACAAAATCAAATAGCATATCATTAATTTCACTTCATACTTGTTTCGCCTCATATTATTTTACTGAAGATAATATTTATCATTTTCTGAAATTGTCTATAATTTTCATGGCCAAAAAGAAGGTGTAAAATGTACTTTTCATGGCGGCTGATTGTTGCCATTGCTAAATCATTTCACCAACATCAGTCCACATACCTCAGCTGCTTTCTGTGCCAATTCCTTCTTTATTTTGGCCTTTTCCATTTTGTCTTGAGCTTCTCGTTTCTTTCGCTCCACCTCCATCCTCTTCCTCTCCTCCTCTTGTCGTTGTTTCTCCATCTCTGCAAACTTCCCCTTTACACTTCCTGAGGATCAAAAGTGATTTAAGCTTATACCTTTCACACACTTCCTCGCCAACATTTTCTTATATGCCTGTTTATGAGTCTTACCGGTAATCTTGGGGACATATGACTTCTCCACCTTTGCAGGCTTCACCTCCTCCTCCTCATCGCTAGAAGCAAGTAGTTCCTTTATCTGCAGTGGATAAGAAAGAGAATGTGGTGAGGTGAACGAATTAGCTGGGATCATCTCTTTTGCTGTTCAGGAGCCATGCTGGTCCTGGAAAATACAAGTTCTAATCCTTGGTAATAGCCAAGACACATGACCTGAGGATGGAGAGCTGATTGGACGGTAGTGTTGGTGGATACACAGAAGAGGAGATGGGCCAACGATGGCAGACCTGTCCTGGTATCAGCTGTAATCCACTCACACTACAAAGTATCACTGGTGAAGGTCCCTCGCCACACTTAATCTGGACCTAAAGCCTGTCTTAACCCTTCTCTCACTCTGCGGCATGTCATCTCTTCAACTCATTCATGACGACTCAACTAAATGATTAATAAATACCAATACTAGTTTGGTCTTTGATTTAGCTCGAGCATATATACACTAGAAATGCCAGGTGGACAATGAAGATACTGGCTGTTCTATTGGCAAAAGTGGCCCAACATTTTTTTTCTTGTCTGTCAAACAAGAGTATTAGTATCAATTAGTATCCTGGTGTTTTATTCCGTTTTTATTATTTGTGAATCTTCATCTTCACAAAAACCTGCCTACGGTGTGGACTGTCCCATCTCCATTTAAGGTTATAGAATACAAAATGTCTTGAAACTGGCTTGAAGCATTTCTTGGTTTTCACGACACATTTAACCCCTTACATGCAGTCATAGTTTTATATTTGGTCATTTATTGCTATCAGACCAAACTACAAAGCAAAAATCTTAATTTATAAACAAACAAAGGAGTGTTGAAATGTTTCCCCTGATGGGCAGTCCGCATGTGTTCTGGAAGAAAAATGTGGTAAATACTTTCCAGAAACATACACTAAATATGCAGGTGTTGTGATCATTAGCCTCAAACAATCAATGAAAATGTTCTGTTTTTTAGTTTTTTTTATGAATAGGGATTTACACTTCCAGAGCCGTGGTATGAGTGTATACTGACAGCTATAGTATTTAGTCCATGAGGTGCAAAGAGTGATGAGTTCTCACAGCCTTGTTGTCGGTGGTCACGCGGTCACTTCACACCATGCCTTCATGCGAGTCGTGCACACAGCATTAGTAGGTTATCTGTCTTAGACCTGTTGCTTGCGCCGGCTCCATTCTCTCTCCTTAATGTACTGGTCTTTCCTCTTTTGCTGCTCGTCCTGGTTGCGCTTCCTGCTGCGCTCCTCTCGTGCCTTTTGCATGGCCTCAAACTTGTTTGTCACAGCACCTTTGTCCTGGGTTTCCTTTGGCACGTAGCTTCTGGCCACTGGTTTGCTGGTTTTCAGCAGTTTCTGTGGAGACATTTTTTTATTTAGTACTAGAGCAAGTTGGATATATTAATTTTAGTTTTTCTAAGAACACCAACCTCTTTCTTTAAGGCTACTTCTGACATATCCTCTTCCTGTGTGTCAGGATCCTTATTTTCTTTCTCTGTACGTTTGGACATACCGTTCACAGCTCTAGACCGCTCCCGTTTCCTTATGGGAGTTTGACTGTCTTTGTGTTCCACTCCATTCACTTGTGGTTCTGCAGGCTCACTGCTGTTTGTGCCCTCCTGACATGTCATATCTTTGTCATTCCCTGTTCCCTCAATTTCTTCATTTTCTTCAATTTCTTCAGTTTCTCCAGTTTCTCCAGTTACTTCAGTTTCTTCTTGGTCTTCAGCTTCATCTAGATCATTCTCATTGAATACATCCTCCATGTCATGGACATCCACTGCTGCAACCTGTGCCACCTCAGTCATGTTTGTACCACAGTGACACGCTGACAAGCAGGCTGGTTCTTCCTGAAATGTATATTTGAACATTCAGTGAATAATAGTTAATTAATCATTGAATGCATAGAAATACATACAATTACCATAATTGAATTAAGATTACAAGTATTTGGTATTTTTATGCAACTAAATGCAAACTTTTACATTGCTTGTTTGCACTCATATATGAACATAAACTACCTATAACAACACTGCAAGTGCCAAGGCCAGAAAAGAGTGGCCTGGATGTTGTCTGACCTCTATAAATAGCACACTTGTGTGTTAAGGGCATGTGATCACAGCTATTTCAGAGCAGTGATAGACAGTTGGACAGAGCTCAGATTGGCCCCCACATGTCGCCCCCAAAAGCTCTAGATAAAATGGTGAGACTAAGAGCAAGACAACTGGAGGGATGAAAGCAGTTTAACAGTCTTTGAAATAAAAAAGTGTTCCAGTGTCCTCAAATACCTTGATAGTTACCATTTAGAACGGCTTTGGGGAAGGAGCACAGCTCCATATGCGATACATTTGTAAATGACATTGTATTGTACATATGTATGTCTCTATTCAACTTGGGCTCTCCCATCAGTCAGACCACTGATGTACCGAGGCAACTCCGAAAACCATACGGCAATAGCTCTGTTCTTATCAGAGTTTTTCTCTTTTGACAATAAGTGAAATAACATTTTGAGGCATATTTCCTTACCTGGTTGTTGTCCTGTGGATACAGTAGTTAAATCCCGTCGAATATAATCAAATAAAGCAAGGCTCGTGGCAACGTCCCTGCTGGTGGACGACTTTCCATAAAAGTAACCGACTTTCCTCCCACCGCGCGCACATTCCTCACGCACTTGCCGCAGTTTCAGCTGTTCCGGCGCGCGCATGCGCACTCAGTTCTTTTTCTCACAGCTTCAGAGTAGTCAGGACGTTACTTTTTAATATACGGTCTATGGACAGGACCAGCTGCACCAACAACACACAGACCCTGGCTGCATCCGAATTCCGACAAAACTTACATTGTATTTCAAAATATTGACTTCTTCAACTTTTGAGATGTTGCATTCAGCATGGTCTGGACGGCATCGTGCATCGTACTCAGTACATGTAGGTAGGGAAATGATAATAATTGACCGGAGTCGGAGTTAAGGCCAAGCTAATGCCGTCCGAGCTTGAGACACTTCCTGCCAAATGACAAAACACCAAAAAAACAAGCAGGGAACTTTTCTTAGCAAATACTATAGTTTCAGATTCTCATATAATGCAACATTTGAGGACCCCTTTTCCCTTCAAGAAAAAGATATATTTTCTTGTTAGTGTGGTCCTTATTTTTCATCACTCAATCCATTGCTCCAAAGGAAGACAAGTAGAATTATAATATTATGGTACTGATGCTCCAAAACAATCAATTATGTTTGACTTGATGCAGTACCTGGTTTTACTAGGCTTTCATGTCCTGTTGAGTTCTGCAGAGCAGAGAACAAGAGGAAGGCAAAAATAGAACCACAGCTGTGACCGCAAATCAACAGTGTAATGCTACAGCTACCCTGAGTCAGACCCATGGACTGGGCCCTGCAGCTGCTGGAGTCCTGGGGAAAGGTTATGTAGAGCCACCTTCTGCACCTCTTCACAGGCATCTAGTTTTACAGATTTTGGGGATCTTTCTCAGACTTTATACACCTTTCACTATACTTTTTTCCTGATAATTTACACTCTGTAGACCTTCTCTACGCTTTGATTCAACTGGAACAAAGGCCTCTATGAAATTCCATAAAGCGTTTTGTTGTTTTTCATTTATTTATTTAATAATTCAGACGATCCAAAAACCCACAAAATGTATGTGACTCTTTGATAGTTATACCATATATTTATAAATATTTCTAACCGATAGAATTGAGAGCCCATGATGAGTTTTGTATTTCAAATATTTCACTATATGCTATGAACTGATCTCCCCAATGACATATTAAGAATGTTCACATTTATTCTCTTCACACTTTTAATGTCTGAGTTTAGGAGGGTTGAAAGAGAAGTGTGGTCAATGTTCCAATGTTCCAACATTGTAGTGGCTACTTTTCATTCAATATCAAGTAATTTATTCTGATTTCACTTGTATAAGTAAGATGTATAAGTATAAATGTGAGTATAAAGCCACATTGATGTAGAATCCCTGATATGGATGTTTTTTTTTTTTTTGGACCTTTTATTCAAAATGTAATGCAATCATCAAATGGCTCAACATTTTTTAATTTTGGTATTCTTTTTTTGATTTGTAGTTGCATTTAAATCCAACATGCATTTTACATATGCATTTTTTTTGGATTTGCATTTGACAATTGTAAATGGGAAATCTGTCTCCTTATGAATGCTGTGACAACCCTCTTTAGTGAGCACAATTAGTGTAGGAGAAATTACAAACACGTGTTTGAGGAGAATAGTCACAGAAGAACATCTTCTTGGTGGTTTTTACTAAAACACAATCAAACGAGTCTTTAGACCAGGTAAACCAGTCTTGTCAGGTCGCCATGATTCCCTGCAGCACACATTCGTGTGCGGACACGAAAGACAACACGCGCGTGGATACACACACACATAAACATACACACTCTGCAAGAGGAAGCATATTTCTGCAGAAAAACTGATTTCACCACAGCTCTGGTTCAACGGAGATCTGTGGGGTTTTGTTACTGCCTGATTAACACATACTGTAAGACTGCAGACATTGTTTGCAAGACTGATTTTTATTGCAAGCGATACATGAAAGATTTGACACATATGCAGAGATCGTGGACAACACTGCATGACAAATGCAGAAGTGGAGCTCAAATAGAGATTATTATTATTATTATTATGAGATGAAATCCCCTGGGGCCTAAACCATGTGATGTGGAGGAGCAGGGTTGCTGCATGATATGAACACTCAACAGGGCAGTGTTTACTGTAGATGCAGCCAGGTAAGAGACGATTGGTATACGCAGAGCTGCCAGGTGAGTGATTGACGGGTTGCTGATGCGGGCACAGAATCAATGAGCCTATGGGCGCATGGCGCAGCAGTTAACACTAGTGCTCCATGGCCAGAAGGTCCTGGGTTTGAGTCATGGATAAATAATGATAAGGGTCAAACCCTCCAGATAGGGTGTTTCTGTGTGGAAGTTCTCCCTGTGTCTGTGTAGGCTTCCTCTACCCCTAAAAACACGCTCTATAGTTCTGAATGTAATGAGTGAGTGAACGGATGGGGATGATTGAAATTTACCCCAGACCTTCTCATATTTTTGATGTTCATAAAATTCCTTAAGATCCAAACACATCTTTAGTCCACTTGTAAATATTTTGGTCGATTAATTAATTGACTAAGCCCAGATTTATTCACTTGCCAACAATGATATTAAGTCGTTTATATGTGCTACTATGACCTGCTATACATGAGTTTGCAGCTAATTATCTAAAAAAAAAAAAAACCAAATTGTTTGAATCCATAATCATTGAATCCATAATGCAATCACAAGCTTCTATAATTTTGGCCAATGGTGGTCAATGTACTGCATTTTGTTCTAAAAAAAAAACTATGATTCAAAAAAGCTAAATAAATCATATGGGCAAAAATAGATTCCAAAGATGAGCTGAAAAAACAACAGGGGTCTGCATGCCATTTTGCACTCCTTTCTGACAAATTGTCTTAAGCCACAACATATAAGGCAACTTATATACTATTAAAGTTGTAAGTATGTTACATACAACAGTTTGGGTCTATATATTCAAACATGAAAAGAAGCATTGTTCCAGAACTGCAGAACGAGCATAGTTGTTTGAAATAAAAAAAATCTTCTAAAAACCTTCCAAAAAATACGATGCTCTTGTATTTTTTATCAGTAAAAGAAAGATAATGTACACAAAAATAAAAAATAAAACCAGTATGACACATGGACGTAGTTGTGACGTCAGACTAAACGGATCTTTCACACGGAAATGCGTAACTCTCGCGACAACATAAGCACTGGCACAAACGTAAACGACAGGCCCTTTGCTGGATAAAGTACCAATTCTCGGACTAAAACAACACGTTTGACTTTGATGAACGGACTTCACAATCGCCAAAATCGGGATCAAAACATGTGCCGAGACAGTAAAGCAACTCCCAACACATGGTAAGGTTCAATACTCTGCTAGCTTTAGCATGGTTAGCTCGCTAATCTATCAACACTCCTTTCGGGCTTATTGACAGCTGACCGGAGAATAGCAAGGATAAAAAGCGTCAAGATAAGTCAATTGCAGCCCGGCTTTCAGCAGTGAGTTGTTGAAACTATAAAGGGACCACTACACCTCGCTATAGTTATGTCCATTCACAGATGTAACTTAGTGTCAAATTGTCACTGCTCCTGAATAAATGCTGCAGTAGTGTGCCCAGAGAAGGTATGTCGGTGTTGCTTGGTGCGACCGTGTGGCTAAACAAACATTCGCATTTCCCCTTCTCTCACTCATGGTTTCTATTAAGCACTTTATTACAAATTCAATGTTCTATTTTTTTGTCTCCATTTTATTCATGTAGCTTGATTTATATGTGTAAATCAAGCTAAGTTATTGTTGCTGTGCCTACACATATGGGGCGTTACATGTTGCGTCTATGTTCGTGAGCGTTGTGATTCATTTTACATGTACATTCAATGATGTTGCATTTTGTTGTGTTCTTTGCCCTATATAACAAGGGGATGAGACGAGAACGGCACCTGCAGCTTGGGGCTTGTTGACTCGGGATGGCGCAGGGAGGCTCTCCACTCGACTTCCACATGCTGCAGGATCTAAAGCAGCGGTTTCCAGAGATTCCCGAAGGAGTGGTGTCCCGGTGCCTCATACAGGTAATGTTCCTAGTGCTTCCTAAACAGTCATACTGTTCTTTAGTGCTTATAACTTATACGGGATTCTATACTTATATTCTGCATCTCAGTTGTACTAGACACATGATTTGGATTGTTTTGTTTTTTTCCTTTTAGAACAACAATAACTTGGATCTATGTTACCACCTGCTGGCCCAAGAAAGTAATAGATATCTGTATGGTGAGTTCCATCACAGTCCAGAAGAGGGACGATTGAGCCGAAACCACATGCTTCACATTAGCTTGTATCCTGGAAATGATACAGCAAAGACAAATGGTGGAGCTGCAGGAGTGGGGCGCTCTCTTGTGCACAGCACTAGTGACAGTCAAATTGATCCACAGCGGCCCAGTTACCCTGAACCACTGTCTGCACCGGCCACAATGGCCCCCTCTCCTGGATACAATCCTTTCTTTATAAACGACCAAAGTAGATCAGCTAGCACTCCAACTCCACCCCCGATGCAAGGAATGTCCCCCACTTATCCACCTATTCAAAGTTATAATATGAACCCTATAACGGTAACATTGTCTCAGAATATCCCCACAGTTCCCCAAGCTTTACAAATTCCCCTGAGCCATTATGGCAATAGTAACAACTCAAACTTATATCGACCTTCTCCTTCACAAAGCCCACAGCCAGCTCCTTGGCCCTCATCAGGAGCTCCAAACTATCAACATCAGCAGTCTCCTTACAGTACTCCTACTTATGGCTCTCCATACAGCTCTCCTCAGCATCAGGTCCAGCCTCAGCCGCAACCCCAACACCAGCAGTATGTTTTCCTACCCATCACTTCCCCAACTCTTCCTGGCATACCCTATCATCACCAGCAACAGCCCCTGCAACAGCCTGCAGTTTACAGGCCATACCATCCAAAAAGCGGCATCAAGAATCAGATTGAAATTACTCTTGAAGGACCAAGACCACGCAGTAACTCTCCTGTGCATACCCCTCATCCCCAGGGAGCACTTTATATGGCCACCAGCTCCTCGCCAAGCTCTCCTTCAAGGGGTGTGTCTGCCTCCCCAGCACAGTTTCACCCAGGAATCTACCTGCCTCCAAGACCTCGGCCTGCATCCTCACCTCAGCCTGCCCAGTCGGCCTACACCTTTAAAATTAAAGTGTCTCCTGGCGGCCAGGCTCAGAGGCCACTCGGTTCTCCTCCTGTGGCTGAAGCTGAGTCTCTTCTCAATATTGTGGATCAAGTGGAAAACAATGCGGCACCTCCACCAATCCTCCCAATCTCTGCTTTAACCGGGACAGCTAGCAGCCTGTTTCAGCAAATGCCACGGCGCTCAAGCTCAGGGTCTGATGACTACGCTTACACACAAGGTAGCACTTCTAAGCTTGAATTGTTATTGTGCAATCTTACAAGAGGAAATGTATATGTTTTTAAATACTGATCTAATACCTCACAGCTTTGCTACTACACCAGCGGGCCAGAATGGAGCGCCTAATGAAAGAGCTGTTGGCTGAACGACAGAAACTTGACCAACTAAAAGCTGATGTCAACAATATGGAATATGACGCTCTTCAAAGACGATTTCGTCGCGTCAACTCCACCAGTCTTATTCCAAGAGTAAGAACTCATTTCTTTTTTTTGTCACACATTTTCCATGAATAGCCATCTATATATCTCAAATCATTGTTTTTGCAAAGTACACTTATTGGTTTATTCATGCGCACAGCCTGAAGAAATGACCCGATTGAGGACGCTGAATAGAAAGCTTCAGATTGATATTGACTGTACCCTAAAGGAGACTGATCTACTGCAATCTAGAGGTATACAGTACACTTTAAAGCACATCTCTGCACATGCATTGTAAGTGTAGCTAATGGATCACACCGATCTGGAGAATCCCACATCATGCACATGTTTGGAGTATAGAGTTCAGAAATCAACATTGGTAAAAAGAAAATGACGATTATTGTGGAAATTCAGGGAACTCTGCAACATTATCCAGAGACGAATGCAAACAAACCTACCGGGAAGTCTAATGACATATTATCGCCCAGTACTCTCAGAATTTATATATTTTTATATATTTATTTATATTATATTAATTAAAATAAATCAGTTACAGATGTCTAAAATGTCAAAGACTTTCATTTAAAGCTGCATTACCTCACTTTATTTTTGTATTCATTACGAAAATTCAATCCATATCCATGCAGTGCATTGGGATACACGTCCTTTTGAAGAATAAGTAGCGCAGATTTGTGCTGGCGTGTCATTTTATTTTAGACCGAGTTTTGGTGCAACAAGGAAGGTAATTTGTTTTGGGACCAGATTGTGACCAATCACAACGGACCACTGGCCCCCACTTTCTTGAGAAAAGCCACAGGTCTCTCGTTAGCACAGACAGCTGAGGTAAACAAGCGGCGGAGGCTAACCTGAAGCTTGCCGTGTCTTCGTTACCGGTTACTGCTTACACCGCGAAACAGCCAAAAGAAAGTCTTGTTCCTCCGCGCTTCCCGGTTCTATCATTCTCCGTAAACACATAAGCACAGGCTGAGGAGTGGGGGGCAATAGCTCCGTGAATGCGGGGAGGGCGAGCAGAAAGAGTGAGGCCAGCGCTCGCATTCGAAGATTTCACAAAGTTAGTTAGTGCAGCTTTAAAGTCTAGATTATTTAAATTAATATTCTCTGGGGGAATGATAAAGGAGTGATTATTACATCAGTTGACTAGAGATAACATTGAGTGAGTAGTATTTGAGATTTGTGAGTCTAATATGCCTTTATTTTGTTATATGCACTGTTCACCAACCAGTGATTATCTGCATCTTGTTACAGCATTCAGGCCCAAAGTGTTCTATTTGGTGTATCATGGTATATCTAAAATGTCTGGAAGAGACCATTTTAACACATTCATAATTAGGGTACAAGAGGATGTTCACAAATTCATAAATGGCAATACTTTTAAGACTGCTTCATTACATCTGATCTCCCTTCTTCAACAGGAAAATTAGATCCTAATGCAATGAGTGACTTCTACAAAAATATCCAGCCTGGTCCAGCTGTGCTGCCTCAATCTTACAAAAAAGGTAAGCAATCCTTCAGACAAGACTTCTAAACACATGCACTGTCAGTAATGTCATGTTTTAATAGTTCTCTTGAGTCCTTGCTGCTACAAAATTAAAATCTTCAATTATGTTTACTCAAAGATGGTGGCATTTGAGTGTAATTTGGAGTTTGTTTTTGTATTCATTTTTTTTTTAGAAGAGCCGGCCTCTAAACCAGCACTGCCGCCTCCAAGAGATGAAGATTTTGAAGGAGCTCAGTGGAACTGTGAAAGTTGCACTTTTCTCAACCACCCTGCTCTTAATCGCTGTGAACAATGTGAGATGCCCCGCTACACCTGAGCCGTCATCTCTGAGTTACCCCAGCCATGGATACTGTCAACTTTTGCTCTGTCTTAATCTGCATCTTAAAGGAGGCCTTCCCTGGCAATCATGATACACCCTGAAGGCCTGCTGAAATAATGTCCTGCTGCCCTAAGACTTGTGCACTTTCTCCCTGGTTTTCAATGGTGATGTACTTTGCAAATGAACAAATGTGTGAGCAGTAGGAAAAATACTCCACTGAACATTCCATGCAGAATGAGAGACTGCCGTGTTTACACAACTGTGCCCATTCCTGAACTCAGACCAGAGGCACTTCCTCATTAACAGAGGACCTATCCTCTTTCACCGTGAGACAATAACATTATGGTTGATTCTGAAATAATGCGAAATGTAGACTGAACACTGTATCAGGCTCTTTATTGGAGCTTGTTTCACTGAACGCATATTTAAGAACACTAAAGAGTCATGCATTTAAGTAGTCTATACTTTTGTGCAAAATATGACCATGTATTATAAAGACGATGGCGTCTTGTGCGAATGCATCAACATGCTGTACTTAATAAAGGAGCTGATTCTATGTGGTCGCCAACAGATGGGTATATTTTGAAACTGTATTGATTGATTGACAATAGAAGTCTTTCCAGAGTATTTTATTAAAATAATAAACCAGAAATAATCATATGAAATTGTTTACACATGAACATGCTTTTAAGAGTCCTTCCAGAGCCCTTCCAGAGCATACTAAAACAATCCTGTGCATTTTGGTCATAGTACAGTGGAAACCAGAAGTCTTGACGCAAATGTTTTTGTCAATGTCTGAAATTAAAATGCTGACTTTTTCAAAAGTAACGTACCCGGTAAATAATCTCCTATTCCAATATTGTGGCATTGAGCCAATATAAATAATCTGGGTAAAAATAACTGACCTAAAAGCAAGTCATTGTAATTTTGACATATGTAAACTTCCAGTTTCCACTGTACATTACTGAAGTGTTAATTGATCAAACTGATATTCACTGTGTTTGGTTCAACCATAGGCCGTAATATAGCCTATATGGGTCTAGCTTACCAATACATGCTAACCGAGACATTTAAATATACTACTTAGTAACTCAATGCAACCCATTACATATTTTATTATAGTTAAACATAATTGTTGAGTTGGTTTCCAACAACAATGTGAAGAGCCCATAAATAGGCAAACGCCTCAAACACTGAGATGGCAGCAGCATCAGCGATGTGCAGATGTTTCTATTGTTGCTGCTCTAAACTTGAATGCAACATAAACACAGAGGTTACATGATTCAGCTATAAGGGAAGGATACTACATTACTTACTCAGTGAAGTTATGTAACATTACTTTTTTCAATGTAACTTCCCAAGTAGTTCATTTGTATGAGATCGATAAACAACCCTTATCTAAACCTGTTAGAAAAAGGTCTATATCATACTAACATTCTGCAGTGTGGACTGACCAGTCACATAAGGGTTGTGAGCCCAAGAGCAACTTAAACGTCATTGTTTCAAGTTTACAATTCCCTCTATCTAAATATTTACTATATTTATAAAAAGGGAAACTGTGTCTTTTTATTAATTTGTTAGCCCTGAGAAGAAATGTATGTTATACAACATAAGTTTGGACATGTTTTTACTTAATGCAACAAACTGGTAATATTTCTGTTTATATGTTTTAATGATGAAACGTGTTCCTGCATATCTTCAGGTAATAACAACGTGGTTCTAAAATATACAGATACTGAGTGCTCCAGGTGGCTTTACGAACAGCCCTTAATGTCATGGCTTTTCAATAAAAGTCTTCATAATTCTTTGGATTGAGGCAGTAGAGGATGGCACCTCCAAAAGAGAAGATGGTCGACCCCCAAGCCAGACCGAAGCCCCAGTTGAACTCATGGTAAACCCTCAAGCTGACTGTTTCGATGAATTTGATTGGGAATAGAACCAAGCTGCACACCTGAAGAACCACTGCAAAAACAAAACACAACATTAGAAAACTCACTTGGACCATGTTACAAAACCAGGACTTAAAACATCTAAACAACATGTGGACTAAACTGTACTCTGGACAATGTTAATGGCCTTCAAAAAGTACGTTCAAACTTAAGAATTGCAGTTTTGTGAATCTAATCTCCGTCAAATAATGTCTATAACCATAGACTGTCTATAAATGGACAGTGCTAACGCCTAGGAAGTTAAAGGGAAGTGCTCATGAACAGTTTTGAAAAGTTTTTCTCCAACTCACGTCTCCTATTGACTGGTTTTGAAAAGTAAACTCCTTCATCTCAGTAACATCTCAGTAACAGTTTGTGTCACACTCATCAGTTAGAGCTAAACTAACCTGCTCTCTGTGATTCTTGAAGATATGAGCTGTATAAGGATTGACCAATTATTTTGAATGCGCTGGAAAACGTCCAAAGTAGCGCTGAAACAGTTCGTGCTTTTGAATTTTTATTTTTATTGCTTTTTTCTACCCGAGATGTTGCTGCAGTACAGTGTTGGTTTAACACTGGTCCAGACCGGAGCAGAGAGGATTCATGGTCCGAACCATGTGGATCAGGTGAAAATCCACTGGAGGAATGCTAACTTTTTGAAAAATGATAATGAAGCATTTAGCATTTTACTTTGGACTAAAGTAGAGACAATGGTCCGAACCAAGCGGCTACTCCACCTTGTGACCTGTCCTGCTCCACCCAGAGGCTACTCCACCTCTGCTGCTGTGACCTGTCCTGCTCCACCCAGAGGCTACTCCATCTCTGCTACTGTGATCAGTCCTGCTCCACCCAGAGGCTACTCCATCTCTGCTGCTGAAGGGCTGTTGCTGATTAGTACTATTTTTAACTTTTTAGAATGATCAATTTTATTTTTCATTTTTGCTGCTACTGGACACCTGAATTTCTCCTGCGGGGATCAATAAAGTATCTATCTATCTATCTATCTATCTGATTAGATGCGTTCATTCAGCGCAAAGCTAATAATGTCAGAACAATTGGCCATATTAAGGCATTTCCTCCAGCTAACTTATGTTTAAATTGACTTCTTCCTCAATCGGCAAACACTAAAAGGGCGATGCCACTCCTAATACAGTCTGTGCCTCAACTGGAAATGAACCTGAATCATGAACGCAACCGTGTAAATGTACCCTAAATGCAACAATCATTGTATGTGACATCACTACATTTCAAAAGCCTAAGGTTAAAAAAATCATGGATGGCAGCTGAAATATCTTTCCAGGTAACTATGGTAAGTGTCAAAAAGTGAGATTTGTAGTCTTAGTTTGGAGTTTTATGTTTCTATAATTATAAAAATGTGGTAGTGCAGTTATTGTTTTGCCATTATCAGGTGGTATTTACGAAGTCCACTAATAACAAGTATGTGTGTGTGTGCACTTGTTTTCAACTCCTAGTGGGTTCCATAACCTGAGATTCCACTCACGTCATGGGGACTGGTTTTACGTGGTGGGGCCCGAACACCGGACCCCACTGGTCCAAGCTTAATAATCAATGGGTAATGCTTTTCTAACAGTCCTTATGCAGTCTCTGTAAAAATATGGAAAGGACCCCTGGAGGTTTACTTTCCTGAAAAAAGTGTGTTATGTGTCGGAACCCTGGTGGTGGGTTGCGGCATATCAGGGAGGGGCACACTGGGGCAATTTCAGTCCAGCAGGCTGGAGCCAATCATGGAGCAGCACAACAGAGGAAGTCAGGTGAAAAGGTGCAAGTGTGTGGTTCATTAGGCTGCAAGACATCATGGAGGAGCACACTGAAGCGCACGCTTACAAACCACTGGTAAGTGCTGACTACAAGTCATGACTTCAAATTGTTATATAGAATTATTACAAATTATTTGTTGTTTGTGCAGCTTAGTCAAGAGTCCCTAATTGATGAAGTCGACTCAGATTCTGACGATTTAACTGTCAAGAAGAAACCTGTAAAAAAGTATGGAAAAAGAAAAATCAAAAACACTTTTCTTCAAGACTCGGAAAGTGACGAACCAAAGGCAAATAAGATTGTTATCATGCAGCTGCAAAAGAAGAAAAATGGGGGCAGGGTTTACAGCAAGAGACACTTCTGCCTCTACTGTTCAATGTCCTGCCACAAAATGTCCCGTCATTTGACTAGAAAACATGGAAATGAAAGTGACGTAGCCAGAGCATTGGCTCTACCTGTGAAGTCTAAAGCACGTAAACTTCAGTTTGATTTGATCAGGAATAGTGGAAACCGTGAGCACAATTTTGAGGTTTTAAAGGCCGGCATTGGAACTTTAGTCCCAGCTAAACAGCCAAATTCCCCAGTTAAATCCAGTGAGTTTTTGCACTGTATAGACTGTGGGGCATTGCTTAAGCGAAAGTCGCTGTGGAGGCATGTGGCCAGGTGCCGGCTTTCACAGAAAGATGCCCAGGCTAAACCAGGTAGAAGTAGGGTCCAGTCCCTCTGCTCCCTAGCCCAGCCTGTACCGGAGGGCATCAGCAAAAAGCTGTGGTCTTTAATTTCGGCAATGCATCAGGATGAGGTCACGGGTGTTGTCAAAGCAGAAAAGGGGATTCTGAGACTCGGAGAGCACCTGTACTTAAAACACGGGCATGATAAGACTAAGCATGATTACATTAGGCAGAAAATGAGAGAAGTTGGTAGGTTAATTAACGAAGCAAAAACCGCAGGGAAACTGAAAACAATTAAGGATTTCTTTATTCCTTCCAACTTTAACCATGTGATTGATGCAGTCAGGTCTGTGGCTGGATATGATGAGGAAACAAATCAATACAAGACTCCATCCTTGGCCCTCAAACTCGGCCATAGCCTCAGAAAGCTAGCAGATATTCTTGAATGTGACTCAAAAATGGAGCATTGTGTTGATGAACTATTTATTAAAAACATCCAACGAAGCCGGCTGCTTTTTGAGAAGAGGTGGGACGTCTGTGTTTCTTCTGCTGCCCTACAGACCCTCCGGCAAGCCAAGTGGAACACTCCGGACCTGCTCCCTCTGACTGAGGACGTTAGAGCCATGCATGCACATATTGAGGTATGTCGACCTGAATATGTGCAAACCCTAATAAGTGAGCCAACGTCTAAGCATTGGTCTAAACTGGCAGTTTTGACTCTTTGTGAGGTCATCATTTTCAATCGAAGAAGGGAAGGTGAGGTTTCAAAGATGCCACTGACAGCCTTTACCTTAAGAAGTAAGACTGGGATCCATTCTGACATTGCTCTGGGACTGTCCCAACTTGAGAAAAAGCTGTGTCAGCATTTTCAACGCATTGAAATTAAAGGGAAAAGAAGTCGGAAAGTGCCGGTTCTTTTGACTCCTGAAATGATTGCTTCGATGGAGGTGCTGGTGGAGAACAGAAGGGCCTGTTCCATCTCTGACCATAACCCATACTTCTTTTCCCGCCCGGGCGCAGACACCCACATCAGGGGATCAGACTCCCTACGCCAGGTAGCCAAAGAATGTGGTGCGGTGCATCCAGAGATGCTATCCTCAACCAAACTTAGAAAGCACATAGCTACTATGTCTACAGTTCTCAATATGAAAGAGAATGAGATGGACATACTTGCCAACTTCCTCGGCCATGACATTCGCATCCACAGGCAATATTACAGACTACCAGAGGGGACACTGGAGCTGGCCAAAATCAGCAAAGTGTTGATGGCCATGGAGCAGGGAAGAGTGACGGAATTCGAAGGAAAGAGCCTCGACCAGATACAAATTGAGCCTGAAGGTAATTCTTGATATTATTAAAATATGTATGATTTTTTTCCCCTAAAGGCCACTTGTATTTTTATTTTCTGTGCGACAGGGAGAGCAGTAGAGATCCTCTCACAAACGGACGGGCTAAAAGAAACTTCAAGCGGAGAACCTTCAACCATTCATCCAGATGCACCCCATGGTAGTGGCAGTGCCCCTTCTGGTAAGTGTACCAGGTGGGGGATTACAGCCAGGCTGCTTGGTCCTCACCCTGGGAGTGTATATTGCTAATATATTTTTATTTCTCTCCCTAGAACGTGTAAGAAAGCCATGGTCTGCATCTGAGGTGAAGGCTGTGGAGAAGACCATGACACCTTTCATACAGACTGGAAAGGTCCCTGGGAAGTCTCACTGCCTGGCCTGCATTAATGCCTCACCAGATGACCTTAGACATCGGACATGGAGTGGCATTAAATTCTATGTCAAAAATAGAATCACTGCAATTCGAAAACAAAATCTAAAATAAAATTCCTTTAAAATAGTTGTTTGGTTTCTATTGACTGTTTTGTATTACTTAAAGTCTTGGTAAAAAAAGATTATGTCTATGGGTCCCATTCTGAACGGCCCTGTCAAAGGGACCCACCAGGTAACAAAAACGTGTATGTGTGGGTGTGCAGAAAGTGTTTTGAGAAAAAAACCCAAGTGTTTAGGCTGTAGGACCAGGCACACGTTGAAAATCAGACTAAGTGTTTTGAGAAAAAAACCTAAGTGTTTAGGCTGTAGGACCAGGCACACGTTGAAAATCAGACTAAGTGTTTTGAGAAAAAAACCTAAGTGTTTAGGCTGTAGGACCAGGCACACGTTGAAAATCAGACTAAGTGTTTTGAGAAAAAAACCTAAGTGTCTAGACTGTAGGACCAGGCACACGTTGAAAATCAGACTAAGTGTTTTGAGAAAAAAACCTAAGTGTTTAGGCTTTGAGGAGCCCGGAAAGCGGGGCTTACTTCCCCCGGGAATGGGCGCCCAGGCCCGGATCTGAGCGGGAGCAAAGCCCGCCCCGGTGGTAGCCCAGGTCCGGAGGAGTGCGTGGGTCCAAGACCCCGTGTCTCTAGCCCTCATGGTTCGTTTTCTACGAGCCATGTAAGCCGAGGTTCTCCTCCCCCAGAAGGAGCGCTCTTGGGCGGATGGCAGGCGCGCGGTCCCCCGGTGGTTTCCAAGGGCCATAACTTTCTGGTCCTTTGTCCCCCGCGCGTCAAATTCACACCGCGGGTACCCCTGGACCAGGGGAGTCCCTGGGTCCAGACCGCGAGTCTCTGGGCCTCTGCGTTGATTTTTAACGAATTTCCGGAGGCTCTCCCTGTATTCCCAGGCACACACGCTTTTGGAGCTCAAGCCCCTTTTACGCAGGCCGTAACTTTTTTGTCTTTCATTTCCCATGAGTGAAATTCACGGAGGATGTAGCCCAGGTCCGGAGGAGTGCGTGGGTCCAAACCCCATGTCTCTGCCCCCGTGGTGCCTTCTACGGGCCCGAGAAACCGCCACTTTCTTGACCGAGAATAGGCGCTCGTGAGCGGACACGGCCGCGCTGTCCCCCGGTGGTTTCCAAGGGCCATAACTTTCTGGTCCTTTGTCCCCCGCGCGTCAAATTCACACCGCGGGTACCCCTGGACCAGGGGAGTCCCTGGGTCCAGACCGCGAGTCTCTGGGCCTCTGCGTTGATTTTTAACGAATTTCCGGAGGCTCTCCCTGTATTCCCAGGCACACACGCTTTTGGAGCTCAAGCCCCTTTTACGCAGGCCGTAACTTTTTTGTCTTTCATTTCCCATGAGTGAAATTCACGGAGGATGTAGCCCAGGTCCGGAGGAGTGCGTGGGTCCAAACCCCATGTGCCCCCGTGGTTCGCCTTCTACGGGCCCGAGAAACCGCCACTTTCTTGACCGAGAATAGTGTGAGTGTGGACAGTTGTTTCTTAACCTGCAGTGAACAGCATAATGGCCACCGGCTTGTAGCAGTGACTCCGGGAGCTGATGCACAGAGAGACCAGGGCAGCGAGGAGGGAGAACAGGGTTAGAGCTGCACCTCCTAACAGCAGGGCAAGGGTGGCAATGTTCCAGTCTGTCATAAACACAAGAACGAAGAGAAGAGCCATGGAATCACACTGAGACAGCAGATGACACTGGTGCCTATAAAAAGAAGTGACTCCAGTTTTAGGCTGATGACAAGGTGAGGCAAGGACAAAATGCAATAAAGACTTATTTTCTGTTAAGATATTATCATTTGAAAAAATTCTATATTATTGGTAATGATGAGTAGGGCTGTAACAAGTTCATTTATTCATAAGCAACTAATCAATGATTGAAATCAATGTTTTGAATATTGCACAACAAAAGCCACATTTATAGAGATGTAGCGTCGTGTATTTCTACTCATCATGTCAAAGCAATTGTGAGATTTTGCCCTTTTCACTTCATTATTACTACAACATACTGTATGTCTCATCCATATGTAACTTTTTAACTTTGACAAACTTTAGTGAAGTAATGTCCATCATCAATAGTCGTCAAAAACTTAATCAAGTCAATTTTTATCAGTCAAACAACCCAATGTGTAACAAGTCTCTAGGAGTTTTGTTTTGGTCAAATGTATAACAAAAAAACCCTGTTCACAGAAATGTTGCGATTTGGCTTTGAGGGACAGTATTATTCTATTTGTTACAATTAAAATCCTAAATAAGTGGCTAGAATTTTCCTGCTTGTGACGCATGAAGCTTCAAAACACTGATTACTGGGGAAGACCACCTGCTGGAGTTTAGCAAACTCATACACTTATTTCTACATCTCTTTTGGTGTGTGGTCCTATTTTTTTGCTTGGAAAATTTGTTATACAGTATATATTAAATAATAGCAATATTTGACCTAACAAAAAGACAACCCAAATGAGAGACTGATAATCTGTAAACAATGAGTCCATTCTTAAAGAAGCTCCAATAGGATTTGAACAGGTTGACCTATTTCTCTGGGGGCACATATAAAAGTTGTGGATCTGAAATAAGATGAATTTGTGATTTAATTAGATACAGCCCGTTTAAAACAACAACATTGAGATGAACCCAAGCAAAGCCCACTACCAGGACAGTGGAGGCATGTGTTCAGGCTGATAATATACTATTTCTCCACCGATTTTACAAATGTATAAATTGACGACCTATTCTCAAATCTGACTCACGACTGTCTATTGAGAAAAAAAAGATAGATACTTTATTGATCCCCGTAGGAGAAATTCAAGTGTCCAGTAGCAGCAAAAATAAATAAAAAATTAAATTGATCATTCTAAAAAGTTTAAGGTGGAGCAGTCTTGGTGGAGCAGGGCAGGTCACAAGGTGGAGTGACCGTTTTATCAGCTCTGGTCAAAAGTAAAATGCTAAATTCTTCATTAGCATTTATCAAAAAGTTAGCATTCCTCCAGTGGATGTTTGCCTGATCCACTTGGTTCGGACCATGAATCCCCTCTGCTCTGGTCTGGACCAGTGTAAAACCATGAACACTGTACTGCACCAACATCTCAGGTAGAAAAAGCAATAAAAATAAAAACTCAAAAGCACAAAACAACTGTTTGAGAGCTACTTAGGACTTGCAGTCGTTTTCGATCACATTCAAAAAATACTATTGTTGTATTTTAAGGTTATTATTTCATGAAGATGTCATGCAAAAATCCATTTTTATTTTATTTTTCAATTAATTACTCATTCTGTTTAGATGCCTTTTTTTTAGCTTGCCTATCACAAGGGAAACGGGGCTGTGGGGGAACAAAAAGGGGACAAAAAGTAAAGTGTGATGCTTGACAACCAGTCCAAATGTAAATACAATGAAACAAAAAAAAAGATATACAATAAACAGAACTATTATTATTATTAGAAGAGAACAAAGGTAGTCTGAGGCACTCTGACCAGCGGTCTTCGTCAGGGCATGACCTGACGAAGACCGCTGTTGGTCGAAACGCGTAGGCAGTCCAATTCATTAAAGGACTTTTATTTTTTTCACTAAAACAGAGTGCCTCAGACTACCTTTGTTCTCTTCTGACTTTCTACATGCTTAGATTGCCCCGTCTTCGAAGAGCACCTGTTTTTATTGCCTTCTATCACACGTACCCTCTGCAGCACTCACCTTTTTTACTTTTAACTATTATTATTATTATTTTTAAACCACATGTCTTTGAGCACTTTCCCCGATGCAAACTCACTCTGAATATACTTTGTGTTTTTTAGAACACAGCTGCAAAAGTTATGTTTTGACTTAAGCCATAGAGAACCTGAACAGCAATGTGTTCTCTCGGTTGAATAGACGTAGTGAGCATACAGTAGTTTCTGGATGAGCAAGAACAATCAGCGTAACTGAACCCAATGCAGCAAGGCCAAGTGGTTCTGTGTCTAAGGTAATGAGTATCCGGCCCACTTGGTTTGTTGTTGCAAGCTCAGCAGCATTTCCAGCAGATTCCCCCCTAAAAAGACAAAACTCCCATTCAATTAATAGCAATGAAAAATAATGAATTAGAAGAAGATTTGTTTGAGTTTGTTTAATTGGCTATTTTTGTGCTTTCCATGACCTTGGAGAGCATATATAAATAAGATATGTAAACAGGCAATGTAAACAGAGTATATTATGAAGAAATTATGAGTTTTGTGTGGATACCAGACATTACATGCACTTTGCCAAGAATATTATCTAAAGGCAAAAGTAATTGAGTGTTGGAGACTTTGTTCCATGGTCCAGGCAGCTCAAATATAAACAAGCATAATACTACTTCTGACCAAATATGGTTCAGCGTTTGGACCTTGTCACCACAGGAAGTTGGAAAGAGCCCATGAAAAGCAGAGCACTCATTCCTAAGTTTAACCAACACAAGAGCTGACCCTTCACTGGCCGGCCCTCAGTCTTTGACCTGAGCTTATCCCATCCCATGTACAGGACGGTGTTTACTCCGGGTCAGTGTGCTCTTATCACTGTTCTCATATCATTGCAGAAGCTGATGCTGCACTAGAAGCACGGCCAAATCTCCCAGCGCTTCAAGGCCTGATGAGCCGGAAGTGCCAAACTATTAATCTGGAGCCTGCAGGATGACAGATGGAAAAGGAGATACTGTACACAAGATTGAATCAGAGCATTAATTATGGCTCCCTGTGTCCATGCGGCCTGCTGCTGCATCTGAAACTGCTAATCAAAAACAACTCCAGGCTGCAATTTAGTGTTTTGACTAATAAAATATGGTGCAAGATCTGTGTCAGAGAAGAGCCTGGAGTCTGCATCTATTTGGAAGTGAATTTGAATAGTGGCTGGTGTTTTGACAAAGCTGTTGACTATATTATTACCCTTTAATAGTTTAAATGTGATAATATGTCAAAGTCTAGAAAGAAAGAAAAACTCAAAGACGGGTAGAATAACACATGGACTCCACATTTGTCGCAGCGATAACACCAGTCTAATATGAACACTTACTGCTCTTGCAGAGGTGCGCCACATTCTTTGTGTCAAGTGCATACCTTTTATTCTTGACCTCTGACACTTTGCTGTTAGGAATCAGTTTTCTTATCATATAAAAGCTCTTTATATGAGTGTATATTGGTTTATCTAAAAAGACATAGGCCTGGTGAGGTTAAAAAAGTAGAGAGGTGGAAACTGATTACCCAAATGAAATCAATAATCCTCGGCCAGCACAAGCCTGAGGAAATGGGCCTTTGACTGTGTGCATTAAGTGCAGTATGCTACTGCTGAGAGGCTGTGTTTTCTTCATATGGCACCAAAGTGCACTTTGTCTGTGCTGACGGAGAAAGACCTTTGTGTCTCTTGATTACTCTTTCCCACTTGCACAATGAACATATTTTTTTCCAATGAACTTAAACAGTTGTGTGTGTTCACCGCACAGGGGGAGGTCAAAGTAGCAGTGTGACTGTATCCATCCATAATGATAATTCAGATAATAAAGTCTGAGTCTGTGGTTTGTCTGGACATAGAGATAATCCTAATTCTATCCTAGAATAGTATTCTTGAAGGTTAATGGTTAATATTTTAATAAAGAAAATTATTTCAGAACTTTGCAAAGAAAGTTTATATTAATACATTTTTTTGATAGCCGAAGGTGCATTTGTGGGGTGCTTCTCTGTTACCCCGGTTACTAATCTTCAGGCATCTGGATCTCTGGGGAGCTCAATGCTCTGGGTTTCCCTCACTCCTTGGCCAGTGAAGTAACCCACACAAAGGCTCATTTTGTGTGCAACAAAAGGCCAAATGAAACCCCAGCTGGACTGCTCCTGGTGAGCACAAATTCCCACATTGCTTTGAAAAGTGCAGTTTATTGGCAATGCCAAAATGTAAAAACCTATATGCCAAACAATCTTTTGGTGAAAGATGATATTAATTTTTCACTGTCCTCTGTGTGATACTTTTACCACTTAACTATTTTCTGTAAGAAGTAAATGCTTTGCAAACTGGCTCTACTAAATCTTCTTATAATTAAATGAAACGAGCTATAGTTAATTATTAATAATTAATACATGTTGCACTCAAGGGGACTATGTTTCATCATTTCCACTAACAAAAAGAATGGATCTTCTCTGAAGTGTCTGCTGGGAGCTTTGTTAGCCCTGCGAGTCCTACTTTCATTTGAATATGAATGTGACTCCCTTATCTGAAAAGCAGATTCCTCCCGCGTCCCACTGACAAAGTATGCCGGCATAATTTAGACATTGGACAAGTTTTAGGTTTTTTATTTTGTTTTCTTTACAGGAGAATAGCATCTTTAGGCAAAGACTTACCCGTGGTGAGCGTGCTGGTGCAAGACCAGTCCACATAGCTGACGGGTTTCCAGCAGGACGTCCACATGGACAGGTAGTACTGGTCATCTGCGGTGACCCACGCCGGACTCAGAATCGCCCCAATGTCAAGGCAAAGAGCCAGGAACACGCACACCAGTCCCACCAACTTGAGGGGAGTGAGCGATGACACGCGCATTTCCTCAGTGCCACTCAAAGACGACGACATCACGGGAGCAAAGTCATTCAAACCACTTCGTCACATAAACAACAGCATGGAAGTTTGAAAACAAGCGATCAGGAGCCAGATGCGGATGCAGTGATGCTGAGGCTCGCACACTTCCCTCCAGTCTCCAGACACTGGCGCTCTGTTCAACACCACAACACACTGAACCGTGGGACTATTAGGGATCCATCTGCTCCATCTGCTCCTCTGCTGGGTCCTAGCGCCTTTACGCGTGCATGTGCGTGCACGTTAGGACATCCCTACATCAACATGTAGCATATATTAATGGAGACAATATGGCCATTCAGGCAGATTCAATTATCTCAAAAAGGCACAATCCAAGCATCAACATTTGGAGATAGGGGCTGCTCCTGATTGGTTGCCCCTGTGGCATTTAAAGATGGTCTGACCTGAACCTTTTGCTCTGATCCCCTTTTCTTGCTTATAGATCTGCTCCCACATGTGCCACCACCACAACTTCATGATACATTTCCAAGTCTGTAATGGTCCTGTTTGTTACAGCTTTGCCTGTTCGTAGAAAATTGGTACCCACAAGCAAGATGTCCATAGCTCCTTTTTTCATTTACAAAAGATGTAATTATTGGCATTTTTTTTTCACTTGGTGCAGACAAGATGGCCAGTAAACGGAAATGACAATAATTTAATCCATTACCGTACAAATATAACAATAAGATACTATTTAATAAACACAATGTACATGATGCAAAAACAAACAAAAGCGTACAATATTAAGTTGGCCCCATGTTATTGTGAGGAGCTGCCCTGAACATTTGTTTTTAAAGTCAAATCTAAAACTCTGCTCGATGCTGCTGAATCATCTGTAGGATTAAAATAAAATAAATTAAATTAAAATAATCAAATAATATACATCCATAAATTTTCTTCCGCTTCATCCGTTTCCAGGTTGTGGGGGCAGCAGTCTAAACAGATACACCCAGACCTCCCTAAATACAGTAATAAAATGTAAGAGTCCATTTTACACATAATCAGACTTGACCCCCGGGCCCCTGATACCCGGTCAAGTATTTTATGTTTTGCCCTGGGAGACTGGCATTCTCTCTTTGGACCACGGGACTGTAGAAACCTCATGATGTCTATAGTTCTGACGCTGTTCCTGGGTTTAGAGACATTCAATTGTAATGGTTTTGATGAATATTAAAAACGCTCTACTATGGGCGGCACTGTGGCTGAGTGGATAGCAAGAAGGACATAGGTTCGAATCCCGGTCGGAACAGGGCCTATCTGAGTGGAGTTTGCATGTTCTCTCCGTGTCTGCGTAGATTCCGAATTAGAATAATTTTTATTGCCACGTAAGTAACAGGAGGTCACAGACTTGGAAATTGCTTTGGCTCGGTGCAACAGTCAGAAGAGAGGTAAGGGTAGAGAAGGCATAATAAAAAAATAAAGAATAAAAAAACACTTCTAAGGAATACATTTAAAATAAACATTTAAAATAGAGTTACAATTACTATATACAATTTCCTCCGGGTGCTCTGGTTTCCCCTACCACTAAAAACATGCACAATATGTATGAATGTAAATGAGAGAGTGAATGGATGGTGTTGATTGGAGCTGATGGTCCAGTGTGTTTTGCGACTCGCTTCTGTCATCACCGTGTGTGGAATTATTGGAACAATATCTGAACAATATCTGAACTCTGAACATTGTAAAGCGCTTTGGGTGACCTTGGTCTGTAAAATGCGCTATATAAATAATCATTACTTACTTACTTACTAATGTACTAATGTATTATGCAGCCTATGTCTTTATGTCTTTAATCACAGCAGGGAGGGCTGTTAACCTCAGCGCCCTGACGTCTCTGCGCATGCGCTGAGGGCATAGCAACACAGAGGCGCAGGGCTGCAGGACGGTCCGCGTTTGGGGACAAACACAGGTGAGTTCAGCTGGCTATTCTTGTTATTACACATTTCGTTGACTACATGCGCTTCAAATATTTGCTTCGCTAATAAACTAGTGCGAACCGTGCGAGGCTACGCTGGCTAAAGGTTTATAGAAGCACCATCCTACAGATCATCATCATGTCAACACTGGGCTGGACTGGGCTTAACGGTGCTGTCCCTCGATCCAAGCAGAGTAACAGTTAGCTACTCCTATTCACTTCATCTATTTTAGTAATAAAACAGCAGTAAGCAGTAGTTACGTGCTCGGTGACATGTAGTCAGTGGCAGTGGTGCTTTGTTTGTGCGTGTCTATACACGGATCTATTTCCAGGACGAGTAGAGAATTCCCGTAACAGCCATGTGAAGGCTGGAGCCGCCATTGGCCAGGGACGAGTGTCATGTTTGCGATCCTTTGTGACCTGCTGAAAAAAGAAAAAGAAAAGGAAACTTCTGCTTCACACAATTTGGTGTCATTAAATTAAAGTTTCCGTTCACGATCTGTCACGTCTCTCCTGCTCATATCTAGATGCCATTCTGTAATCTTATTCTGTGTATACTTTGTTATTTCATGTAATCATCAAGTCCATTGTGGAGATTATAAACCTATTGTTTCTTTTGCAGCTCACCCCAAAGCAGCCCTGACCACATCATGGGGAGTGGTGAGTGAACTTATCCTTTCCTAATAACTACATTGTATTATTGCCCAAATACCAAGACATGTATTAGGACACAATGCAACCATATTCTGCGAAGTGCAGAATATCCCTGAAGGGTTATTCTGTGAAGTGCGGGATATCCCTTCAGGTGTGTTTCATATCGGAGTCTATTCCCGTGCAGCTTCCCTCCCAAAGGAATGCTACATTTCAGGTTTTGTGTCCAGTCTCCATGTTCTGAGTTATTCTACAGGATTGATCTCTCTTTTTTGTTAAGGTCATCTGCTACGTCATGTGATATTTTGGTGAAACAGATGAAAAGCCACACATTAGTAGTTTATAAGCATCACAAAACACTCGTGACTTGAATGAGAAACAAGGCTGCTCTGTTTGAGTGGATTTTGTTGGATTAATGTTACAACGCATAACCATCTGCTTTAAGGTTAATCAATAGAATCTCAGACTAACTACACCACATACTAACTGTCTGGGACGCTTTTGTTGTTGTATGTTTGCCTTTTTGTAACTACGCTGTAGAGATGTGAACTGTTGAAAAGCTGTACCATATACAAATTCCACCAATTTAATAGGAGGATCTTTGATTGGCGTGGTTGTTTATAGTTTTTCCACACCGGTCACGTGACTGGGTGGCAAACCAGCAGTGAACGCTACCTGGATGCAAGAGATTTAGCTAGTTTTAGACGTTTGGAGAAAGATTTTACTTAATCAAGTGGTCCACTCTTGTGTGGTCGGTTGTACAGCTCGCTGGGGCCAGATAAAGTAGAATTATCACACGGTTTTACTGACACAATGAGTGACACTCTTTGGTAATCACCCACGGCAGCTGTGAATCCCGACGTGACTCGACCTGGTCTGACACAATCACGGACTTCTGTTTCATGGAAAAAAAGTGCCCAACCTTTCTAGAAACAAATAATCATAGGCCTACAGACATTTAAATGTCTCCCAGCAGATCGGTGCCAAGACAGAGGCGAGTCTGACTAACGTTTGTCGTCATCCCAGGTCTCATATGGGCTTTGGATTTGTTCAATTCGATTGCCTATATTTATTTTTAGCTTGTAATAATATCTTCTCCAAGCTTCTTGCGTTAAAGTGCTTATATATAGTGCATTTCATCCACTAAGTCTTAAAAAAAGTACTTGTCGCATGCATGCTTTTTTATGTGCCGCTGCCACTCTTGCCACCCAACGAGTGGCGCATGCGCACGGGGATGTGTGGCCATTTATAAAATTCTGTTATTTTTTGTGCCGAAAGTCAAATCACCCTTTACATGACGTGTAGAAGATGTCATTATTAGGTTTAAGTGGCTCTAGATGGGAGTATTAAAACGTCACAAGTATATTTTGTGTTTTATTTTTATTCTAAAACAATGTTTGACAACAATTTGTGTATACAGTATGTATTTGGTGGATCCCTGACATCCCTCTCTTGCCGCATTTCCAGTGTTCTTGCCAGCGGATGCAGCCCATTCGGTGTTGCGCCGGCTGCGCAGGGCCAACTCCATGTTAGAGGAAATGAAGCAGGGCAACATCCAGAGGGAGTGTCGTGAAGAGACCTGCACCTATGAGGAGGCGCGGGAGGCTTTTGAGAATGATGAAAAGACGGTAAGGACATAATTTTTTGTATGTAAGCATCAGTTTGAAAGTAAAATCATCTATATTCTAGTGTAATTAGAATAAAGCTCCACCCATTTTGGAGCCTATCCTTTTCAAATGTACTGTCAATAACAAAACATGTTTTTTAATTTATTCCAAACGTAGATATTTGTTTTCGCAAATGAACTCTGTTGGTGCCTGTTGGTGCAACCAATTTTCATGAGTGGAATGTAGGAGTTTTCAGGAAGTGATGATTATCAGCAGGAAGAACAAGCCAGTGTGTTCTGGGAGAGAAGGGGAGGGGGGGTTGTTTGTAAAACTATTGTGAGACAGACCATTGATTCACACACATGGATGCACGCAGATCTGTAGCCAATTCCCCCCCACCCTTGGCACCATACAAACCCAGAGCTCAGTTCTTACAGAGAAAATATATTTTGTTTTAAAAGGTAAAGCTCCAACATCAACAACATTTCCTTGCGTAGGACGATCTAAGGACAGTGATGAACTAGAACATTTAGAATTTGAATTTGGTCATCCCACTACCAATGGCTTTGTTTGTGTTTCTTATCATTACATTTCCTGTGTAATGATTGTTTGATTCTCACAATATTTAAAAAGTTCTTAAAGTCGTCCTCCGATTGTTGTTGTGAATTAAAGCTATACAAATATGATTAGAATTGCCTAAGGGCCTCACTTTGGTTGTTCTAACACAGGGGTATCAAACTCCTTTTGGTTGTGGGCCAAATTTAAAAACTTGAGAGCTGATTAGGGCCAACAGTATAACAGTGATTTTCTTTTTTTTATCATTATTCTTATATATATATATATAATTTTGACATTCTTTTCATTTACATGAGTTTGGATGGTATTTTCTTGTAGGTTTGGATTCAATCACAAAATGTTGATTACAATTATAGAATAGATTAAATGTGTATATATATATATATATATATAATATATTATAATATTATATTATATAATATAATGTAATTATATATATTCAACTTTTAAAATTAACATGTTTAACAATAGTATCCAATTACATCAATGCTGCAAGTTACTGTAATAATGATAATAGAGAAGCATTTCAGGGGCCCCTCAAAATGGTTTTACTGGCCTGAGTTTGACACGCTTGTTCTAACATGTTCATTTGACTTTTTCTGTGTTGTCTCTAGAAGCGTTTCTGGGAGGAGTATGTGCAGGAGAGTAATCCATCTGGTGGGCTGGACTCGATTGGGGCAGTCAAGTCCTTGTACTTAATTGTGCCATTGCTGCTGGTGGTCCTGATCATCGCCATAATCGCCGTCACAGTCTGGCGCTGCCACTTTCACAAACACCCACAGCGCAGCCCGAGCCTGGGACACTCTCACCACGACCATGTTCTTTCAGTGGTCTCTATGGACGCTTGGGGGCGAAGTTATCCTCACGGTGACCCATCAGAACTGAGCATGCACAGCAGCCCGGCTCACGGCGGCTCAGAGCCCACCACATACAGAGGAAGTGCTGCAGACCCCCCTCCGTCTTATGAGGAAGCCGTGGGTCACACCGATGTGCAGATAGAGACTGAGCCACCCCCGCAGTACGACGACATCGTCAACACCAGCACTGCATTTGTCATTAACGGCAGAGGGAAGTGAAGACTAACTACTGATGGAATAGTAGGCTTTCAACACGCCTGGAGCATCACCAGCTAACCAGCTAACCTAACTTGCTAAATGGTTTAAGGTACTAATATCTTTGTTGGAGCCATTCCTGAAATTGCACTAACTTTTTTATTAGTATGGCTGTTTGATTTGATACTAAAAACAAGGAGTTTGGAGTTTTAAGTTTGAACAACCTAGCAAATGGTTGAACTGGGATGTGTTTATTTGCGTTTCACAGAATGGGATTACCACACGTCCGCACTAATGATATGCAATTATAGGATGCATTGTTGTTGGACAGTGCCAAATGCTTTACACAAACTTATTACGGTTTTGTTTCAAAAAGTCATGTCATTATGAGCTGTGTTGGTGCATTTGATACAAAGTCTTCAAAACAGAAAAAACAACAACATCCCTCTCTTAACCGTTATTGTGCGATGTGAAATGTACATACTGTATACGTTATTTGAATCTATGCAGCCAAGGAGTGGGGCTGCTCATAATTAACTGCAATTAATTGCTTGTAATGGTGATGAGCACGGAGCCTAACTGTGAACGTCCCTTTAGTTTCTCTCAAAGAAATGTTTAACAAGAATTGGGCACAGAAGTATATTAACAACAGGAATTCAATCTGTGCTGACCGTGATAACTGCACTGAATATGGTAGAATTATAAATAAGAAATGTGATGCAGGAAAATGCAAGGGAAAAGTGGTATGATAGAGGCTAAGGTTAAATGAAAGAGCAGAAATAAAAGACTGTTTACCCTGTATAACTTTGTAAATAAAATGGGTTAACTACATTTTCTGCATGTGAATGCAGTAAATACATACTAATGGATTATGTAAGCACTTTCTTAATCATTGAGTAATGAATTATAGGATGGTTCTTGCCAATGCCTCTGCAATATCTTAAACCGTTTTATGCAATAATGCATCAATTCCATGATACCTTTACTGAACCGACACTGAAACAAACGGCACTGCTTTAGTTTCTACTGTTCTTGACATTTCTGTACCTCAGCACTTGACATATTCTGACAGACTTGGATACTGTTTTATTTTACTATGCCTTATAATGTTATATTAACTATTGCAAAGAATAACAGTCTATATTATGTTAAAGCTTGAACTATTTGCTCTAAATAAACATTTCACTTTCATAAACTGTCTTCTGACTCAATTCTCAAAGTCCTAAAGTTCCCTTGTATTGATTTTCCAACATACCACTGAGACTTAGTGTTGCTTTTCTAGTCAATTTTATTTCCCAACCCAGAAAATTACTTTTACAAATGAAAACATTTGCTGTGACAGATTGCTTTCTTTTTATTTGAAATAAAGAGTTGGGTCATCAAGTAACAAATCACAAGACAAGTACCATTAAATATTTTAAATAGTTGAATGCGAGCTGCTTTGAACACAGATCCAATTCATTAGGTCACATTGTTGCCAGGTGTATTATTTTCAAAAGTCACACCCAGTCCTTTGGGCTTCGTAGAACCTGCAGCATGTCTGCCTCTCGGGTCCCTTTGGCAGGCTCATGCATGTATTCCCACCTGAGGATGAAAACATGATGTCATGCCACACTGAGCCAAACACAGGCTGAGGCGATCTTACCTGGCTGTGAGAGGCAGGGACATGAGGATGCTCTCTATTCTGGAGCCCGGTGTGGCCAGACCGAACTTCACCCCTCGGTCATACACCAGATTGAACTCAACATATCTGTAGAGACATTCAAAGGGGTCAGGGTTATAACATAACAGCCGTGATCCTTGACCTCCATTTTGTGGAAAACACTTTAGTCAGAGAACGTCAGAAAACTACTCATTATAATACTTTTACAGGACTGTAACAGGAGCCTTAAGAAAGGAGGAGAGGAGTTACTAATTGTGCCAGAAGTTCCTGATATTAGCCTGGATGGCTCTAAAAGCAACTCCAGGTCCGTTTTTGATCAGCACAAAGCACAAAACATAAATTTTCAATAATATGTCTTCGCTAAGTAACATTTTGTGAACAAATTTGAACATGCTGGGTTTATCTTATTAGAAAAAAAAACATTGTATCTTTTAAGTACTGTGAGCTGATTGGCTGAGGGAGGTCTGGTCATCTTTTTCATTGAAAAACATGGGATTGAAAGATGGGACAAAATGCATGCATGTGAAAACTAGTGATAGAACCAAACGCTTTTAGAGCCACGAACTAGGCTCACAAGCTTTAAAAGGTGCAGATGGAAATCACTTTTTCACAGATACACATTTGTAGAGATACTATTGCTTTGCCAATGTAACAGTATTATAAAAATCTTATATGTTTATTCAATGTTCTTACTTAGGAGAGGTGCATTTTCATTTCCATACAATTACCACATTCCTTGGGAGTTCAGACTTTATTATTAACAGAGAAAGCTTATAGTTTACTGTTGCTTATTAATGAGATTTGTACCTTGTACATACTTTGTAAAATACTATGCAGTGGGATTGTATAATTGGACAGTTTTACTGGTCTGGTGCCTGATTAGCAGTACCAGTTCTCATGTTTACCACATTGTTTTGTTTCTTTGACATTATTTGAATGCCAATCCCATCACGCAAGTATTTGCAGTTTGCATATGTTGAAATATATATATTTTTATATATGTATTTAGCACTTATAATTACGATGGCCTATATGTGCCTTTGTGTTATTCAGTCAATATACTATCACTATCAACTATAGCAAAATATCCCTATGATGTTGGAAAATATTAGATGCAAAGATATTTTCATCAGCCCATTCCTTCTGTTGGAATCTTGCATTGTGTCCTCTCGCCACAATAAGACATCATTATTAGTATTGACAAAATGTATTTTGGAGTACTTTCAGAAGTATTATGACCTCATAGGAGCACCACTGCTGCATCTCAATTTAGATACTTTTAATGTTGTACTGTGGAATATTCAGAGTAAAGCACATTTACAAAATTACACATGCTCCTAGAAAAAAAAAAAAAAGACAACACACAGGAAGCTCACCTCCCTCTGCGCACTTGCTGCCACTCTTTCTCTTCTGGTGTAAATGAGTCATTCAGATGTTTGTAGACAATTGGCAGAAAACATGGCACCACAGTCTGGGCACAGCTCTTTACAAAGCTGAACGCCTCTTCTTGATTAGGGGAGTCCAGGTCATCGAAGAAAATGCCTCCAATACCTCGAGTCTCCCCTCTGTGCCGTATGTAGAAGTATCTGTCGCACCTTAGTTTTGAAAGAAAAGTTCAGCTAGTACATTTTCAATTAATTTCTCCCCATCTCCCTAACGCAATAGAACAAATATATTGAAAGATGTCAATATTTAAGCCTTTTGATAAATAATGCATGTAAGAATTTTGTCATGCCCAGTTTCACTTTGAATGAATCTATCCTTTTTCCTGCAAAATCCCAGATAATGAAAACATTTCAGATGTAAGGCAAGTGGCAATATTTTCCCAGATTATTATCAGATAGCGAAAAACCCGCCATATTAATCTCATGAATAAAGGTCCTTACAGCTGGTCAACATCATGTTTGAAAAAAAAAATACTGTTACCACTTCTAGACACCTTTATGAGAAATGAATATTGGCCCAGGGATTCTAATTTAAAGTAACCTGGCTCTGGCAGCATAATTCTAGTGCATTTACAGTAATGTTCATTAATGCAAAAATAAATGCACACCTGATAGCTTTGACATTGTTATAATCTACAGGAAAAATCAATGGGAACTTTGCTTCAGAAACCAGTTTTGAAGAAAAAAAAAAGTGATAACAGACAGGCCAGAAACACCTATTTCCTTCAAAGTATTTACTCGCTTTAACGGCTATTTTACAACTGAAAAGATTTTGGCCGCTCCATCTTATCAGCACAGAGCAGAATGGAAACACCCTTTAACACAGTGACACACACTTGCCATAACTGTCACCAGTAAGATTTGCCAAAGGAGCCTTGTTGGACCAATAGCGTCAATTTGAATTAATGTTGTCCAATCAGGCGGGGGAAGAGCATTGGACCGGTCTAATTCACTTAGAGTAATATTGAAGAATACTGTACCATTTTTTGAAGTTGGCATAATGCTGAGAATGATGTTTATCGCAAGCATCCTTTAAGGTTTTGTGGAAATGAACAGCATCTTCCATATTGATGTAAACTGGAGTTAGGTCAGTGCCTCCCCCAAACCACCACTGCTTGGAGCCTTGCAGAAAACAAGACAAGACAAAGGTTAGCATTCAGTGTAAATAATGGAGCAGCTGAAGTACCATCACGACTGTTCACAGAAGCAGTTAAGAACATCTCTCACTCACCATCCTCCTCTTCAACCTCGAAGTATCTATAGTTGAAGTGAACAGTGGGTATGTGGGGGTTCTTGGGGTGGATGACAGAGCTTACACCCATGGCAACAAAAGGCAACTTGCCTGAAAATATAACACATTGCATTGAATTAGACTTTAATGGAACTTTATCTGAAAATAATAGAGAACTCACCATCTTTGCCTTTGAGGACTTTACCCCTGCTCCTCATCTGACGGGCTGCTTCTTCTGTCAGGTTCCCAGACACTACTGAGACATTGACACCAGCTTTCTCAAAAACCTTTCCATCTTGCATTACACAGCTAATTCCACCACCACCTGGACAAGCAGATAAAAGGGCTTTAGTCTGTATGTGCATGTTCTCGTCAAACTGACAAACATTTCATTTCACCTTCATTCCTTTGCCATCGGTCCACTTTAAACTTGCCACCGTCCACCTCCTCCAGAGCTTTACAAAATTCAGCCTGTGTCTCCATGATAAGCATCTCCATCCTGGTCCGCATCTCATCCTTTCTCCTCTGCAGCTCGTTCAGGTCCGTGACTGGAGGAGACATGAAGCCCTTGCATCTGTCCAGGATGTCTCCCTCCTGCTCCCGCACTTCTGGGATAAGAACACTCGTTGCCATTTCGGCCCGCTGGAAGTGACTAGCATTGGCCACCAGACCAGCTGCAGCTGCAGCGGAGACCAGAGCGGCTCCTCCAAGAGCCAGGGCTCTCCCCCAGGCTCCGCTGGCCGCTGATTTGCCCGCGGTCCCATAGGACATAAGGCGAACAGCAGTACCGCTGGATAACCATCCTGCTCCCGGAAGCAAAGAACACAACGCACTGGGAGAGGAGGATTGAGGTTTCCCTGGACGTGCTAAGCTCTTGTGCGCGCCTCTGCACCTGCCTGTCACTGTCCTAGCCGTTTTGCAGAGGACAATGGTGGCCATTTGTAAACAATCACCTCACACTGCACTTGTAAGGCGACGAATGTAGCCGTACAAACTCATGAAAACATTACCGAAGTTGCCTACGTGCTTTCTCACTCGGAGCGCATGCGAGAGGCGTGTTGCTCTTTGGCCATGATAGATGCATGTTGGGAAATGTAGTTTTCATACGTACACTCCCCCTTGTTTTTTTACCTGGTTGATCTACATTACCCACAAAGAATTGCGCCGAATCGGAACGCCCCTCCGTTGACCACGCTGTCCTGTCAAACAACGGCATCTGGTGAAAAACGTGTACATAATATCAATAACACCTTTTACAAAATATTTCAGGATATGCATTTCGGTATGTTTTGGTACTGAGTACGCATTTAAAGACGTTGTTGATGTTTATTATTTGATTGCTTGAAATAACATGACCGAAACGAGCAACCAGACGCATGCGCAGACGTAAAAGCGTGTTGCGCATCTCCATGACGACGGGTCTCACAAAGCCTCGGTGAAGAGAGATTAAAGTCTGGTCTGAGTGAATGTGGGACAGGGACGGGAATAACAAGGGATAAACACAACTCTGGACGCCCCTTTTCTACTATTTTGAATTAAAATACTTCTCAACCAGGTACGGTGAGCTGTCATGAAGGAACAAAATTCTTATAGATTAATTTAACGCTACATTACGTTATATCGTTAACTTGTTAGCAGCGTATAAATGCACAAAATGTACATTATATTTCTTGTAAATATTATAATCCATAATCATATCTCCAATCTCTTAGCCAACTGGGAGATATAGAAGATTAACTAATTTGATATGGATATTGTATATTCTATGTGCAAGCAAAGGAGCATAATAGTTACAAAAGTGACACACATATTGGTTTTGAAGTAAAACACTATATCCTCGTCCAGTGGTGGAGAATGAATGACGTGGTGTCAAGGTCTCAAGACGAGTATGAGGATGACTTTGAGAAGGACCTAGACTGGCTTATCAGTGAAGAGGGTCGCAGTGGGGATCAGGTAAAGCCGCTGCAACGTATATCCTCTTTTTGGTGTTTCTCATTGGCCCACTTTGTCTTCAATTAATTACTCTATCTTCTAAAACCTAACCTCGTGTTGCCTCAGTCTGCTCTCAAAAACCGTGGCAGTGAGTATGTGTTGAGTTACTTGATGCTCTATCTTACAACTTGCATGTGAAACCTGCTCTGTTGACATGAAGTGCATGGCATACTTTCACTGTGCAATGGCTGAATGCAATATTGATGAAGAGGCTTACACATGCCTGTCCAGTGTCCTCACACTTGTTTATTATCTGCCACCTACTCACTCAGTAATGAAACCTGAACACTCTTTCTCTCCACTCACAGGGACCGAACTATGAAGACCTAGAGGCTGAAATAGACAAAGAACTTGAAGAGGAATATACACAACGAGTGAAACATAAAGACATGAAGCAAAAGGGGGACAGAACAGAAAACAAAATACTTGAGTTAGACGATGAAGAGAGGTGGCCTTCACCTATGGACCCTCTTGAATATGACTCAGACAGAGACATATCAGACCTTGAGCCCCCTCCATCAGAAATTGCTGAACAGACAGAGGAAGAGAAAAAGTACATATTGGAAAAAATACAACAAGCAAACCGGGAACTTGAAGACCAAGGTGCCCCTGATATGACACGGCGTCGACGGCTGCATTTTAAAGAGACACTGGTTGATTTGGTTGTGCCGCCCATGCATTTCGAGAAAGATACAGGGAACAATGTAGAGGTGAATGGGAACAAAATTGATTCCACTAAGAACACACAAGCAGAGATTGAAGTATCTGGAAAGTTATCTGAGCTGAAACTATCATCACAAGATGCCCAGTTGTCATGTGCAGGTCTGACAATGACTGGAGAGAGCAATGAAGGCGGTACGGAGGGGAAGGAGGGAAGAGTTCTCATTGAAAAGGATGGGAAGTTTGATCTGGTCAGTATAAGAGAAGTAGAAAGTCATGGGCTCCTTCCCCCTATAAGCAGTGACAGTACACACTCTCTCTCAAGCATATCCAGTAAGAAACACTCAGCCTCCTACTCCCCCAGATCATTTGCCAGCCACTGTGAATCCAAAGAAAAAATGTGCACTCCCAAGCCTCCCTCTCACCCGCGGGTTAGGCCCAGCTCAGCCATTCATAGTGTGAGAGCAAGCCAGGGGCGAGGAACCAAGCGACGAGTCCAGTCTGCTACAGGGATGTCTTGCCAGTCTACCTTCATGTTGTCACCACAACAAAAAGAGATGCTGCTCAAAATCCAAGAGAAAAAAGAAAGGCTTGCCAGAGAAGTGAGTGTTGAAGATCATTAAAGCTCTCCTTTCCAATCATTCTATCTATGTGCTCATTATGAGGATTATGAGATTGTGTGTTTGTTGTTATGATTCAGGCGGAGGAGAAAAAACGTGAGGATGAAGAGCAGAAGAGACAGGAAAATGAGCTGGCATTCAAAGCCTGGCTTATGAGGAAAAGAGAGCGGATTCTGGAGGAAAAACGAGTGCAACGAGCACAGGAAATGGAGAGGATGAATTGTAAGGTACTATACCTAATACTTCTAATCACACTTCACTAATTATTCAAGTGTCTTTATTAAAGAACAACTATGTAAGATTTCAGGTAAAAAATTATATTTTCCAAACCCATGCCTGAAGCTGCCAAAAGACACTAAGACCAAAATTCTTGGAGTTCTAAACAGACTAAACAAACGGACTCTGCTTTCTACTCGTTCGCTACAGTGTACCAGTTTTTTTTTTTAAATGGCTGTTATTCATCATTCGGATACAATGTTAGTATTATAGGTCTGAGAGAATTCTATCAAAACATTTTCATTTTATATTGTATTTTAATAGTAAGTAAGTGATCTTTATTCATATAGCACTTTTTTCTGCAGAGCAAGGTCACCCAAAGCACTTTACAATGTTCAAAGTTCAGATTTAGCTTCTGAGTCAATGATAAGGACATACTGTATCTGTACATTAGGGGGTGACAGTGGCTCCGTTGGTAGAGCATTGGCCTTTGGGCCTGAAGGTTGTGGGTTCGGGCCCACCATAAGATCTACTTCACGACTCCCACTGATGTCTACTGTCGTTGTGTCCTTGGGCAAGACACTTAACCCCACTTTGCCTGAAGCCCCTGCCGGGAGATCAAGACTCCTGTGGACTCACCACCTGCAGGAGGATCAGTGAGGGGCTGGTGCTCTGTGTAAAAGGTTTTTATAATGTTTCAAATATAATAACTATGCAGAAAGACCTGATTGACCCAGACGGGGCCTTCAGACACTGGCTCCAGAGGAAGCAGGTGCAGCAGCAGAGGGAGAGGCAGCTGGTTGAGCTTAAGAGGCTGGAGGAGGACACTGGTTACCTTCTGCGCAGCAGGGAGGACTGTGAGCATGCTTTCAGACGGTGAGCTTGATGTGGCTCCTCCACTGACAACACGTTGTATGCAGTCTTGATTATAACTGTTCTCCTCCTGTCCTTAGGTGGCTGAGGAGAAAGCGTTTGGAGAAGCTGGCAGAGCAGCAGGCTGCTCGAGAACATGCTCGTAGACTAGTGTTGGAAGAGCGACGAGCACGTCGTATGAAGGACCTCATGTGTGTGGTTAATGATGCCAGGCCTTTCAGATTCAACGAACAGCTGTCATACCGCCTCTAATCCAGCAGGGAGTGGGCTTTCAATGAGACGGGCGTATAATGGACCCCAGGGAACTTCATATACCACCTTACTTACCATCAGACACGATTGAACTGGGAAGAGTTTCTCGCTGCATGATCATAGGTTAAATGTTTCCACTTTGTGTCTATGAAAAGGGTGTTTTTTCTTGGAAAGTTCTACGGAAAAGTTTAAAAGGATACTATGCTACATTCCAAGAAAAAAAATAATATCTTGAGCGGTCGATATCAGAAAAGTTGCATCATGCAGCTTAAACATTTTAGCACTTTATGCTGTATTTTGAATACCATTTTAACTGCTCAATACATCAATGTCACTGTATATTCATGATATTATTTTTTACAAATTAATCACAATATATTATTTCTTCAAATAAATCATAACATGACTAAATCCACTTGTATTATATTTATTTGCATATACACATACATAACGTGTGCTACTGTATTATTATTATTATTATTATTATTATTAAATAACAGAACAACAAGTGGCAAGCATCTTGCAACAAAAATAATTTGAGCACAACAAAAAATACAGTGCATGACTCTGCAAAAACATGAAATAAAATACGTATTCCTTGAAACAGGAATGATTGGCATTGCTTTTATGAAAAAGATATTTTCTTAGCTCAACAGTTACATTAGCTGTCTAAAACATAAATAAACAACTCTCAGTGTACAGGTAAACCAGTAATTGCCTTCAGGCAAAGAATATCACTGTAACAACATTTTTTAGAGCGCTTTCAATGTTCAGCAACAATTAGATTTGTTCAAACAGTGCACTAGTTAAAGAAAAAGAACATACCCAAACGTGAATGTGGGTTTATGCAACAACAATAACAAATAAACAAACACATGATATTTCTGAAGCTGTACTGACCAGAGCGTGTCACTGAAATCGTGTTCGTCTTCACAGTATAGTGAGATTAACTACACAACAAAAAAACAAACTCAAGTAGGCGTGTGGCATCACACATTAATAAATTTGTGATAATAATTAATTAGAAAAATAGACCTGTTCTTCTCAAAGGACTTTAAATAAATATGAATATATTAGTGAGAAGTTGTTTATCTATAGTTCATCTTTAGGGTTGATGGTGAGACTGTGTGCCCACACTGACTGTGTGTCCAGGGCTTGGATGACCTCATCAGCCTGCAGCCTCTCCTGTGGGATAAAAGTACTCACATCCATTACAGGAACCAGGATGTTGAAACATAGAAGGATAGACTTTGCTCTTACCAGTTCTCTGAAAAGCGGGTCCATGGTGAACCATAATGCCACAGCACACCTCTGTCCATTGGTCACGGCCTTCACACCGTGTGGATTTTCTCCTCCTGAAGAGAAGCCCACCATGCGACCACACTTGGGCTTCACTGAGGCCTGCAAAAGAGCACCACTACTATTACTCATGTATGCATCTATCATTCAGCCTTTACATATAGGAACTCCACTGAGATGTCTACTTCCTTAAGAGCAATTCATTATCATTACCCATGAAACCAACCCAAATAATGTGTGTGAGTGTCTACATAATAAAAAGTAAGTGAAGTTAGTACCGTGACTGTTTTGGCATCCATTTCAGTAAAAATAAATTCTCCTCCATGAAAATCTCCATTCAGATACAGTAATGCACTAAAAAGGTTAGAAATAATATATGTTAAGATGAGAATGAAAAGCACAAAACTATTCCACAAATTTCGAATGTCAAAGCACAAGTCTTTGTTACCTATAGTCTCTGTACGTGTATGCAGGTGGCTCCTTCCAGCACTCATTGGCTTCAGGATCCAACAGACAGTTATCAGCATGAATGGGGTGACTCAGGTCATTCCTATGATCTTGTTGACCTAAAACATAGAGACCAGATAGATCATTAAATATTGATAGATTTTTCCAGTATAACATTTAAAGTCTATCAGTGGCACTTACCTGTGATGGCTGTGCGACAAACTAAATGTGTGTATGAGAAATGCAATGTTGAGTTCAGAAGAAAGTAGGACTCGATGATCTTTCTTGTCCGTTCGCTGACCTCGTAAAATAGTCTTGCACTTTTCAGAGGTACTCTACCCTCGTATCCGTACTAAAGACAAACAACCACACAACCAACTGTTGTAGAGCAGAAATAACCGCACATGTTTAACATGTTTGAGTGAATGCACCTGTAGAGTTTTGAGTACCGTGGCTCCCTCAAACTTCTCATTTGGTGTGTGTGGTGACATCCGTCCTCTGTAACCATCTCCAGCCATTGTGACAGACTATAGAAGACATTCAAATTTACATAAATACAGATATATTTAATCTGAAGTGAAGAAATATGTTGAGGAAAGAGAGTGATGCCCTCATTGTAACTGGTAACGGGAGAGTGTATGGGTGTATGGCCAGGGAGAGTTTGGGCATGTGTCTTGTCAAGTGTTTGTGTGTGTGTGAGTGTGAGTAAGTAGGTAAGTAATCTTTATTTACTGTATATAGGGCCTTTCATAGAGTCATAAAGTCACAAAGCGCTTTACAATTGTTGTGCGCATTTGTCTCTCGCTCCACAGAGAAGGGAGTACAGGAGGCACATGCCAGACCTATTGTGCATGTTTTTAGTGGTTGGGGAAACCGGAGAACCCGGAGGAAACCTACACAGACACAGAGATACAAACTCCACTCAGAAATACCCTGTTCCGACCGGGATTCGACCGTTTTGCTGAGAAGCGATATACATACAGTACATTTGTGATATTCTGAGTTGCTTTCTATAATGTTGTCAAAGCTGGCACTTGTACTGTATATCTGTGTTTGTGTTCATGTTGATCTAACATGTTGTGGGTTTAAAAAATACAAATTAAATAAATAACAATTTCTTAGTTTGAAACATTACATTTGCCAAGTGTCTGAGCTCCGAACACTCTTCCTCGGAGATGACACCGTCCAAAAGGACTCTCTGCGATCCATTCAGAGCAGCTGAGTTCTTGACCAGCCGCACATGGTCATACACCAGAGGGCCACCTGGACACAAAGACTGTCAAAACCTCGCAGATCTCTCTCACTGTTCCTGTAGAAAGCACCTGACCTTCTTGCTTTCGTAAAACAGCTGAAGAGATATTCTTTTTGTCTGAAATAGGAACATATTCCATCCCACCGCCAGTACCCGAGGGAATTCTGAAACAATCCAGGAAACAGCATGAGGTTATTATAACATGTTTAGCCAACTAGAATGTGTGTATTTAATATGGAATGTCATCCCATTTACCTGCTTGAGTCATCTCTTCCACCGGTGCCACTCCAGTAATTCTGCCCATGAATGTAAGTGGTAAAATCAGAAGGAAAAAATTGACAACGTAATATGCACCTGAAGTCACTCCTAAGCACTGGGGTTTAGCTACAAATTCTGTATATATCTGTATAACTGAATCATTCCTTTAAAAAACATTAGACATAAATATGTTCTTTTAATCAAGAATAACTACACTTCATAAAGTATGATATGTCTTTAAAAAAAATATATAAAAATACAGTGTCTTTAAATGTTAACACTGTAAATTCTATAACAAAAGACAAGTGGAGCAACAGCACTATAAATATAATGCAATGATGTTATGGCACGTCATGTCCACTGAGCGTCGCTGTAGCTTCACAGCAGCCTGGGCTCAGCGAGACACCTGTTATTGCACTGGGCTTCTCACTTGTACATTCATATTTATTCATATTTTTTGCAGGCCTTATAGCTACAAATCACAGTCTGGGATATTGAGCCACTATAGGAACAAGTTTCTTATGCATTCTTTGCTTCCCTGACTGTTCCAGAAAACCAAGAGTGACAGTGACACTCACCCCTTCTGTGAAGTCGGCTCCCATGATTTCACTGCCCATGACAAGTAGTTCAAGTTCCTGTTTGTGTCTCCTGAGGTACCATGCAGCTTCCTGTAAGTTTACAAAGTTGAAATTACATTAAACAAAACTAAATATTACAAACATTTTCAGTCCACATTTCAGATCATTCTTTAATCTAGTGACATTTGGAGGATTTCATATATTCTGCCTTGAAAGGGCACATATTTATGTGGGCATTGTGACATGTAGCTAATGGTACTGGCACAGAATTCAGCCTTGGATAAATCAACTCCTTTATACACTGAGGAGCAATTCAATGTTCTGCAGCACATTCTGAGCTCCTAAAATACATAAACTTGTGGCATTTAAATAGTTTATGGTCAGAAAAAATTTGAGCTATAAGTGAATGAAAACATAGATTTGAGTAAGTCGGCTTTTCCTCTCATGTTCACATGGCGCTGGGCAGGACTATAATGAGAACCAGGTTTGGGATTTAAGCACTTTCCGATCACCCTCAAAGGCACAGATAAAATCCAGCAGAGAGAGAAGCAAAAATGTAAGCTTAATTATTTTGTCTGCCATCAAAAGTAGGCTGGCAGGTCACCTCCCAATGAATTAAACGTTTTAAAGGGAAGTGTGCCAAACACTGAGTAGTAACTTGAGCCAAAATATACGGCTCAAGCTTAGAAGAGTTTCAGAATACAAAAATGTGAGTGAGACGACATTGCCCTCCGCTAAACCATCGCCACTACAACGCCTGTTCACACAAGCCTCTTGGAAACACTTGCATTAAAGCTGGGGTACCAAACTTTTGTGGTGGAGCAAATACAGCAGAGGGCGCTCACGGAGGACACCATAGTTTTAACGTGCTCTGTGTGTTCCTGTTAAAGGATTTAAGTTCAGTGGTTTTTCTCCAATTTTCTGTTATTTTTTCCTCACAAATTGACACTAAACTAAGACTTGACACTTGAGTTTCACAATTTATTATTATATTTTAGTTCTTTTCTTGTTTCAAGTGACACTAAGTGCACTAAAGCGCCAACACAAATAATCTTGAAAAGTGAAATCTTGTGAACAAATCCGACCACAAGAAGGCTGTTTTCATCTTGTTAAAAAACTTGTTAGATGATCTATGATCAGTGATATCACTGGTGAAAGAATGGTTTAGAGAGCAAGGAACAAGTTTGATAAGGGTTATTATGTGGTTAAGGTTAATATATTTTGGTTTGAAAGTTAGGTATCACAACTCCCAGTAAGTTGAAGTTGAAGTTTTTGAAACAATTATTTATATTATGTTGGGTTTCATGGTTTTTAGATCTATGGTCTTACATTTTGAAACGCTACAAACATTTTCAATAACCAATCGAGCAAAACACCAATTCTTGATACAAAACGGAACTACCAAGTTCCTATGGCCCTTCTAAAGCAGCCTGCTGTGCTGAGCGTATTCACACATAAATAAGCTCTCACCTCTCGTGGCTTTCTGTCGTGTTCCAGCACTTCCCTGTAGTAGTCCACATTTTCTGTCATAAACTCTTCTCCTTCGTGGAACAAAAGGTAAGTCAGGGCACACTGCAGGGCCTCCTCAAACCACTCAGCTAAAAAATAACATCATTTGTATTAGGTTATTGTCCAACATCTACAGTGGAATATATGAGTCAGACAGTAGCTTTAAAACTTGGGCATATAAGCCTTGTCTTTACTGTCTTGTAAAGACTGACTGAAGGCTTCCTGTGTTAACTGTAGAAGTGGATATGTTATCAGCTGTGTTTCCAGGTCAGCGATTTGAATTAAGCTCACAAATGTCACCTTATGTGTCAGACTACATGAAACTGCTTTTGCTTCCCCTGAACTATATCCACTTAAACTTTTTAATACTTAAGCATTTGTATATTAAAGCTGAGGGACCTAACTTTTTAATAAATGTTGTTTGTCCCAACAGAACAAGTCTTGTAAAAGTAAAATGTTGTGAACAAATCAGGACACAACATGCAATTTATCGTTTGCAAACTTGTACAAAAGCTTTAGGCGTGATGTAGTCCTCTCTCCTTAACCTTTCTGAAATACCAGGAATACATGTTCAACTGTCATGATTTTGGATAGCATACAAATAACTTTACTTTTATTTTACATTACTTAGAGTGTAGTTCAATCATTTTTGGTTTGAAAGCTTTTAAAAAACATTTGTGTTTCAGATATTTATCCACCTACACACTGCAAAACACTAATGACAGTTTCCAAGAATTGAAAAACATCTTGATGGCGCAAAAACTTGGCAGGCTTCCTTTGTTTTGTAATAATCTTATTTGTTTCTAGCACATCGTCTTTCACAACTGTACTCCCTGATGCCCTGGCAGCACCATCACTCACACACCAGACTCATACTGAGATATGTGGGTGAAGTGTCTTGTCTTAGGCCACAACAGCTCAACACTTTACAGCCGCAGTCGCCCTATGGCACCTGGTGTTAGAGCTTTCCCATCACAATAATAACCAGGCCCTTCCCTGAAACAGGCCCTGCCCTGAAAGGCTTGGTTTCTGGTCTGCAGGGATCCGGATTTTATGGCGTTACTGTTGATAATCATTTTGGCTATAGAATAAAACAATGGCTTACTCTGGTAGTAGGCAAATTGCAGGTAGTCATAGTGGAGAGGCAGGTAGTTCTCCATCGGTGAGAGGCGTCCAGGTCGAGTGGCCAAGTCTCGGACACACTCATGTTCACAGTGCAACACCTGAGTGAAGTGGTCTGAGGAGAAAAGACACATAACCAATAAGATGATTCAAAATAAGATTCAGTTTATTTACCATTTGCAGTAAAGCCACATTGGAATACATGTACAGTAAGTAAGTGAGAAAGTAATCTTATTTATATAGTGCATTTTTACAGAGCAAGGTCACAGAAAGTGCTTTACAATGCTCAGATATTGTATCATTCTCTCCACACCGTGATGACAGAAGAGAGACGTCAAACACACTGGGGCATCAAAGCCCCCAGCCCATACCATCTCCCTCACTCGTTACATTCATACCTATTGTGCATGTTTTTAAAGGCAGGGGAAACTAGAGCAACCAGAAGAAACCTATACACAGACACAGGGAGAACATGCAAACTCCACTCAGAAAGGCCATGTTCGACCGGGATTCAAAACCAGGAACAGGACCATGTGCAAAAGTACCCCAGTGTGCACCAGACAAGCACACAAATATAACAAGCTAAAAAGCCCAAGAAACAAATGTCACTGTGAAACCAAACAACAAAAACATTCTAAACAGGTCCAAGATCATTAAAGTCTCTAATCAAAATGTATCTTTGAACAATTCCCACATAATTCCCTAACAACATGTTCAGCTGAGCTTTTGAAATTAGGTATAAGATGGTAGCCAATATAAACCTCATTTTATCAATATTTGGTACTAAACAAGTTAAGGGTATGTAGGAGGATTTTCTACTTCCGGGTGGATCATCAAGACTATTGGTTCTCCCAATTGTCAATCACTCTGGTGATACGTGCTCATCAAATAAGACAAGAGCTTTGTTCAAAAAGTGGAGAGGACAGTTCTTACCTAAAATTTGGGATAATCCTCCTATATGCCTGTAATAAAAATAATGTAAAACTATTTCAGGTACCCCCTGCAATACTGTTGTGTACCCCCCCCCCGTTGGGAAACACTGCTGTACTTCACAATATCACAATAATCAAAATGAGTGAGGAGCCTATATGAGTCCAAATACATACATTTGATCATTTCCAATGCTATAAACAAGCCTTTTCCTTGTGTTCTTGAAGGCATCTGCTGGGCTTGTCTCAGTAGTATCCAGTTTGTGTGGTGACATGCCAGCTCAACCAGAGTAGATTTGGTTCAATCCAGCTATACCGAACTGACTGAAATTTCACACGGGTTTACATGTGCGATCAATTGAATAAAATTTGACCAGGCAAGAGACCCGGTTTCCACTAGTGCTTTGTAAACGTTCTCCGAGCTGCAATAATACGGAAAATTGAACACAGAATCTATCAATCTGTGTTTTTCTTCATGCTGCTGCAATAGATATAAAACAAGCTGATACTGTCTGTTATTGGGGGGAGTCCTGGGCTGTGGTAAATGTGGCGTTTGCTGATGCGACGGGGAGAGATCCGTTCTGTTTGTGATATTTCTTCTTCATATTTTCAAGCAGGCGCAAGAGATGACAACATGTACGCTTTGGGAGCATGTATGAACAATGAGGTCACACTGAACCAGATGTAACTTCACTCATAAAATAATATGAGGTGTTGCATTGATTTTAGCAGTCTCAGAAGGATTACAAAAGGCATTTTACAATCGGGGCTTATCTCATGTATAAATCTCATGCGTTACACACTTTAATTATGGGTTAACACAAACAGCCTCGGCTCCACTGTGGTGCTATGCAAAATAATCCTTTTGATTATAAGTCAAACAAAGGAAGGTCTACAGCCCTCAATTCTCCATAGTGTGTACTTGAGCGTCTCAGCGTGGCTACTAAAAACAAGAGATTATAAGATGGACAGATACATCAGCATTCTTTCAAGTCCATCCATCAACAACTAGAAAAATACTCGTAGATCTCAGACCTCCACCAAGAGGCGCAGTTTCATTCCTTGAAAAAAAGTGTATCCATGTATTCTTTTTCTTTTTTTAAATCAAGATTAAAGGGAGTCATTCTAGGCACTACTGTAAATTTAGTGCTGAAGCAAATGAACAGGCGCCACCATGTGTACACCAGATGCAAGTACATCCGTTCGTGAGCTGCAACATCTACAAAGAAACTACTACGTTCAAACAGTGAATGAAATCTCCCCCTAAATAAATACAGTAACTTCTTCACTGGCTCATCTTGCACATTCACTGATAATCTTGTCAAAATCCCTACATTTTTTTAGCTAAGTTGCTCATAGACAAACAAATACGCATCCATGATCAGTTAAGGTAATAATAGTACCCTTGGTCTGAGGAAAGTATGGGGAAATTGTAAAAAATTAAGTTAAAGTTAGGGCGACAGTGGCTCAGTTAGACTTCCCCGCCGACTCCCCTGTCTGCTGTCTTTGTGTCCTTGGGCAAGACACTTAACCCACTTTGCCCATAAGGAGCGTGGAAGTAATGTTTGCTGCATGCCTTGATGTGTATATGTGTACGTGTATTCATCAAACTGAAATTTTCCCCACTGCGGAACATATAAAGGACCTTCTTCTTCTTAAACATATAACTGAATTGACAAATGTAAACTACCCTGTTTATCAAAACTGTATGAGAGGAAAAGAATCAAGCTCATGCAATTTCCTACAGGGAATTTATATCACACATGTCCACTCAGCTCAAGGAAATCTACGCCAGCTGCTACAAACAACTATGAATTACTGTTGCACGTTAACAAAGCTTCATTTCTCATTGTGAAAAGCAGAAAGCGATAGTTAATTATCGTTCTGATGTTGCCTATTTATGCGAACATCCCATCTTTGCTTTGTTTAGTGATTTCTAAACAAGTATAATTTGTAAAAGGAAGATGAAACCACAGCGACATACAAGCGGGCTCTTGCTCCCCCATCAAACAGAGGGGCTCTAAAAGCTTCATGTGAGCGTGTTTACATGTAGTAATGTTGCTCAGATGCAGGGACAGATCTGCGGTGGCTACACAGGGCCACTGGGAAAGCTCAAATGACAGATTAAACACAGATAACATAGGTCCGAGCAGGCGCTAATGCTGTATACTGTATGTTGCACACTATGATAGGTAAAACAAATCTATTTTCAACCCCATGTAGAAAAACTAAAACTCACACTGCTATAGTCACATTTGATTTTATTAATATTTCTTGCACAAAAGAGACTATATATTAACCTTTTAACATGTGTTCACACTTCCTGTCTTTTTGTGATTCTATCTCTATCAAATGTGACATGTACATTTCTCCATTGTGAGATCAATAAAGTTCAGCTTATCTTAAGTCTGAATCTGCCAAAAGACACAGCCGTGACTTGTAAATAGTCTACTGCAACAAACTGCACTGGGAGAGAAAACCCCCTGTACTATTAATATTATTTTTTTTATTTACTTTTGATGTGCACTGCTTTTGTCACAAACTGGGACTTGATTTATATAAAACTATTACTGTGGTTCTGTCCCATCAAGGCATCTTCGAACTTGTGTGAAATACAATCTGTCACATGCATAAGTCTCACCGGATACGAGCTCGTGGAGACTGTAGCGATAGCGCAGGTGATCGTGGTTCTCAAACTTCTGTGGCCCCTGGCACAAAGCCCGGCACTCTGCGTCCGCTTTAAAGTATTCCACCAGAGCCTCTTCAAACAGAACAATGGCCGCCTCATAGTCTCCTTTGTCATACAGCTTCACGGCATCTGTGAAGTAGCGCTGCAACAGAAACATAAGAACAAAAACATGTTTTATTCGTTCATGTTGTTGTTTTTTGTCACAGACAGGCCTTTGAGATATTATTAACACAAGTACAACACATGTTTAATGTAACTGAAGCAGGTCGTAAAGCATTTATGGGCCCACTCATCCACAGAGCAGCAGCAATGATTATCTGTTTGGAGTTTGGAGAAGGTGGAGAGGTTAAATCACAGCAGCTGTTACAAGCACAACCAACAGTTGATGTAAAGTGAGATAAATGTTTTGATAACTTTTTACTTGGAATCCAATGTTCAAAACAGATGTTATTACTCTGTGCGATTGGTTTACAGTATTATAGGTATTTAATTTCATTGTTTAAAGTAGGGGTCGGCTGATTATCGTCACAGAAATATACCTATATCAATATTTATAAGATAATCCTATAATGATAATAATAACAAATACATTCCAGTTTACAGGTTAAGACAACAATTATACAACTCAAACTAAACACAATCATGTATGTGTCCAATGCACAACACAACAGTTGTGCCTCATGTTGTAACACATTTCTACGACTGCGTATGACCTTCTGATTAGTTTATTTTATTTTGGTCAAAATGAACGTAATTAACAGGACTCTTAATCTGGATAAAATCACATCAAAAAAAGATTTAGGAGATCTATCCAATTCTACTGTTACATCACAACCAGTCTATACACAGGGATATAATATTTAAGTTTGTTAGTTTGCTTTGTTAAATTAACATCACTTCAGCCATTTAAACAAAGATGTTGAAGTTTGTATTTTGCAAACGTTTGACACAAATATTGTCACTTTTACAGCAAATCTTTATTGGCTTTGAAAAACGCATATCCCAAGTATACACCTTTATGAATCAAAAAATGGGCCAATAGGAAAGAAGCATGTTGTTTCATTTGTCCATTATGTTCCACAGAATGACAGTGCATAGTTCTGTCTTTATGGACGTGTTCCAAGCGTGTCTGTTTCCAAAGAGCCATGAACTCTAGAAAGTTACTGTTGTGTCTAGGAAGTGTGTTTAGTTGGAATGGCTGGCGCTAAGTGGAGAGATGTGCAGCTGCATTTTCCCACAACTATAACCCAAAAGTCTTTCCAGTCATTAAGAGCGAAGACTTTTATCACAGCGACATTATAGAAAGACTTCTGACTCCATCTGTCTCTTCTTAAAACAAGTTTCCAAGGAAAGGATGGAAACACTTTCAAACAAGTACATTGAGTTTCAAAACATTACATTTTTTAAGCTGAAATACCAAACATTATTTTTTTTACATCAAGAACACATGTTGTTTGCCCAAACAGAAAGTCCTGTTATCTTTTGCAAACTAATAATGTGCCCTATAAGTTACTATTTGACACGTTAGGCTGAGCTGATTGGTTGAGTGAGCATGGCATGGAGAAGGAAGTCTCTGCTCAGACTGCTGTATCTGCAAAGGATAAAGTGGAGTTATTTCTAAATCAATCAAATAGTAACTTGTTTTGTGTAATGATAGTAGATAAAATGCAATATTCATATTTGAAAACTGTTGTTGAGAGATGTGCTGCTGCATCTCTTTCCTAAATGCAACCCAAATGTCTTTCCAGTCATAAACAGCAAGAGCCTTTATCACCAGGGCAATAATCATGCTTTGACTTCTGGCTCCATCTGTCTTTTCTTAGATAATGAGCCTGGTGAAATGGTACACCCATGGCCATGCACACAGGTCATATCATGTCTGTCTGGCCTGGTACCTGATGCAAACGAGCCTCTCTGTCCACAAAGTGCTCCGGCCGCACGCCCCTCTGGTCTTTGTACTGCTCCAGGTCCTGTCCCATCTCCACATGCTCTGGATTGGCCTGGAAATACGTGTGTGCCGCTGCTGCCGCTTTGTCTGGCATCTTCAACTGGACACAGAAAAATAGAATGGCATTAAAATAAAGACCAATGCAGTACGTATCAATAAAGGGGTTTACATTAGTACAGAGATAATAAACATCACACACACAATAGTATACATTAATCCCTCAACTCAATCTTAAAAAGTTATTGAGAAAAGTTTATTTTAGGTTATTCCATAATATTAAAACAATCCCTTTAAACTCACTTTGCCAAATTCTTTCCAATGGATTTTGATTTTACTTGCCAGATTTGAGACTCTTTGTGACAGACTGTTCTTTTATACTTCCTGTCGCTATTAAACCTATGAAATATGAGGTCAGAGCTTCAGCCACAATCGTTCATAACGTCTATGAAAGGATTTTGTTATGATGTGCAGAAAGGGTCGAGTGGATTCTAAGAACAGACACTACAAAACAAAAAGTGCCTGAGATCCTGCAGGCCGAGGAAGTTCAGACGTTATACAGGCCAAAGGCAGCAGCTGTCATGTGTTAGAGTGGGTTCAGAAGAAGCACTTTTTTCTTTCTTTTATTTTGAGAACTTATTAAGAATTGGCACTGTTTCAATGTACAGTGAGCGTGAACTTAAAGGAGATGTATGTTGATGCCAATGTGATTTTTTTTTGGCTTTCACAATGATACAACATTGTTACCTCGATTTGTAGATACAATATATCTTAAGTAGAAAAAATATGATGAAACAAGTATGAAGGGTTTTGTTTAACTCTCAATGCTACTTCCAGAGGTAAACACATTTTTTTTTTCCAAAATTGATAATTAGAAGCTGCAACCTGAGATATTATAGGGAATCTTCTGCGGATGTATTCCAATGTGGTTTTACTGCAAATTGGCAAAAAAATGAATCCGAATCTGAATCTGAGAATGTTATTTCCCCTTGAGACATAGCCAAACATAATGAGTATGAATTATGAGTATAACTTATGTTTTAAAAAGCCGAAAACTGCTCTGATGTCATAGTGGTACAATGACATCATACTGTTACAGAACTGAGAAAGGAGCTTTTAAACTGCATTCCCTCTGGACCATGCAGCGCAGAGTTTACGTGCAAAATCAAGAGTATCGTACATAGATCCAAATATTTGCATGTACGTTACATTTGAACGGCGTGGCAGATGCATTGTTGTGGGGGCTGTGAGTACAAACAATCAGAGAGCAACAAAGTGGTGACAGGGAGTCAAGCCGGTGAGAGCAGGAAGAAGAAGACACTCGGAACACCAAAAAGTTAAACCAGGACAAAACCATGGGACTAATCCAGGTCTGACAACAACATATGCCTTCTCCCTGAGTCCACATTCTATCATGACCAGATACAAGCTGCTACCATGGTCGCTGATAAAGAAGTACTGATTAAGTCGGGTGATAGAAATATTTTACATCCATGGTGCAGCTACGTGAGCAGATACCCATGCAATATGACGACTATGGAGGATTTCGGACCCAGACTCACCGCGGAACTGCTGTTGTGTTGAAGAACCTTATGTAAGTAACAAAAAGCTGCTCAAACTCGCCTGCATCAAAGCCCCTGCAGGCCACCACTCCCGCTGTGAGTTTTTGCGCCATTGCAGGTCAGTGTGTTGGATTTACTAAAGTCATGCGGCTGAATTTCAATAAACGTACGCCCAAAAAAAAGTCCTTGCTACAATGTTGGGAAGGCAACTTTAGACAGAAGAGGCGGAGGTTCCTAATATTCACGTGGATGGGTCTAAAACCAACTCCAGGTCTGATGAAGCTGCAAAGTCGATTTGGCATATGTTCCCCTAGAAACAGTCTCGTTATTAGGACCAAATGAGCTGAGAAGTAATTAGACATTTGTGTATATTGTATAAAATATGATTAAATAATGAGGATTTGCAAGAAATGAACACAAAATGAATGCCATGTGTTTCTCCATGTTTTACAAATCCCTAGCAACATTCTCTTTTCGTGCCGTTTTGCAGCTCAGATCAAAGTCAAGATTTATATATTATCGTCCTGTCAAGTCTGCAGCACAAAAGCCACAGTGGAGATAGCGATCAGTCTCAGGTCTCGACATGGACAGGTATTCTCATTACAGAACAGCCACAATAGCATCAACTCACGCATACCTCCGCAAAAGAACTGAGAAATGGAAAGAAAACATGGTGGTCCTGTGTTTCACCGCTGCTCAGAACGTGGTTAATGGGATGAGCTGATTCTTGCATGACTGAAATCATACAGTGGAGGAATTACAGTATCTTTGGTTGATTCTATTCAAAAAAAGAAATATTATGCATTCACTCTGGATAGAAATATGAAAATGAAACGTTTTAGTTGGTCATGTAATGTTTTCGAATGTGAAACAATATTATAAGCACAATATAAGTGAAACAAGTACGAAGGGTAAAAAATGCTTTACAGCTGTAACTCCCAATGCAACCATAGTGTTGTTTTGGATTTGTTTCATTCTTTTTCCCAAATTAAAATGACCAGCTACACACACCTGTTTTTTTTTTCACCTGAGAAAATACCCATTCATGGGCAAGACCTTTGTGGACAAATTTGAGTGTGATGTTATAGTGGCACAATGATATCATACTATTACGGGACGAGACAGGAGATTTTAGTCAGATTTTACATGTTTGTGTCCAAAGTGTCTGATATTAGCATGGATGGATCTAAAAATCCAGATCTGTTTTTGAAGAGTCTGTCTCCTTCAATTGACATTTGCACATTAACAAACAAAAAATATGTATCTCAAAACTTTTTATTGAGCTGCATTTATTTCTATGAAAATCCGACCATAACATTTACAACAAGGGCAGATAAAACAAGACATGTTTGTGGATGTAACCAAGCAAAACTAAATGTGATTTTAAGAGCTCCCCCGCTCTTACCTCACGACCCACAGTGGCCCCGTATCCTCCTCAAAAGTCCTGATATATCCCAGTTGTCATTGGGAGAAAGGGGGAATTCCTGTTCTCAAGAAGACAGCTGTGAGCAAACCTATTGTCCTAAGACCAGACGCCCACTGCATAAAAAGCCACTCCATTATCCATTTGGAAACAGTGAGGCCAAACATTAAACAAAAAGAAAATAAATCCATAGGAGCCAAGTTAGATTATGTTCCGGATATAATCAAATTAAATGTGTTTTATTATCATGAAATGTTATCCTGCGGCAGTGCGATTCCAAACACGTCTCAGAGCTGGTGATAAAAGATTTACAATGGCCCATAACCGCTTCCACACGACCGCTGCACGGACAAAAGACGCGAAAATCAAAGGATTGTTGTGAATAAAGGTAATGGATCTCCCTGCCAAAACACCACGGCTTCCAGAGCAGCAGCTGGAAAGAGTTCTTGGACGAAAAGGTGAAATTGAGTCATGACGATTGAGAGAAATGCAATGTAACGGATGATGAATGATAAAGATTACAACGAAGGAGTGCACATTTTTGTCAAGGATATATTATTCTCTACTATCAAATTTAGTGAGTTTAGGGTTTATAGATTATCAATGAGACTTTTTTGTGAATTTATGTTAAGACTGAGCTTGTCATTAGCTCAATCATTTTCCATGTGATGTTTTTGTTATCTGAAGGTCAAAGCAAACTAACCTAGTGTGTGCTGTGGCAGGAGCTGAAGGGTACTGCTGTATTTTAGTCTTGGTGTCAATAAAATAAGTCTTCCGCTGAGACCATAGACTGTATATATTAACGGACGTAGTCATGCCTATCTCCGCCGTTCTAACTAATGGGCCAAAAATTGGACTTTCATTGAGTGATTCAAAGAGGCCGTGGGGGCTGGAAAATGTGAACAAACGCATCTGCGCATGCGTCAGTCGGCACGAGCCCCATTCATTTAAACGAGTGACTTCAAAAATACACAGCGACTAAACTAGACCCCCCTCAGCTTTGACACACATGTGGAACGGAGCTTTGGGCTCCAACTTTTGGACCATCCTGTAAAGACGTTTTTTGAGAGGTCAGCTAATGCTATATGTTAGCATTGGCTAATTCTTATTCCGGGTCCACCCCCATTGGCCCGGGGTGGTATTGCAAGCATGTCAGCGCACGTCATTTTGAGCTGGGACCCGCCCCCACTGGCTGAGACACAAGACCTCAGACAGCTTTAGTCATTTTCTTCACTTTATTATGTCAGTTGTTGTAAAAAAAATCAAAGCATATGATTGTGCGGAATAGGACACGGTTTAATAATGCCTAAATTAAGTTCTTTCATGGGCTGAAAAGTGCCAGGGATATCGTCTACAAGTGAGATAATACTCTTCACAGAAACAGTTTATCATGATGGGACGAATGGAGCTCAAAGCAATGGGCTTTACTACATTTACGCTGAAATACAGATAAAACTAGAAACTTGCAATGGCTGAAGCCATTGCGATTGACTGCGGAACAGATCTAATGTGGAATTTAGCTGAAAAATCCTTGAAATCCTTGAAACTGTTAAAATACTTTAAACATCTTTGAAACTCCTGAAGTATTTGAAGCTCCTGATATCCTTTAAACTGTTATCCTTTATACTGGTTTACATGTAAAAACCCCTATTAAGTTGCATTATACTGGTTTACATGGAAAAAACCCTATTAAGTTGCATTATACTGGTTTACATGGAAAAATCCCTATTAAGTTGCATTATACTGGTTTACATGTAAAAATCCCTATTAAGTTGCATTATACTGGTTTACATGGAAAAATCCCTATTAAGTTGCATTGTACTGGTTTACATGGAAAAATCCCTATTAAGTTGCATTATACTGGTTTACATGAAAAAAACCCTATTAAGTTGCATTATACTGGTTTACATGTAAAAACCCCTATTAAGTTGCATTATACTGGTTTACATGGAAAAATCCCTATTAAGTTGCATTATACTGGTTTACATGGAAAAATCCCTATTAAGTTGCATTATACTGGTTTACATGGAAAAATCCCTATTAAGTTGCATTATACTGGTTTACATGGAAAAATCCCTATTAAGTTGCATTATACTGGTTTACATGGAAAAATCCCTA